TTGCGGATTTAAATAATCTAGACTATGATGAATATTTGAAAAGAGGAATGATATCAAATTGTAAGACCACTTATACAAATTATAAGTATAAAATATAAGTACAATAAAGTTTCAAATCAGCACATTACTTCCGTCCTCTATATTTTCACGCATAAGATCCATTCTCGAATTCAGCTTGGTTGTTTGGCTCCCACCAACTTTGTCTAACTTAACATTTTTAGCTTAGGCTACTTTCATTTCCAACATTTTGATCACACACCACGGCAACTCCCACATTCAATCTTTATCTTCAAGTCACCTCAAAGATTAAACTGGGCCAAAGATTCATTACTTTACTTTTAAATAGGTTCCTGGATGCACCAGATCTTCTCAAAAGAGTCTGCTTTTTTTCCGTCATATACTACCCACAACCAGCTTTTGTTAAATAGTCCCACCACCCAGCACCTTGTACGGCCATAACTGGTCACTTTAACGCATGCTCAGAACATTAACCGTCTGACTCACCCTCTTTTAGATTATACTTTATATTCAATAAATCTCATATTTATATTTTAAATTTTCAATTATACTCAGAATTATAATGTATTGTTTATATTATTGTTTTGTTTTCATTTTTGTAATAATTAACTATATATTTCCATTTTTCTACTACTTCTTCCATTTATAGTAGGTATTTATTGAAAAATAAATAAAAAATAAACTTCGTTTCTATAAAAAAATAATACTTCAACATTTTTAACTATTTTTCACATCAGCATTTATTTTGTCCTATCATATGTTAAGATATTCATAATGAATACAAGGTTAGGTATTTCTCAAAATCAGGGTTCGGGACTTATAGCACTTAAAAACACAATAATAAGCGCTAAAATATGCACCTAAAAATATGCATTTAATATATTTATTATTATTTATTATTTTATTAATAATTATTAAATACAATAAGTGTACTTAATATAAAAAATTTAAAAAAAATCAACTGATTGTTAACTTGTTTCTTAAATTTAAGAGTTTATTGAATTTTATTCGTCAACTATATAATGATGTGAACAATTAAAAATTAAATTTTTCATTTAAATCGATAAATAAATAATTTTACATTTACCGGGAATACCTTTAATTTCAAAGAACGCTTAATAACTGCAATATATTAAAATAATCGTATCGCTCGTATCGCAACATATTATATAATATGTAACGATACGGTCAATCAGGCCATCATAATTTTTTCAAACCACGAAAATTATAAGGAGTTGTGGGTTGTATTTAGCAAATAGGTACATAAGACTGATGCGAGTAAACTGCAGCATTACTATTTTCTTTTTTAGATCGGGTTAAATTTGTGAAGTTGAAATGTTGAAAATTTTTCTAAAATATACAAATTAAGCACAATAGTGTAAAAATAAGCAGTTTCCCGCAAAATTTATGAAATATGCAAAATTATGCACATTCAAATTTTATCATGGCATAGAGAAATGAATTTATTTCGCACTCTGCTACATTTTACAATAAATAAAAAAAGTATGCAATTGCTATAAATCCCGAACCTTGCTCATAATATTTAATTCCAGGGTGCAGCCAATTTATAAAACTGTTTCTCTACATTTTTATATCGCTGTTTTTATTATCGACAGTACCACAGTGTTTTAAATGAATGTGCTAACTTTGTAGTTCCAGCTTTACGTAGGTCTGTTTAACGCTAGCGAGAACAAGTATAATATATTATGTATTCAATGAATTAAAAATTTGTAATATAACCTTGCATTTAACTAAAATGTTTTTGGTATTACAGTAGCTTATAGTCTATTTATTAGCATTATACACAAACATTTAAGAAATCGTACCTATCACATTATTATTTATCATAATTTATGGTTGCTTATTAATAACATGCCTTCATAATGTTATGATGGCATTTTTTAAGTGTAAAATGTGATCACCGGCCACCTTAACGTTTTGTATACTGTATCAAAATATACAATAGAAAATTGTGAATCAAATATAGTCAATAGTTAAATAAATTTAAAGAATAGAATAATCAAATTTGAATATTGTGCTGTGCTATATGTCATGGATATATTTTTAGATGAAAAAAAATTGAATGTTCAACAATATTTTGAAGCAATATACAGTAAGTCCAAAAACATTTTTTAAGGTTGACAAAAAGGTTTATACCTATCACCAGGAGCGTGCCGAATCACCAACAATTATTTCTCAGGGGGGCAGGTGAGGTTAAATTGGTAGTATAGCTAACTCAAAAAATTGTTCAGGGTTTTGTTATCTTGTCAGAGCCATTTCCTCATTAGTCGATTAAAGTATTTTTATTTTATAAGTAAATAATAAAGTCATTTTGTTCTACTAACTATGAAAAAAATTACCACAACATTCATTACTATTAATCAGGTGGAAAAAATGAAGTTTACTCACAGCTTCAAAACTGAAAAATATTTGGATTCGACACTCTGGTTGACATAAATTTCACGTTTCTACCTATACGGAAAGCACCTTATATATTTGATAATCGGACAGTCAGTCGGTAATAAATAATCAAACTTTGAAGTGTTCAAATGTTGAAAAAACTTAATATTAATATAATGTTTATCAAGACTTTGCATTAACGCGTTAATAAGTTAAAGTTAAGTTAATTTTTTTTTATTATTATTAACTTACGGAGTACAAAGAATTAATTTTTCATCAACTGATTTAATTTTACGTTTAAACGTTTATTTCAATTTCAATTTTTATAATTTCATATTTTCATATAAATTATTACCTATTTAAATAAATATAATAATTATTATAAAATTTCGAGTATTAACAATGCTCGTTTTATTTCGCGTCATCGTCAAATGCCCCTTTAATTGATACATCTAAACATCTTATTACTTATCAAATAAAACTGGAATTTTCAGAGTTTCAACTAATATAATATTCTGTTAGTTCGTGTTTTTGGTAACCTAACAGTGCTTATCTACTATTGGTTAATCGTCAACCGATAAAAATCAGGAAATCACTTAGTTATTGTATTACAACTAGTGTACAATTGTAGTAATTTTGTCGTTTATACAAATTAATACTCTTCATTGCTAGGTATTATTTTAATATCACCAATATGAAAACAAAAACTTTTTTAAATTAACTTAACTTGAGTTAAAAAGTAAAAATTCACTTTTGGTTAGGTAACTTTTAACTTAGTTAAATTGATAGACAGTTTAGAATTAATTTTATTTATATATTAATCAAACTGAACTAAGTTATAAATATAAAATATCATTACCTTGCACAGCCTTGATATTTATATTGAACTGTTTCGTAAATAGAGTTTTTATCAGCCAATAAATAAATAATAATTAAGTTAATCAATTACATAAAAGTTAATAATTTTCTTTGTTCATTTCCATTTTTTATAGATCTAAAATTCATAGGTAAGTACTTTTTGAGACCTATACCAAGTCACCTTGTCAGTTGTCATTGTTCCATAAAATGTAATTTAATAAAACAACAGTATTTAATCATTTATTGATAACAACTTGTAATTGACAATTTTCTGGTTTTAATGTATTTTATTGCGTAGGTAATATTTACACATTCATTTTTCATACAATCATACTATTATGTTTTATTTATCTCACAAAAATGTCTGGATTTTTTTATAAACAATATATTTATTGCAATTTATAAATGCATAGATATTGTGTACCTTCCTACCATTATTAATTTTAAAGCTGAACAACTAATGTGTTTGGATAAGGATTTCTATACGTATTAAGATCAAATATTTTATAGTTTTTTTTTATTAGAAGGAACTCGTGGCAACATAGGCTATTAGGTGTGAGTTGGTACGGTAGTGAATTGGTTTTTGTTGGTTTGTAGGGGGGGAAATGGAAGGGAAACACGTGTGTTTTTGTGTTCACAGAATTTTGATTGAGCACCCATATTTTTCTGCCATGCTCCAGTTGGGGGATGGCAGCCTCTCTCCCCAGAGAGATTTCTTATCTGAGAAAAGTGCCGCCTGTGACTGAGGTTCGAATCGGCGACGGTACAAGTTGCAACCGACGTCTTAGTCCACTCAGCCACTCCATCCCCTTGTTTTTAATTATTATTTATATTAAAATAGCGAACAATCACTTAACATTTAACGAATCAATAGAGAGTATTAGCATTAACTAGTCATTTAAACGTGATTTAGTAGCCCATTGACCATAATTAGTCTTACATACTACATGAGTACGATATATATTGTGATTAAATAAAAATGTAAAGATTGTATTAATGTATAAAATAAGTCCCCTATTCCCCTATATACTTTTCAGAATTCAAATTGTCTGATAAGATTGATTTTTCCAAACATTCTGAAAATATAAAAGACTATTGTAAGTATCTAATTTAAATGCTGATTTAATAAGATTATTGACTATTTTTATTGATACTGCGGTATTAATTGTAGACTACTAGACTGTATGGTAAATGAAAATGATCACGGTTGAGGTAAAAAACTAACAAATAGTTTTGATTTTATGACGGGTGACGGTGACAGTGGTAACGTATAAACTAAAACACACAGCCGACAAGTGTACTGAAGAAGACCCGACCGAGGTACCTACTTATTGTCTTCGATGAGAAACGAAAGCTGAACACTGCCGTTTTGGTGAGAATGACCGCATTGATAGCCCAGGCCGAGGAACGCCTTTGGGCCGGTCTTCACCTGCGCTATCACTGTATGTTAAGACCATCGCATAACCTGGCAATGTAGGCACACGACGCCAGTGTGGCCTCATACAAGTAAACAAAATAAAGGCGCTAACATTCGGCCATTTCACTCCTTAGGATCGTCCTCGACCGGGTCGGTTAAGAGGAGAAAAGCTTATTGTTCCGAAAAAAGTATACTATTTATAAAAAAAAAGGAAAAACAACAATAATATAATAATACATTTATACTTTGAATACTTCCCAAGATTCGGCGTATTAAACTAAAACTAATATTAATTCATACGAACATATTACGTAAAAAAAAACCACTAAACATATGTTTATAATATGATCTATATGAAACGGTTAGGAAGACGTCTTTGACGAGTTGGTATAGACTTCCCCTGGGATGGGTACTTCTACCTCCTCGCCGAACTCCACTTCTTCGTCGCCTGGTGAACTGACGATCTTCCACGATTTTAGCTGCGAAACGTGGGCGGTGGTCGAGTACAGTTCTCGGCCATCAGTGACAATCTCAACGACCTGAAGTGTCAGACTACCAAACTTCAATAACCTGTATTGGTCGTTTGCGATATTAGGTCACAATATACGCATTCGATTGGCGCTCGATCCAACAAGTCTGACGCACCAGTAACGACTTTCAATTCAACTGTAAAGATCTTAAAAATGAATTTCGATTCGACGAGCGGGTGGTCGATTCAGCTAAACAAACGTTCGATGACCTTGACGTCCCCTCAACTTCAGCTGTACAAAAGTTGCTCCTGTGTGTGCTGAATGCTGATCTGCATTTCGAAGACCGGGGCCTAATTTTAGGACAGTCTCTGATATATATATAGCCACTAAAATATCCACCGTCTTCTATTTCTGTTTTTTCATCCCACAACGTATTTAATTATGAACCTGTGATATAAACATATTAAAGAAAATAATTTTTACTATTCTTTGTTCTTTTATTTCATATTGCTACATATTAAATTCTTCTGTATTATTTTTTATTTTATATTCCTCATTATCTTTTAAGACACAGTATATTATTGTCATATTTGGATACAGGACTTGTATGCCCTTTAATTATTACAAATAAGATAAACATAAAAAAAATTATCTTTAAAATAAGTGTTCTTAACTTTATGTTAATACTAATTATTTCTACTAATATAGATGTACGTAAATTAATTATTTAACAAATGGACAAAATTAATTATTTTATTAAATTTAGGTGATCATCATTATAAATTTCCGGAATATGCAGGTAAATAATTAATTTTGTTTGAAGTTAAATTTCGTACTGTGTTAATAATAATTCTTAGATATTAATGAAGATTTTGTATAGATAATTTATATTATATTATCTAAAATGTTATTGGTTCACAGCGGTAAAATAAATTAAATTAAGTTGTCATTGTTAAGTTGACTAATTTCTTTTTTGTTTTTTAAACACTAATTTAAATGGTTATAAGATCTTTATTATACTAGTTTAGATGATCTATTGCAGATTAATATCCTTGTTTGAAGACAAAATCAACATATCATCAGCATAATATAGGCGTTGATACCCAACCTTGACAGATTCGTTTCAATAATACTCATGTTTGAAGGAAATGTGACTAAGAGAAGTTCCCCATTGGAGACCAGTGAATGTTGAACGGTTATCTGATGAACCGAAACAGAGGAAACGAAATTTATTTTATTAAATAGTGGGAGCTGTACAGTGTACACTGTACAATATGGGTAGGGCATCCAATGAGGTAAAATGGCCTACGAAGTGCCAATAAGAACAAAGCCAAAAGCACCTTGGACTTTGATATAAGTGTTTGAGAATTCTTTGTTATTGAAGATGGATAAATATTTTCTATGAAAGTGTATAATGACCTGAGGTCACTTAAAGACAATTTTTGAGTATACAAATCGTAAACAACTATTGCACTGATATAAGAGCAATTACTGGGCTTTACATCAATCATCATATTTTATTTTATACACTACTATAGTTGCCCAAGTGCTTTAAATGATAACTAATAATTACATCAATTTGTATTTTAGTTCATCAATATCAAGTTAACAGATTCCATAAAACAATTACAGAATTAATAAAATGCGCAAGTATGTACTTACCTAATAAAAGTTTTATTATTGAGGAAATATTTTTTTTATTTTTAAGTATATTTATATTTGTATTTATATTAATGAAAAACAAAAAAGAAATGTTTTAATCTTAATATTTAAAGAATGAGTACCTACCTATATTAAACTTCTACACAATTTAAATTAATCCGAGTCATCAGAAAGTGTTTATTTCTTTTCAATTTTAATTTCTTTTTGTCCCTTGATCCAAATAATGATGTTTATAAAAGTAAATTGTTCCTAATTATTAAACAAAGTACACACGACAATAGGTAAAATTATAAAATAAAAAAACAAGTTTATCAAATTTAAATATATGCATTTTTAATATCTAGTTATAAATATTTATGTCTTTGCTCTCTAAATTATAAACTGTATCAATATTATTTTCCAGCTAAAAACCATTCCGACAAGACCTCAACAGTATTGCTTGAAAGTGGGTCAACTTATTATTTAAAATACTGAATACACAATATTATAATACTCTTATTCGCCAAAAGCCATTATAACGAATCATTAATATCATATTCCCTAGTATTTAGGCGTTATATAAAGCTGTATAAAAATAGTTATGTAATATTGTATTACCTATTACAATATTATAATTTAAAAATATTACATGAATCATGAACTATTGTAAAATATTTCGCAACGTAGTTAAATAATATAATAACAACGATTAATAAACACTCACAAAAAGCACTTCTGTCTCCTCTTCTACGTGAGTAAAAGTCTATATAACATGCTAGCCTGCTCGAGTGTCTGGTCCTCGAATGCTTATTTTCATGCAGTATTGAAAAAGTGGTGGGGCCTTGGCTAGTTAAAAAGTTTAAACAAGCTAAAAAGTTCATTAATTTTATTATTTTTATCCTAATTAGTTAATTAATTTTCGAATCATTTCAAAACTTAGAAGCTAAATTAACTGTTGAAATAACTTAGCTGTTATCAGTTGAAATTGTTGGTTTTAATGGTTTTATACATTGATATTACTTGGTTGTAAATACAAATAATTTAATAAAATATTAATAGTAATATGTATAATTTCTGTCTGTGCCTTGCGTATCCCTACACCACACCCAGCCATAGGGAACCGGTTTCAATAGCATGGCCGGCAACTTGGGGGGATGCGCAGAATCAGCGAGTTCTCTCGCCGGACAGTGTATAGTGACAACGTTCCGATAGAAAAGTAAATCTTTTCTAATAGTCTACACTTAAATACAAAAAAGAAATTGTACATAATATGTTTAATAGAAAACAATACAAATTCATCAGGAACGGTACCTATCCACCCATATAAATAACTCCTTATACAGTAATATAATTATATTCCAGATTCACCTGAGAACATTTTTGGCCTCATAAAAAAAGCTTTAAGTATGTTATCGATCATTTTTTATCAGAATTAATATAAACAATACGAATAAAACCATTTACCACCTATGTATAGCTATAGTATTATTAAACATAATTTAATCAAAAATGTCTGTGAAATAATTAAATATTTAAGTATTTATATTCCATATCAATTAAATAAAAATAATAACTTGGTATTTATTTGGTTGATTACGTTATATTTTATTTTATTTTATTATTTAAGTTCTGCCTGTTTTGTGTGGAATTGCATGATGTTATATTTGTTGAAATAATTATAATTCAATAATTATTGTTTTCACTTATTGTCGACTATCCTTTTTTATAGTAGACGGTAATTTCGGGTTTTTGGTATTCGTCGACAGTGAATAACAGAATAAGTAGTTGGGGAAATAATAACTGCAATATACAAGTTTATCCATTTAAGAAGGTACACTAATTATTTCGATAAGTATTAAGTTTTTTTGAATTTTTCTATAACTTTTAGATTTATGCTTTCTAAAACTGATTAATATTTAAATATTTTTCACCATTATATTTATTGGTGAAACCACTGTCAACTTTTGATTTTATAATGAGAATACATAATAAAAAGGACATTTATCGATACAATTTTTTTTTATGAATTTTCACATTAACATTTTTATTATCAGTTATTTCATTTGAGAGATACAGTTTCTCAAAGTTTGGTTGTTTAAGGAGGTGTTATAGTCAATTGTGCTACAAATATCCAGCTATCCAAATAACCAGTTTTCTACTAATCATTCGTCGTACTTCAGTGTGTCTAATAAGCCGATATGTTAATAAATTATTTGGGTTCAAAGTACAATAGTTATCATTTATTCATTTTTACCTTGGGTTGAACCATAGAATTATTTAACGGTATCGAATTCATCACTTAAAGCTCCTTTTCTTTACAAATAAATAAATATTACAATCAAAACCTTAAACCACCAAACTTTGAGGAGCTGTATCTCGCAACCGGAAAAAAACGAAAAATAAGTAATAATAATAAATAAAATAGTTTCATTAATTTATGACTTTTTTAGCATATTATGTTCCTATTTGAAAATCAAAAGTTGATAGTGGTCTCATCAATAAATGTAAGGGTGAAAAAAATTTAAATATTGTACAGTTCTAGAAAAACATAAACCTAAAAGTTTTTAAAAAAAAAATTTGATACTTTTTGAGATAAGTAGTGTACCCTCTTAAATGTATCACCCTGTATAGGTAATTCTCAATATCTTTTAAGGTGTGACTTAAACTAAAGACAATAGCATTACTGGCCAGTTCTTAAAATTATAAGAACCAAGAAACGAAGGACAGCAAGACAACAATGTACAAACAAACAAAAAATAGATTAAAAATATATAGGTATAAAAAAATTAAATGGTTTTTACGGCAGTGATCCCAAAACAGCTTTGTGGTCTCGGCGATGATACTTCCTCTTATTGGTGTTGATAGGCGGTTTGGGTGATTGTATTGTTAACTTTATGGTGACGTTTGTGGTGGAGGTTTGGTTTCGGTACGAAACAAAAAAACACAAAAACTAAGAAAACTATATAGCTGTATACTAAACACCTATTTTATTACCACTGAGTTATGCGTGTGTGTGTGTGTGTGTGTGTGTGTGTGTGTGTGTGTGTGTGTGTGGCAGACCGCTGATGAGGTGGTGACGAATCCGCCGGTTGTCATTTGCGCATCGCTATTGTTAATTTAGACCTTTTTTGTAAGACATTTGAGCATCGTTCGATTTTTGGGTTATATATCATTTGCGCATCAGCCGTTTAAAAGGTCTTACATCATTTGCGCATCAATATTATTTAACAATAGAATTGTAAAAAAGGTGTACACCCAAAAGTGCTAGTTGTTTTCTAACTTTGATCTTGAAATTCATTCATCAACTTTCAAATATTGTACAGATATTTCTGTTTTAAAATATGTTTGACGACGCATATGATAAAGAGAAATGGAGAGATTTTGTGATGGCAGCGATGGTACATAATGGGCCGATAAGCTGAGAATATTGAGATAATATTGTGTAGGATTATCATTATAGTTAGCAATAACATAACTAAGATATAATCGATTTTTATCGATTTTTATCGCAAAGTACATCAAACGAGATACTGACACACTGCCGGGACGTACGACTTTAACAACACGTGTTGTACGGCTCTCATATATTATTAATTTAAAAATGAGCCAATTAAAATTTATTAATTGAAATCGAGGAAAATCTGAAATCATTTTCCAAAATTATTTTTACACTGAAAGAAAAATATTAAAAAGTTGTGAAATGATATTTATGTGTCCAAAAAAAAATTGTTATGCCTCAATAAAAATTGATGAACATCGAAGAACGGTATAGAAATACGTGGAGAACATACGCATCTCAAATTGACGGATTCAGAGATAGAAAAACACGAAGTAAGTCAAATTAAGAATTATAAACAATTAATAACAATTCTATTGTTCAGCATGTTGATGCGCATTTGATGTATAATAATTTGGTGCAGGTAAAACGGACAATACACAAACGATAATTAGCGCTGATGCGCAAATGATGTACGATATTTTGGCACAGGTAAACAGACGATGCGCAAATGATGTACGGCCGACGAGTCTAGGGGCAATTAACATTCTAATTGGCGTCGACACTTTAAATTGTATTAATCTTAACAATTTTTATCAACTTAACAATTATAATTTGTATAATGTTACATCTCGGCATTCTTTTTATTTTCTTGATCTAAATAACATCAGCATCTAAGGCCATTAGTTTAAATTTAAACATTTTACAATTTCACAGTTGACATTCTATTTACAATGTTAATTTGGCTTGAATCGAGTTGCATAAATGTCCTTTAGATAGGTTACTTATCATAACCATAGGTACTTAATTAATAATATTAATATTGGATAGAAAGTTGGCATTCTTACATTGTTTGCAACTGTATATGATATTGTTCATAAGACTATTTTATTTTAATATAAGCTTAGGCATGCTCAGCCTTATGTTTCAGGTGTTGTTTTTACCACACACCCTCCTACGAAACCTCTCTTAAACAAAAAAAATAAAATAGACATTCAAAACAGGTTTATAGCATCAGTCATGACGATTTGTACGATCAAATTAATAAACTACTCACTATTTCTTTGTGTTTTTTCATTTGTATTTAAGTTATTTATTTTGTATTAGGTACCGCAGATAATGATACTTCGGTTAGTTGGTTCCCGCGTAAGTTAGTTTTTGTACTTAAAAATTAATTAAAAAAATTTGTAAGTCATAACATTTTCTTCCTGGTTCTAATTCAGTTTTTATATAAAACTGAAAATATAACGTTATAAATACATACATACATTACATTACATACATACATACATACATACATACATACATACATACATACATACATACATACATACATACATACATACATACATACATACATACATACATACATACATACATACATACATACATACATACATACATACATACATACATACATACATACATACATACATAACATTATGTATGAAGTTAATTGTAGAAAATAATTAAAAACATATTTATTAATGTTATAGTACCTTTTTTGAGTTCATTCAAGGATAGTAAGTAGTAGTCCATGTCTCTATTCAATTAAATATATATTTATTTTTTGATAAGGAATAAAATGAATTGTGCACTCAAATTCAAAATAATTACATAGTTAGTGAGAAATATGGTACTATTTTGGTTTAATGATATAATTTAAGATTTAAATGACACAATAATTTTAAAATAGGTACTTAATATTTAGATACTTACTGTAATTTACCTATGTAGATTTTTTCCTTGTCTACATATTATAATCTATGTTTATTTGAGACGTCATTAGAGAAGCTCCTTAATGATGTACTCTCACTACCGTTTTTCCCTCTTTTCACTCATTTGGATGCAATACGTCCTCCACTATATCATCGACTGCGCTGCTCGTGGACGTGTGTTGCTCATGCCTGAAACTGACATCCTAGTATGTTATATTCATGGAGCCTCACAGTAGACCTCAAACGTAACTCAGCTATGTTTATTCCACAGAAAAAATCTTTCTCTGCCTGCCGTGATGGCTCTCTTTATGGGCAATCGCATAGAGTTTGTTCAGCTGTGCCTTGTGGACGCTATCAGTGTAAGTACGTCACATAAGGAGCGTGTCCCATCCTATGAAAGTAATATGTGGAGCATTCATGTCTAGAAAGAGCTTGTGTGACATGAAACTAGGGGTTTGGATTTATGTCCACCCACCTCTTAAGGTCTGGAAGAATACTGCAAGTCACATTGTGGCCGCAACTAGATAACCCGATTTGGTTTAGTGAGTCGTTAAACATCCCGTGGACTATTTTTATTTTTACCGCTAGAAGATCTCCCAATGAAATTTCTGCCAAGAATAAGTCAACCTCAGATCAAACAGCACTATAACTGTAAGCATAGAAATCCCCTGCTCCCGAATTCCTGGATATATCGTACTTTGTTGATGTTTTGGCCTACATTAGTAATGCGCAACGCAGCATGCTCGGAAGGGATTTCTATTTATGCAGGGTTATTCAAAATGATTCATCCCATTTAAAATGGCTATATAATGGTTACTAATAGACTTTATCTCATCAAATTATATACCAATTAATAGAGGATATTCTCAAGTTTTAAAATGTCATTAATCCATTATTTTAAAATAATCGCGTACGGCGACAAGTTAGTTTCCCCAAATTTGTTGACCGGACACCACAAAGCATTTTGTGTGTAGCGTTTTTCGAAGCGTGAATCGACAATAACTGTGAAACGCGATTTTCGCCATCATTACGGGATCGATGCACACACTACTCGGAGTATACGTCGATGGTACTACAAGCAGTTTGAAGAAACATTGTGTTTGTGCAAAGGAAAAAGCACAGGCCGACCTAGTGTATCCGATGATTAAGTGGAACGACTAGATGCTATTCGTATAACCAAAGGAGTTCACATAGAACATTGATAGGTACAGTTAATTAAACTTGACATATTTTTCTTTTATCTAATGTATACCATATTGTTCTGAATCTAAAAAATAAAATTATATGAGCATCTGAAATCGAATGAATCATTTTGAATAACCCTGTATATTATATATGATAATTCAAAATAACAAAATATAAATACTGGAATAAAATATGATCTATAAAAATGAATCAAAATATATCACAAATAACAGCACTAAAATCGAACGATTAACAAATAAACGATGATTTTGAAATAACTAATATCATATGCGTTATTTTGTATTATTATGACATACCCTCATAGTGCCCATCATTTATAATATTTCCGAGCAATGATAGACTCGATTTAACATATGAACTTTTGCCTTTAATTATTATTCAACTTGCCGTTTCCCTTATATTATATGATTTATTACCCGTATCCAGTCGACATGCCCCATTGGTCATGTTAATTATCTCCCCCAGGGTCTAACGCTGGACGTCAGATAGCTATCACTTCAAACGATACAGCCATCAAACATTCATGCAATTTCATTAAGAAAATCAAAATCAAAAATGTATTGCAATAAAACCTGTTAATATACCACTGTTACTATATTAAGAAGAATTATTATTATGTAAATAAATATATATTTATATACTGTAATGGTGTTTTACAACTTTACAAGTATTTAATAGCACAACTATAACAAAAAATGTTCAATTTACTGATTGTAGTGTGGTTGTATGAATATTCAATAATAATAATTATATACTTAAATATAATAATACATAATTAGTATATTAATATTTAAGAATAATCAAGATATCAAAATATGCCTTAAATGAAATAGTTTGTTATTTACAATCAAATACAAGTTCTTTTGATAATTAGTTATGGAACACCAAAAATGTTTTAACATATTTTATTTTAGTTGATTTTTTTTAGACAAAATCAAACAGAAACAAATTGCAGCAATAGGTATGGAAATTATTAATATTATTTAATTAGTATACAATACGTTTTTTCAATTATTATCATTATTAAATCCAAAATGAAAATAAATTAAACGTATATAATGAAGCAAGTCAAGCAATCTAGGGTCTAGCTAATATGATAAGCACGTTATATCTAACCATGCAGTTCCCACAATAAGTATTATACGTATGCGTACGTATAATACCATCTTTATATCTATTCTATTTATACCATCTTTGGGTATTATTAAAAAATACCAAGGATCAGTTGCGCTTAAAACCAAATTTGTATTTTAATATATTTTAGTGTTTAATTGGGTTTACCATGAGCGTGGCTTCTTTTCGAATCTCTGCCTCGTGCTCCAATGTTGGTGTGAGAAACACCACACCACAGCCAAAGAAAGCCGATCGCCGCCCGGTACCTTTCTTTTTCTGAATAGACTGAATAGAGTATAATATATTAGAATATTAGATTATAAAATATGTATTATTGACGTTTATGTTCGTTGCATTAAAATAAAAATATAATTATTCGTGTTATTGGATAAAATAAATACTATACGTCTGTAATTTATCTTAGTATGGTCTATGAACCCTGAAAATGAAGGAGCAGGAGCACAATATTGATCATTGGTTGTATAACGAAAACGACATGTTAAGCGGAATTAATATAAGCCCAAGAAATTAGTACATTTTAAACATTAAATATCCATATTATTTTAACAGATAAAATATTGTTACAACTAGAAGAAGGACCGGAAAAAACAGAAAATCAATATTATACCCGACAATTTTACAGATGTTTTCGTAAGTTTTCAAAAAATAAAATACCCGTATAAATAAGAAGTGTTTTCATAAAAATAATAGTATTGAACTACTGATATGCAGAAATATTATTCATAAACCTAAAGGTTAACATATTAAAATGGTTAACACAATATTAGTTATAACAGGGAACATATAGGATTTGTAGCATTCACATATTTATTTTACACAATCACAAAAATAGTGGAATAAAACACAAACATGTTTTGTGCTAAGACGAAACTAGTCTTACAAGTGTATTCTGCATATAAATATATACCTATTTTGAGATTTTTTGCTTTTTTCATTTTATACTTTTTCATACATCATATTTTAGTTAACTAGGCAATAACTAATAACATAACCAAATCATACAAAAATAAGTCATAATAGTTATAAAAGTTCTAAATACTTGACTATTTTACAATCAATGATTTCTTATTATTTTTGGGGGAGTTGAATTTATTTTTCATTTTTACCGTAATATAACACATGGGTTTCGTCGTTTCGAAGAAGTGCTTAATGTTGCCCTGTTAGATTCATTTTCTGTTAATTAATATTGCTTATAGATAAATAATTTATTGCCACGGTACAAAATATGACCGATATACACAGCCATACATGTTACAGCCACAGATACCCGATTAATCAAATTTCACATTCGGTTTCTAAACTGTCAACTACGCTTTCAGTTTGCAATCTATTTTATTATTGTTGTGATTCAATGAGTACAAATTGCATTGAATCTAAAACTTTTTTTTTGTTTATATGCCGATGATATAACATACCTAAAATTAAATTATAAAGATATTTGTTATTCTTATTTTAGGTGTTTTTTGAATTATTAATATTTTTAAATTAATCGTTACAAACATTTTTTGTGCATATTGCATATTATAGGTTTTTAAGAGCAAAAGTGCTTGCATATACATAGTACTTTTTAGAGCTACTAGTCTTGTACCCTAGTTATAACACATTATAAGATAAAAAAAATTCGTTAGTTCTTTGATTATCAACATAGGTATTAAGAATTATAAATTATAAATTATAACTACATATGCACCTAATCTAATACAACATATAAATCTTTTGTTATTTCCAGAAAAGTTTAAAAACGATGTGTTTAAAAATAAATTTGAAAATGGTAAACTTAAAATTAAATCAATGTTTTGAAAATCTATTATACGATGAACTTTTTTTTATCTAAAACAGAAAATAATGAACCCGTAAATTTTTTATTTAGTAAATTAATGTTTTTAATGTAGGTAAATTTTAAACAGGGATTAAGTTAAAAGTAATGGATTTAGTCCTGAGCATGGTAGAGTCGACATGTATCATGGTGGTATATTGGAGGTGCCGTGAAAATTGCACGGTTTAAACCATCTTTGTTTATGCCCTACGTTAATCAGTTAGTGTTAGTCAATCAGTCTGGACACATTCGATCATATTATATTATAGCAGTCCCATCCAATGTTGCCCGTGAGACTAGTTTGTGATTGTGCCAACAGTAAAAATAGCTTTCCGAAAATATACCACGAGGCTCGCATGACAGTGCATAATTTCTGAGTGAAAAGTTTCAAAGTTATACCAAGTTTGTCGTTTTTACTTAATCCAACCAACGGTGGATTGGATACAATGTGTAATTTTTAATAAAGCTGTATAACAATGTAATAAATTGACTGCGGCCGGAAAAAAAAATGATCAATTAATAAAAATTAATGTACCTATCTCGGTTTTGGTGTAACTCAGTTCAGATTGTAGTATTCCAGAAACCTTCGCAGAAGTGTAGGTACTCAACAACTTCCCAAAGTTTCATCGTGATCAGACGTATATTATCATATATATCGATCAGACGATTTTATATATATTATTTATTATAGCGCGAAGTATAGTAATTAGTAATTACCTATTATGTAACTTTTTCAGCAAAGCACCCAACACAGACTACTGATGTTCATATAGGTTAGTGCTTATATAATTTTAATTATTTTATATAGTTGCTCTTATAACAGTACACTTATGAAATTAATATTATTATACATTAATAACCGTAAACACTTTGTCAAAAAAAATTAAAAATTATGAATCTGTTGAATTCGTTAAATGTTAGAACTTTAAGTGTACACTAATGTTGACATTTTGAATTTGTTTAGGATTCAACCCAAATTTTTAGATCACGACTTTTCTTGTAATTACATCTCGAAGCCATTGTAACATTTAAAACTTGTCTAAGACAATTGGCTTTTTGTATTTTTTACTAATATATTTTTTTGACTCAAAACCTGGGTATCGTCTGAGTTAATAATGATATTTTTAAGTATTTTAAGATTCATTTGAATTTTCTAACTTTTTTATGGACAAAAATTTAAAAAAAAATGTACAATATTCAAAAAGTTTCTCATGACTATAAATAGCTCAAAATTAGTCAAATTTTACATTTTATGAATAAAAGTAATAAGAATACTGGTTGAAAATGTCAAGTGCCTACGGTTATTAGGTTTTAGTAAAACTAAAAAAATAATATCAATTTTGTCAAAATTGGTTTTGTGTAAACATTCACATAATTTTTTACAATTTTGTAAAATTAATATCTACAAATATCTCATTACTGAATCTAAAATAAGAAATCACAATATTTCATAAAATACTTATTAGAAAAAATTATTATTCAAATGAAATTAAAAAAATTACTAGTTTGGTCTATTGGTCTCTTGGCCCTGGGGCTGTCTTCCGTTGAGTTACAATTTTTTATATTTTCATATTTATTTTCAAAACATTTATACAATATTACAATTTTACAATATAATTTATATTAGAACCATTTCGATACATAATCACTGGAAACAATGCTTATGAAGGTATAATATGAAATAATCATAAAATATGTAATAATAAATAAATAGTGGTTCGGCGAGGCTCGGCGTCTGGCTTCTGTTACTAACGTGTTCTCAATGCCAGAACCAATTGGAATCACTAGTTCCCGGATGTGGGACCTCCCAGGTTCCAAGTGTCAAATCCTCGCCACACATACACGTACTCTTATCCAACCGTATCCTTTCCCGTAGTAAAAACCGACAAATTGTGCAGTAGGTGACCCCATAAAATAAAATAAATAAACTCTAAAACAAAAAAAAATTTTCTAAGACAGATGAATAGAATTAAAATTATATAATATTTTTAGATGCTGATAAGATATTAACTGTACAAGAAAAAAGTAAGTTAACTTTACTTTTTACTTTCAATTTTCAAACAAGAATGCGTTTTCAATTTACTATATGCTCTAAACGTTTTGAAAGTGTTAATCCAGATATTTATTAAGTGGAATTAGACGTATAAACGTGTCACAAAATGTCAACTGAATGTCATGCAATACATGTGTTGGGTATTACCCATTTCCACCAAAAGTGTACCTTTCCTTTTCCACCAATACTCGTTTCCACCAAGACGAGTTATATACTACGTTTATAAGTTATATTAAAAGCTGTTTAAAAAGAATAAATTAATATATAACATTATAATTTATAACATAATATAGATGTATAATATGTTACCTTATAATAATAATAATGATGTTTATAATAGTCAAAATTGTCAAAACTGCCAAAATTGTCAAATGTATAAATTTAATTTAAAAAAAAAAATGATTTAATAATATTGTATAATAGTAAAATGTTACTTTATATAATTAGTTGATATTTTTTTAAAAAAATTTTATGATATAGATTTCACAAATTTGTACCAGTAATTAAAAACAATATTTTGTTTTAATTAATAAATTTAGTGTGTTATATTGTATTAAACACAATATAGGTCAAAATAATTGGTTAATACCGGAACACAGTTATAATATTACTAGATGTCTCGCCCTAACTTTTATACCATATTATTGTATAATTATTTTTTTTTTTTAATGTGTACATTTTTATTATGTTGTATATTATTTTATTACATTTTAACAGCTTTTAATATAACTTATAAGCGTAGTATATATAACTTGTCTTGGTGGAAAAGTGGTTAACATCTCATTTGGTGGAAACAAGTATTGGTGGAAAACGGAAAGGTACACTTTTGTTGGAAACGTGTTACACCTCATGTGTTCGCACTCGATTCATTATTTTCTTTTTGCGCATCAGTAACGATGAGATTTGCTGAACCAACTAATTGGCCATTGTTGACAGCCATCATTGTATATGTTACGAGTGTAACATGCCCTTGTGTACATTGCCCGGTCAATGTGGTCCTGCTCGAGCAATGTAAGCCACAATTTTTTTTTTTTAACCAACTAATATTATTTTTTATTAATATTATAAATAATAATGCTGAATCGACATTGACGAGGGTATTTTAAGGTCCTTTCCAAACCGTCTTATGTGAACTTTGCTGAGATTTAGGACATCTCTCGGGGTTATGTTGGAATAACTTGTAGAGGGAATTTCTTTACTTTGGATGTTTTTGAATTGTCTATCCATAAATTATGATTGCATATTAAACGTGATCATCATCAATTTCATCAATATTTGTAGAATATGGAGGATTTCCACTTCAAAATGACACTTGCACATTAAATACAGTCTGTTATCCCCCTTTATTATTAGTATAAATAAAACAATATTAGTCAATGAAGAATTTTCCACAGTCCTATATTCCAGCGTTTCCCAAAGTGTGTTCCGCGGAACCTTAGGGTTCCGTGGGACAATGTCAAGGGTTCTGTTAGATGTAGGAGATTATTGAGAAAATTATGTTTATTTAATGTTTGTTGTTTAAAAAATGTTTGATTGAAAATTGTTTTTAAAATTAAGTTTAATAATGAAAAGTCATTAACAGTATCATTAAAATATAATTTGGATTTGAGAGTTTAAGGAATTGATTTTCCTTTTTTAATTTACAAAAATTATAGTTGAGTTGGATTAGACATTAGGGTTTCGCGAAACACAAACAATTTTTTAAGGGTGCCGTGGTCGTAAAAGTTTGGGAACCGCTGCTATATTCAATTAAAACTGAATAGATAATCAAATGAATTAGGTATATTAGAACTTATTCCTCCTCCTTTTTTTAGGCACAATACTACAAAAAGAGGACATTGAATTTTTGAAGGACAATTTTAGTAAGTAATTTTGAGTGATTGTTAATTAGGTATGGACGTAAATTTCATATTTGTCATTTGATAATTCCAATAAAATTATCGGTAAGGTATATCAGTTTTTGTATAAGTACTATATTTTTGTATAAGAGTTGTCAAGTCAAAAATATTCCAATATTTTTCATACAAATATTATTATAATTCAAATAAACTATCTACTATTATTGGATTACGTTTGTTACACAATTCTTCTTCTTCTTCTTCTTCTTCTTCTTCTTCTTAGGGTTTATTGGGCCTTTAAGACCATTGCGTCTCACAACCAAGCTCGCATCCTTGTCTATCCAGTTCTAGAGAACTCCAATTGGAGATACCTCCCATTTATTCAACATCCTTTTTTTACACACGTCTTTCCAATATCAATTTGATATTTAAACACCTAATAATAAAAGGTAAAAAAAGAATGAACAACCTAGCTTTAATTATCTTAATATTTCAAATAAAAATTTCTAATTTAGACATTTTTTCCATATCCATTTTATGCAGTTTTTGAAGGCGGTAAGAATTTCGATTAATTTATGTTGAATATTAACTAACTCAATTCAAATGACTTATTCGTATATATTTTATGTTAATATTTTTATTAGTTTAATAATATAAGTTGCAGTCAAAATTACATGAAAATATAATCATATAATTTATATTATACATAATTAAAAATTCAATGTTGGACAAAAATAATATGATGCATCAATATTTGCCATACGCATCATTTTTATTATTGTTTTTCTAAATAAATAATGTTGCATGTAGGTGTAGGAAATTGACATGCGTGAAAGACATACGGGAATGGAATTTTAAAATTGATCCTATGCAGCAGTTGGATACATCAGAATACATCTAACTGTTCATTTATTATAAATGTCAATATTTAAAATAAATCCTACACAATTGAGGAATTTATGATGTACCCTTTTGATTTATTTCTAATTCAATAATAAGTAAAAATATACCATATATTACCTCCATATTCCATTAGACCTGAAAAAGACAAGATATTATTGGCGTTATTCATATAAACTCATAAAACAATATTGCTAGCAAAACCTGTCATTTTTAGTGACGTAAAATATATATACAGGGTGTCCCGTGAGGATATATCCATTAGCTGTAGAGGGGGACTCGCCGCCCGTAAAAAAACCTGTTTTTTGCTGTTATACCTTTTAACTAAAAAATTGATTAAAAATCAGGAGATTAATAAAATTTAAATGTTGAAACTTCAATATTTTTAGAAAAATGAACTCTGCAAAATGGGTATCTTCGATTTTTTTTTTAAATTATTTAAAAAAAATATATTTTTTAACTTTTTTACCGAAACATAAAAAAAATTAAAACATGAATTATTTGTAGTGATTATCTCTGTGAGTCTTAATAAAAAACCAGAATTATGAAATCTACATTATTTCAGGAGATATCGCAATGAGTAAATCTTCACGGGACACTCTGTATATGCTTTAAATGATTAGATATTCTTCAACTGAAATAAATATAAAATATAAGCAATAATTTACAATATTTAATAATCTTAAATTTAGGACATACATTTTCCAATTAGAGCTAGATTTAGTTTAGTTAAAAGTGCTATTCCTCAACTTCTGCAGCAATATGGAAAAAAAATGAATGTGAATTTTCTGTAATTGAGCTAAACTACTTGTATACAAAATTAAAAAAATTATATTATAGCTTGCTTATAGTAGTAGTAGGTAATTGAATTATGCAACATAATTTAAAGGGTACCGCTAGAGAACTATTGAAGATGTAACTGGTATTCAAAAGAGTTTTAAATGTATTTTTAAACAATTGATTTTTCACCCTGAAAAGGAGGTTGCTCTTTTATTCAAACAAGTAGTTCTCATCAAGATACTGAAGTTTCTACTATTGGTTTAAAAAGTTATCAGCTGGTTTATTAAAATTGTACTCTTTCAAAAAGTTTTACAATATTTTATTAATGTTTATAAATATATATGTATTATATTAAAATTAAGATACCAAGTTACCTCCTCATCCCAGTATGTGGAATTGTTTTATTATTATTTTATTTTATTTTATCGAATATCCATATATTTTTCCTGTATATACTTCAAATAACCATAATTTCCAATTATTATTTTTACTCTATGGTTTTCAGCAATTGAGTACAAAATACCCATATTTAATGAAATCAGTAAACATACAATAATAATCATAAATAATGTTAATTTAGTTTACAACAATTCCACACCATTGTTATTGTCTATATGTCTGATCAAACTTAAAATATTACTATTGTTATTATCGCTATTATTACTCATAATTATTATCATGATAAAAAAATAGTCAACAATTAATGCTACTAATTATCCATAGGCGTAGATAGCCTATATAGGCTAGGAATGTCTTATTATATTAATAATAAAAAAAAAAAGTTTACAACAATATAGTATCCTAGTTATTGGTGGTAATAACTTTTTTTTTTAAATTATTATTTTTATTAAGCTTCAGCAACTGAGGCCATTAGCTGTAGGTTGTAGTACTGTAGGGTTTTGGGACTGTAGGGTTATGGAACACGTGTGTGTTTGTTTGGCAGAATTTCAAGTGGGCACCCGTTGGTTTCTGCCATGCCCGGTTGGGGGGATGGCGGCATCCCTCTCCAGACACCGTGACCTCCCGGAGAGAAGTGCTGCCCGTGACCGAGGTTCGAACCGACGACGGTGCGCGTTGCAACCGACGCGTTATCCGCTCAGCCACTTTGTCCCCCAAGGTACTAATTTATTAGTTAATAAGTAAATAATAACTTATTAGTTATTACCATGTACGATTGAAGTAGACCATCTTAAATTTGTGTTACCAGGATACACAACCAAAAAAGATTACTCCTTAATAGCTTATGATATTCACCACCAGGGTACAGCACAATCCGTTAACTTCTCCAACCAAAAAATGTTCATAACAAAACTGGGCCGCAATGCTGTTTAGACATTCGTTTCCAGTCTATAGTATCTTAGTTCATGGTGTGTATACAAGGATTAAAATATCAGTACCAGAGTTTTTTTTGGTTGTGGACAGAGATCGCAGCGAGACGGATTCATGCACAATATTGGTCGTTTAATTTTGACCGTTACACTTTCTTAATTTTTTAGTAGAACTTAATATTTTTTGTTTGACATTGGTTAATCAAGCAGAGCAGGTTTAAGCATGCATCAAATCGAATTTTAGCACATTGCCTACCAAGGTGGCTGAGTTACACCACCCTCTGCAAGAATATTTAGCAATATTCATTTTTTTCTGTAAAATGTAATGTTTGAAGGCTCAATAAAAAGGACAAAAGATTAAGAGCCTTATTACATTTAATAGATATGAAATTATATACATATTTTAGTTACATTCTCTATACCCCGATAATATTCCATTTTCAAATCATTAATTATGTCTATAAAATCAAGAAGTTGTCAATACAATAAAAAATTGTATTCTTTAAGATGTAGTTTACTTTTTTTATAGATTCATACAGAAAAAAAATCATAATTAGCAATAAATCAAAATTAAATACACGTATAAATAATGTTTAAAATTGTTTTCAGGAATAGAAAAATCTAAAGTTTTGTTCATAAGTAACTATCAACTATACAGTATACATGATACCTACATATATGTAGGAGGAGATTTTTAACAATAAGCATTTAGTATCTAGAAAAGTGTTAATTTTTTTGGACTTTTCATTACATAATTTGAATTATTGAGTGACAAAATTATTGACAAAAAAAAAAATGTCAACTGTTTTATATTATTATGATATATTATAATATTTAAGTTTTTACTTTCTTGAATAATTTCATGTACTTTAATGTTTAGTTTCATATTGACCTTAACTCTAAATAATTATTTATTACTTTTATTTTAATAGTTAATTCCCTTAAAATCTCAGAGGACTGTTGTACATTTATTTTTATTTTGCATATAAAGATCAGCTAACTATAGCTATACCGATGTCCGATAGTAACAACTTAGTGTAACAAAACAGAGTAGTATAGAGCAAAAAAAGTAGATTATAATAATATAATAAATTTAATAACAAGAGTGTTATCATTTATATAGAGCCATAACAAGCTTTGTTGACTGCGGTGCACGTCTATTATGAATACGATTATAGTAAAAAGAATATAATAATAAGATAATGATTAAAAAACTAACAAGTTTGTTGTGCACAGCTGGCTAGCTGCTTCCTGTGCCTGTATAATTTATTTGACATGCACAACATAATATAATAATTAATAACTATCGATTCGCGCCTTCGACCATAATGATAATAAATAGTAACCGGCGATTCGCTCCACAAAAGTTATGAAACAAGAATGATGATCACCTATCTCCTTAGGGCTTACTAGTTACAAAAAATAATTCGGCGATTAGCATAATTTAACATACCTAATTTAATTACCGCGATTCGAGCACTTGATTATAATAATTGTTTGCTCGTCGATATTAACTACAACTGTTCACCGGCGTCTAACGTAGTAACGTTTTCTGATAACATAATATTAACATATTATATATAATACAATGATATAAATATAACGAGAATTATTGTGTCTGTGTGAGACAGATACTGCTTAGACGTTTTAAGATTCTAAAAACATTTGAACTTTTGGTGAAAATCAATTCAGGAAAGAATCACATAGAAAGTATTTAGTTTTTTGACTCATAATTTCAACTTCTGAAATGACATCCTAAAATGTTCATAAAATGAATATTATGTAACATAAGAATCAAACTGTAAAAATAATAAGTAACTGTGTAAGATATCAAACAGTAAGTTTAAAAGAAAAATTAATATAATTATCTTTTTTATAAATATGTACGAATATAATATGTAATGAAAATGTTTCTGTTGACTTGATACTCAGATTACATCGGTAAGCAGTTTGATTTATGGATTTTAAATTAATTATATTTAACTTACGTACCTACAACTGGTTACACATGGAGTGGTTTGACGGTAATTTATAACTATTAAATGTTCGGACTTGAAACTTTTAGAACAGTAAGAGTATTATTTTATTCTATTCACACTATATTATCAAATGCAATATTTTTTTCAAATATTAATTCAACAAACAATATTAGTATTTTTACCATCGATTATAAATGCTAGTATTTTTTTTTTTATTTAAACTTTTTTATTACAATTGGTTTCAACAGTTAAGTATTAACAAGCAACATCAACAAATAAAAAAAATACTAGTATTTATGGTAAATAGTATTATACTAATATCAAAACAAATCACATTTATAAATATTCCTTCTAAATTATCAATGAAGGATCATTTAGTAAAAACGGTGACTGTATTGAGTTAAAAACGTCTACGTTGTTAAACAATTTTTGCAGATAAATTAAACTTTCTACATGAATAATGTTCGCCAAACGATGAAATACATAAATTTCAACATTATTTAGAATTAATAAAAAATTCTGTTCAGTTATAACCCACATGATTATTATCCGAGGGAATTGTTTTGAAGTATTCTGTATTGTTTACTATTTGATTATGTATTATTTATTCAGGGTAGTATACTTACTTAATAAAATTCGATATGATCAATACATAATGCGCTTGGACATTATTTTCTACATTACAAAAACAAAATACAAATATAATACCTTTAAATCATATATAATATGAATTATAATAAAAAATATTCTTAATAGATACCTAACATTAATATTTGTAATACAAAACTGCATTATGACTATTTTCTCCAAGGTATCGTACTTATCAAAGTTTCAATAGTTAGGTCATTCGATATTACAATTAACAGAATATAATATGTTTAAATAACTGGAATCCTACAAGTGATTTAAACATTTTAATTTTAGGTTACAACGGACAACTTGAATACAATTATTATGCATCCAAACATTGTAGAAGTAAGCAAATTCGTGCATAAATAATTTATTAAAGTGTTAACTTATTTATAATGACATACATTTATAAACAAAATACAATTTCAATTTCCATCGTAAATCTCAAAATCCTCGGGTGAGCATTTTTTTCATAATACCAATTTTGAAATATCCTTCCTAAGTGCGCCCTTACACGGTGGTACAAAGGAACCATGAACATTTTAACTCTCCGTGCACCGTGGTTTAAAATCTACGTTGAAAATATAGTTAGAGAAAAAACACTTTCAATATCTATCACATTGCCTCCAGAAATGTATAGTTTGCGTAAGATTTGTTTTACTATTAGGTAATCATGTATACGAGATCCCTTCAACATGGAGACTATTGCGTGGTCATCAGTCATCACCATGAGCTTTATAAGTAAAGTTTACATAGTTTATGTTGATTTCTATACTTTATTAGTATGATACAGAATAATTATAGCATTTGGATTTTATTATTAGTTTTTCGCACTCTCTTCTACATTGAATCTACTTTAACCTGGTAGAATAATAAATTATCATCTCAAAATGTAGAGCTATAACACAATTCATTGTCTAATGTAAATGCAAAAACATTTAATCAGTGTATCTGTAAATCAGTTTATTTTAATTGTGTTTTTCATACAGCATACAGTAACTACCTTTTTATAAATATTATTTATTTTAGAGGCACTTATACACGAAAACAAAAAGCAGGGTGAATGGGAATATAATTTTACACAGCTGTGTAAGTTCAAATAACATAAATATTGTACTCAATTACTCAGATATCAAACGACTTTAAATTTAGTTTATCTAAATGTGCGATGTATCGAACTTTAAACATAATCTCTATGTATTTAAAAGGACACAGTGACTCATTTGGCTGCTTGCCGTGATAAAGTTAATGAGTTATTTAGCGTTTATGTATCGGTCTTAATTCAAACTAGTTTTTTAGACGTTTTAGGTTGAGTACTTATGTCTAATTATAAGAATAACACCATAATGTAGAGAGAATTTTCTTCCCTCAAATTTAAAGATGGAAGTAGACGTCCGTTATTTAGTCGATTTTACGTAGGCCTCAGTACGACTAATGACCACGGAAAGCACACTACTAGTGCGCAACGCGTCTTCCGCATATTACACTGTACTTTATTATCAATATTCAATCGTATTAATTTCGTGTACTAATATACATAATTTCGGAATACAGTCCACACGAAAAATAAACGTATTCGTTATTTGAATTACTTGCTTACCACGTCCCAACATTTCTGTTGAAACGATGTTGATTTTTGAGGAGTTTTATGTGTTTTTGATATACATATGTAGGGCCGGAATCCCCACTTCGTGATCTATATTAGGCTATGTAGGCATGAAGTTTGCGGAGAGCATGGCAATTACAATATTATCACTGATTATCGTTGGAGGCAATTATATTAAAACTGATGGGAGGGATAAAACTTTAGTTTTTTGTTATTTTGATGGGATGAAGTTGACTATAGGTTGTCAAACGATGACAGTTTTCTGAACATTGTTATTTACAATGACGTTAGGCAATTAAAATGACGAGTATATTCATGTTGAAAGTAACGGGCCGAACTTATTTAAAATTATTATAACATTGTTATTTGATTATAAATCATACAATTATCACTTTTTATGGTACTGTTTTCAAATGTTTGTTTATCTTATTTTTATAGTATTAATGTAGATATATTTATAAAATTAAAATTAAAAGGATTTTTTCATTACCTACAGGTTATCAATACAGTAAGCATATTTTAATTAATTTAATACTGTTTGATGTTTAAAAAATATTAAAAATGTTAAACACTTTATTTAGTTATTCTGAAGGAAGTGTTTCGATTTATAATTTTTGATTTTTAGTTTTCCCATCTCAATCGGATAGTCTAGATCTTTATAAACAAAAAAGACTAAACATAAGTAAGTTCAAATAGTATTAATACTTTATAGTTACTTCATTGCCTATCTTTTAAATCGTTTATTTACGATTCAAAGTACCTACATATGGTTCAAAAAATGTATTTATTATGTGCATATTTTAATATTTTATAATAAGTGTATAGTACTTTGTTGCGCCGAATCACTCCTACTTTTTAATGAAAGATATATAATTGACTTGCGATATGCTAAGGAAAAGAGAGGTTACTCTATAGTATAATAACGTACAGTGTGCACATACTAGGTATTATAAACAATAATGCACTATATAATATAACAACCATACAGGATGCTCCAAAATAATAATAATAATATCCAAAAAATAGATATACTAAGGTAATACAAACCACATATTGTATGATAAGTTGTCGGACAAATAATAATAATTTCACTTACATAATATTTATGGCGGAATGGCCTGACCAGCAACTGGCGTCCTCATCCACGCTTGAAATGCGACAGAGTCTTGATCGGCGGCGGCAACAATGTCTTCCAACTAACGGGAACAGGGAGCGCTTAAATGAACGAAAATATTTCTATCGATCTGTATTTCAGGAGAAAAATAATAACGTAGACAAGTTTATTAGCAGAACCGTATTTTACCAGACGATTAGTTTATTTGAGCTGTATATTTTAGCTGACAAATATATTCTGATAATATGTAATTATGTGTATGAATGTATGATGATTGATGATTGATGAATATGTCTGATAATAACAGAAAGCACGACAACCCAATATGTGTTACACTGTAATTGTGCTGTATTTACATATATAAGAATATTAAGCAAAGAAAAAAGGAGAAAACAAAAAAAAAAAAAAAATAATAATGATAAAAAGATGAGATTAAGATAACAAAAACAAATGGGTAAAGAAATTAGTACAATATAGTTAACTGAATACAAAAGTAAATAATATTATATTAAAAAATTAATATAAAGTATATTCCTAGAATTAATATCAAATATAGTGCTGACAAGAGACTGTATCGAGTTATATACTTTGAGTTTAAATATTTGGTAAAAAAAAGTAGTCCAGAGGATTGTGTTGATAGTATTTCATTTTTGGAGGTAAATGATACCGGTCTTATACAGGGTGTCCCACCAGAATTTATCCATTGCGAAATCTCTTGAGATAATTAATACATCATAAATCTGTTTTTTATTAGACACTCTGAGTAGATGTAATCCTATATTTTTTTTTTAATTTACGTAATTCAATTTTTTGAAATAATTGAAGATATCCATTTTGAAGAGTTTATTTCATTAAACATTTTTTCCTTTTTATTTTTATGAATTTCATTATTTTTAATTACATTTTTAGTTTATATAGGCCCCTACCCAGAAAACGGCGAAAAACTGGTTTTCTTCCGGGCGGAGGATCCCCCCTACGGTTAATGGGTATATCTTCACAAAATGACACACAGCATTTGTTAAAATATGAAGTATATAGGATGGGAAACTCTTATTTCTTAAGAAATCCCTAGCACTTATACAAAATTTAACTTTTATATAATTATATTCTAACATTAATTACAGTTAAAACTTTAGGTAAGTACCTACTATATTAAACTATTTACAACTACCAACAAATTATTTTTAATCGTTGACTTTATTTTTTCCGTATCATTAGTTTAAAACAATTATGTTTATTATACATGATATAATATATTATATTAATTTTTTATTCACAAATACAATTTTTAATGGTGTAAAATGCAAATAATACTGGGTGTAGGGTAGATAGTGTACACGAATCAGACAAGGTGTTCTAAATGCAATGACCAAGGTGTAGTGGATCATTATACCCTACACGTATACCTTCGATTCTAAAAAAAACAATAAGCTAGAAAACTATTTAACAAAAGTTTAAGAGCTACCAAGTTCCTCGTGAGCTGCAATATCCATTTGTGCATGTAAATTTTTTAAGAAATTCATCAACATTTTGTAGTCGAAAATTGGTAAAAATTTTAATTTTAACAATTAAGTTTAGTAATTAACTACACGATTCTTCACATGGATTTTTTTACTTTACACCAAATTTTACTAAATTTTTAGTAACCTCATTGAATGAAATATTTTACTATTTTAATTCTCTTGTTTGGGATCATCCAGTTAACTGTAATTATGCCGGGTGGTTCTAAAATTGATGATTTAACTAGTATATACAATCTCACTGTGCTGGCCGTAGATATTTTAAAATCTAGGTTCTTCCGAACTATTTTAAGAATATTTTCTTAAATGTAAAAAATAAACTCTAGTTTTTTTTGACCATTTCTTATACAAATCGAAGAGCCACATTGTTGTTGTGCTGGTTTCTCATTTTTCTTTCACTCGAGTCACCGTCTAAAAAAAAGTGGTGTGACACATCGATTTGCATGAGAACATTAACAGATGATAAACAGGTGATAGTCATTACTCATTAGTTATCATTTAATAAATTAACACAATTTTATATATTGTCAACTAATAAAAATTATGAAATAATGACAAAATTAAAGTTAACAGAGTTTAAAAAAAACAAATTTATTGACATACACACATAAGTTATGTACCTTAAGTGTAACAAATCTTACGTTACCTGAAAAAGAAAATAAAAAAAAAATGTTTAATTTTAAGATATAGAACGTACTTATTAAAAATGTTGTTTATTTCAGGTAAATGTATGAGAGTAAATTCGAATGAAAAACATACAAAAAAATGTATTAAAAAAAAAAAATTATAGTATTTTTGAATTTTTGAATACATTTAAACTTCTTTATTATACTTCTTATAGATTTTCTGTAAAATGTTGTAGTAACCAAAGAAAAAATTGATTAATTTGGGAGATTAGTAGATGAGCGATAAATAAAAGTGGTGTTTATTATGATGGGAAATATGACACAAAAGAGAAAAATTATTATAAGTTTTAGCTTCACCGTGAACAGAAACCAAAAGCGAACCGGAAATTAACTAAAATATCTAGATTTTTGTCAATGGCACGCGTCTCATAAATTAAAACCAAGCATAGATATACATCAAAACAAAAAAATTCAGAAAAACTTGAAATAAACTTTTTTGAAAAATTTTTTGACAAAAGTAATAAAAACAGTACTTTCTAATTTCATAACTGAACTTAATGTAACATGACATACATTTCCATAATCCCGAGCTAGATTTTATGTCAAACGATACTACGCTCTACTTATAAGTAAATATAACATAATTTATGAACGGTTTTGATAGCAGTACAAAAATATTTAAGACACGCAGATAGGATTTTTTTTTCTATAAACCTTATTTTTAGTTAAAATTATGGAAAAACTCATCAAAATCATAATAATTTGAAAAATTATTTTGTTGTTTTAACTTTTATAAGTTGTCCATTTTTTGTAGCTAAGAATCGAAAGATAGAATAAATATAGAATAATAATTAATACAGTAACCAAAAAATCCAGAAAAATATGTGCAATCGCAATTTAAATCAGATATTTGAACGGAGAATAACGCCTCGGCTTAGTTGGCAGGTCTTTAATTTACTATACATTTATAATTTTATAGTAACTTAAGTGGTATTTTATTTTTATTGGCAATTAATAACACAGGAACATAAAATAAATATATTATGTAGTGGTACCTCAAAGTCATAAACTATATTTGAATCTCAATGAAATGTATTAAATGTTGTAATCGTGTTCATTTTTTTTTTTTATGAAACTCGTGCAGAAAACCTTGGTAAGTATTTTTTGTATTCTCCATAATAATAATTGTATTTCATACCATATTTATGAAAATTAAAAAAAATTATTTCGAATAATAACATTTTTTACCTGTTTTTACAGACAAAGGAACCCAGAAGGGTGTTATTCAGATATCAATTTACAAAATGTTAGGAGATGCTTATGACCACGGTATATATATTACATAGTATTCATTAAGTATTATATAGTATTATATAGTTATTTAAATGTAAGGTGTAAACTGAAACATATACAATTTAATAGTACCTACTTATGGTTAAAGTGATTCGTAATCAAGGAAAATACAAACAATTATAAATATTAATTTTAATTTAAAAAAAATAAAAATGTGTATTGATATTATTAATTTTAATTATGTAGTGCATAATAAGTTTATTAGGTGATATCGTGAAATACATTTTTAATTAATTTTGATGTATAGTATTTACAAGTACATGACATATATATTTATGTCCTTATATAATGTAAAATAAAATATTATAAATAATTTTGTTTCAGTGGACGAAAAATATTTGAAAATGATGAAAAAATGTAAGTCCTTTAGTATATTATTTTTTCTTATTTAATAGGTTCTTACTGAAAATTAATATATAAATAATAAATGTTTTAATTCTTCTAAACGAATAAATTAAGTAAACTCTTCAAACTCTTCTTTACCGATGGATACTTGTACTTCATTTTGTGAAATACACTCAAAGTTTGTACAACTTGATAAGTTAAAAACAAAATATGTGCAATTTGCCAATCATTTTTCTGAATTTTCTAATGTCATGAATTTACCTAAAAGTATTCACAATGATTAAAGTGAGAAAGTTTGTTATGAAGATAATATGTCAGATGTTAGTTAAAACACACAAACGTATGATTCAGATTCAAATGATCGAATTGATTACAATATTGAAAATATAAATTTAGGAAGTTTACTAGATTTATTAAAATTATGTTACCTATTAGACATTATATACCAATATGGTTTGCAGTCATTTTAATTTTCTTCGTTCTCTAACTTAAGTTAATAAGTTAATGGAAAATTGTCATATAACTTTTAACTTCACTGAGTTTAAAAAAAAATAGATTAACTGTTAACTTTAAACTTTTTAAAATGTTTTCCATCAACTTAACTTAACTCTGTTAAAAAATGATTATTAACTTGCCCAGGCTAGTACATTGGGTAAGCCAATTATTGAATGACATTCGCTTTTGTATATTTATTGATTCCCGTGTATCTATTAAATGAATAAATCACATATTATTACAATTATAATTATCAGGTCGGGCTCTTAGCAAAGAAAGTATCTATGATGTTTACGTAATGAGACTAATTAATAACGGTAAAATTTTTTAATCAAAAGATTACATCAATAGTAGCATATTTTTCTTATGTAAATAAGACTACAAAGATATTTAATAAGATACTTAAAGATCATAGTTATTTACCACCTACTTATCTAATTAATGATCATTTTTAGGATGCAGGCCATTAGCTGAAACAGAGTGGAATGAAGAACTACAAGATGCAAAACGTTAGATTTTAGAATATTAAAATTATATTATTTTATGAATTGGGTACCAACATTTTACATTTTAATAACAGTCATAATATTTTACAGTTTGTATGTTCTCCGACTATATTGTTAATGAAATTCAATGTAGACTTTCAGTGGCATGAGCCCGTACATATATGTATATTGCATAATATTGGCTTAGAATTGCATATTAATTGTTCAATACCTATATTGCCTATTCACATTCAGTTTTTTGCAGTAGTATCTTTAACCTGCTTAAGTAATGTTTGTGTACCCGGAACAAAAATTTTCAGTGAATTTTTTGAGCAAAACGGAGACATTACTGCAATATCAACTTCCAGTTTCTATTACATTTTTTTTCGAATCGATACATGTCATATATTGTATTTACATTTCCTATAGGTAAATATAAAAAATGATAACGAATACATCCATATATTACATTCATCTTCATGTAAATATTTGTTTTACCAAAGGACCAGTTTGTACATACGCTATATTTCCTTATTCTTTGAGTTATTAGTTTATTACATTAAAACGTATCTAATCCATCCATATAAGAGAACAAGACAAAAAAATTTAAAAAATATAGTCAATTCAGTAGTACAAGTTAACACTAAATATATAAAATGTTTCAGTAAATAATGTGGTCGCTACAGAACAGTTAAAATTCAAATCATAAGACGCAATAAATACCACCTTTGTTTATAACACAGAAATATTATCAATGGTATTATTTTTTAATTGAATAAAAATAAAATATATTTCTTGTTAGAAATTAAAAATTATAATCATAATCATTATAATCATTTAACATACTTGTCATATAACAATTGCGCTTGTAATAAAAACTAATAAAACATGAAATATTTTCGAAATGTATTTGTATTTCAAACTTTAAAATTACAATATAAATAGGTACACATTATTTGTAGTGTTGTTAAGTTTATTGTATTTTATTTATTTTTTGTTTGTTTATTGTGTAAAACTGTAATAACTGATAAGTATAAGATAAATAAAAGTATTATAATCGACATGTTATATACTCTGTTCAAAATCATTTTCCCACTCGCACCCATTTCAATTTTTCATTTATCGTCAACTCCAATATTTATTACTCCATTCCTGACGATTCCAGCCACCACTTCCTGAATTCCTGCTCAACCCCGTCCCCGAAGGAAAGCTTGCAAATTGATTTTCGCTGATGAAAGTTAATGTGTATTTTTATAACCGTAAAAAACTTAAAAAATTGTAAATTGTAGAGAATTATAAAACACTGTAGAAATAATGTTAACAGTTGTAAACGTAGAAAAACTAGAAAAATGTAAAAAAATCAATTTGAAACCGTTTATAAACGTTTGACACTGCAGAAATAACAAGTCTAAAAAATTATAAACATAAAAAACTTAAAAATTCAGAAACCCACTAAAAATAAAATAAAATAATAATTATTAATAAATAGAATATTTTTAGATTCTAAGTGTAGCGTATGAATATACATATTTTTTTTATGACCCCAGTTAAGGCAGTCGGCATTTAGTCATTGTTTTTCACTTTCATATTAAGCACCCACCCACACCTAAAAATTAAAATCTCTTACCAGTCCCGTGACGGACCCATTTTTTTAAATTTTTTGGGGTGGGTGGGTGCTTAATATGAAAGTGAAAAACAATTACTAAATAATGATTAATTATTATTGCAGGGAAATAATAATAGTGATTCTTGTGTTTATTATACATTTTTTGTATTATGGTGGGTCAATTTTAGGTAGCTTTTCGGTTATTCCGAGTTCCTTAGGTTCGTCTCACCACTGTCCGATGTGAATAGACTCAATAACTACCCTAATATTTTTACCATATAATTGGCAAATAATTGTAAGCGAAAGTTATAAGTTTATAACACTACTAAATTACCCCAGAATAGTGCTACATTTTGTAATGTGACAAGTATATTACTTAGTACATACTACCATTGAATATTTGAGACTTGAGTACATTATATTGTACAGATAAATAATGTGCCTATTATAAAATATATACTAACATTTTTACTCAATGCTAATACATAATTGCTCATCGGTCATCCACGATCCACATATAACATAACTCTCAAGATGATTTTCAAGATACTTTCATAACGTTACTTCCAATACATTTCTTTCATATTTCAATTATTATCGGTCAAGTTAATTAATAATACTATTACAGAAATTACATAAGATGAAATGTGAAAACTATAAATTGTTAAAATATGTTTTGTATATATTTTGCATCAAGTCTCGAGACATTTTACATTGATGAAAATAATATAATAGTGTTTCTTCTAAAAAAAACTGACGATATCCATATTTTTATTTCCAATTCACGTCTTTCAATACTAAACGACGTTGATGTTTCACATCTTCTGCCCGTCCCTTAATGGACTAATTTTTTATTATATTTGTTTTATTGTTTTAAATATTAATACTATTTAATATCATATAAATAGAAAATAAATAAAGATTCTCCATTGTGTGTGGCGTCCGAAAAAAATGTGTAAAATTAGGACCAGTGTGTTTCCAAAATAAGAACAACGGAATTCCAGCTTCCTCAAGAGATTATAAAAAACAAAAAAAGTTTTTTTCTTGTACATTATTTTTTTTTGGTACATTGAGAGAAACATGAACTGAATTATGGTTGATGTACTCTGAATAAACAAGGAACTTATACTGTGCTGTCTGTATGTTATTCAATAATAATAGTTCAATAAATCCATTTGTAAAAAATTGAAAGAAAAGCGACGAAAACGTTAATGGTCATGAAAGCAGTTCTGTTCACTATAGTATTATTAACACTATAGTATTATACCTATAGGTATACACGACGAAATGAACTCATCGTTTGAATAATAAAACAAATACTAATAAACAGTTAATGAAACTATTGGAAGTAGAAGAAAATTATTGGATTGATATTTTATAAAGTATTGTTGAAGGTATTCGTTTTCTCCCGTCACGGGGTCTTGCATTTCGGGGTAGTCACAAAGTGATTGGAGCAACGGTTTATGATAATTATTTAGGAAAAATTGAGTTGCTCGCTAAATTTTATCCTGTGTTGAAAGCACCTATATAGAAAATTATGGTAACAAAGTCAAGGGTAGTGTGTCTTACATATAAAAAACCATTTGTGAGGAACTTATTGGTCTTTAAAAGTGTTTGATCACATAATGCCGATGAAATTATTAAATCAATGTATTTTGGTATTGTTGTTTATTCAATTCTAAATCTTGCCCATATTGATCAGCTGTCGATAATCATACGTTATTATTTGAATGGTACAGTACATGAACGGTTTCTTTGCTTTACCTCTTTTCATAGTCATACTGGTGAAGCTCTAACCGCTATTGAACTAGAATTTCTCAAACGAAGTGGTATTGGCCAACTGCCGTGCACAAACTTAAGATAATGCAGTCAACATGTCTGAGCACTCTGAGAGATATCGTGGACTACAGGCTCAAATTAAAGAACTGAATGAATTTTATGTCCCATGTGTTGCTCATCTTTGAATTTAGTTGGAGATTGCAGCGAAAACAAATGTTCAGAAGCGATCAACTTTTTTTAAATTCTTAAAAAATGATATGCGTTTTTTGTAACTTAACCCATAGACGGGTTGTATTATTAAGAAACAGTAAAAAATTAGAAAGGCTTTCAGAAGTCTCTCTAGTACACCGTGGTCTAGTCGTAATGATGCTATTGAAGCATTTGAAGCATTGGCTGGTAATTATGAAGAGATATATAATACGTTATCTGACATTTCTACAGATATAAATGAAAATGCTGACACTCGTCATTAAGCCGATTCAATTAAGAAAAAGTTAATAAAATTAGAAACAGCTATTACTTTTTTTTCAGAAATGTGTACTAGGTAGATGCTACAAGTGTTTATTTACAAAGAATTGATATATTTACTGGTATAATAGTATACTTCAATCATTGATAACATGTGTGATCAACTCAGAAATGATTTTTACGCAATTAACGATAAAGCAAAAATATTGAGTATCTAAGTAAATAAAGAATAGTCCAATAGAGGAAAAAACCAACGTATAATTATTCAAATATATTCAGATGGTACTTCAGATCATGAAAATTTAAAAGTTAGAGTAAAATTCATAGTCAACAATTGTTTCGTTACTTATATTATTAACAAAATATTATTGATAAATTGCAAATCAAAATAAAAAAAAAGGTAGTTCAGCGCATGAAAATATAGCAAACCTCTTTAGACTTTTCACTCGTTTAGTAATGAATTATTAAAAAAATTTGTATATAATTTAGCTAAAGTGTATTCTTGTGATCTAGAAGAATGTCTATAAGACGAGTTTAAACAATTCATAGGTCAACATGTTACAAATGATCGTTGAAGATAATTTTTCAGGCCCTTTTCTACGTGTTTATGTACTTATCATTCCGAATTATTTTAAGTATACCAGTTACTAACTATGAAAGTAAACGATCCTTTTCTGCACTAACCATAATAAAAATAAATATCGTTGTATGATGGGTGAATCAAGACTGACATCTCTATCAATTCTCTCAATAGAGTTGAAGATATAATAAGACAATTTGCTGAGGAAAAATCCAGGAAAAAGTTTTTTAAATATATCTTAGATTAGATTAAAAATATATGTATATTTTTTTTTATTGCATATGCCACATTACAATTAGAATAAAATGTAATTTAAAAATATGCCATACTTCTTTAAATAATATTTATTAAAAATTACTAAATCTGATTAAATAAGAGGAAATTGTTTTGGGCGAATGAGCCTCACTAAAAGTAATAGCCCCCTTTAAATTATGACTATAATCCGGCCCTGGTTGTGACCTTCAGAAATCGAAAATGACGTTCGTATATAATTTTAATACTTCCGTTTTAATGAGTTTAGAGAACACTGGACAGCTGTTACACAAAATCAGTCTTGAAAAAAATACTTTTAAAATTGTAACTAAAAACTGACACAATTATACAAATGAATCCATTCAGAAAGTATTTAAGAACAAATACCAATACTATTTGTAATTTTCCTTATAAAATTTTGTAATTAGTAATTAGTAGTTTGAAATAATAACGTCTCATCTAATTGTAATTACTAGTTAAATTTAGAACTTTGACTACCAGACTACCTACTTAATTTTATAGTACTATAATTTATACTGAAAAATGAAAATAAATAAAAATTTAATAATACATTACTTTAACTCTGGAATACTTTGATAAATTAAACAATAAACGGTTGTTAATGAAATATAAAATAAATAAATGTTTTATAATTTGATTTTGATTTAAAAAAAAAAAAAACAATAAACCTAATACAAATTATCAATAATAACAATTTTAAATGTGATAAATAATAACAATTCTTTTAAATTTTGTGTAATGAAAAAGTGTTTAAATAAATAAACCTACTTGATTTTCAAATACAAATAAGTCCATGTATTTAAAATGTATTCTTAATAGTAAGTGCTTAGTACTAAATTCGAACCATTTTAAACTTACTATTATCAACTTATATACCATAAAGGCATAAATATTTACTTGAATAATCACCCTGTAGTCTGTACAAATGTGAATTGAAAACTATAATATTGAAAAATCAGATACTATGACAAGCTGTAGACCGTGCAACAATGCGCTTTGAACGAACACTTAGTTAAACAAAAACAAATGCTTCATAAACACGTTTTTCGGAAAAACAAAACGAGCTTAAAGAGCTTTATTTCATCAGAATGTGAATTTTCAATTTCTACTGGATATTTATTTAATATTTTTCTTTGTACGAAATATATTTTTTATTGGGTGGGTAATAAAATACATTTAACATGTAAATATTATAGATAAATTAATGAACGTAAAATATATGAAAATATGAAATACATTTCATTTCAATTTTTACAAAATGTATAATTTCTATGTTGGGTGCATTTAAATGTTAATCAATCTATATCGTTTAATTATTACATTTAACGTTATATTTATACCAATTCTACTTATTTTGTTTAGGTAGACTTAAGGTTAACTTAATCTGACGTATATATTATTTGTATCATTATTTGGTTGTCACCTGATTGCGGCCCAAAGTAACCTTTTTACCTTTTTACCTTTTCACCTATCCCAATTGCAGCGAGTACACATTAGGTAGGTTTGTAGGAAACTACCTATAAAGTGGTTATAAAAACTAAATAAATATCCCGATTGCGTCCGATACGTATTTTGACATAAATATATAACTTTCGTATTCACGATTCCCACGATCACCAATATTCGGCGTGGTAATTTCCAGTCCATTAAAGATAAAAAAAAATTAAGATAAAATGTAAGACTATTTTTTTGACGTATACTTTTTACAGTCTTGTAATAAATTATAAATACTTGTATATTTATTCATAAAATGAATTATATTTATAATAATAATAAACGAGACATTGTATTTGAGTCAGGGCTTGCATTTGAAAAATAAATTTTGTTTTACGTTATTTACAATCAAAACGTTATACAAATTTTGAGTTTACCATAATTCAAAATTTAAACGTTATTCAACTTTTGTGTTTATCGTTATTCATAATTAAAACGTTATACAATTTTTGCGTTTATCGTTATTTAAAATTTAAAAGTATTTAGATACCTGTTTTAAAAGGATACGACTATGACCTTTTTTTGGGGACATAATTTCCCTATTCTGAGTTTTAAGTAGGTATTGTTTAATTTTATTTATTTAATTAAATGGGTTAAACTAATATAGAGAAAACGTATGCACGTTAAAACTATAAGTATATTAGTATAAAATATAAATATTAAACATTTGACAACAATTAGACAAACACTGACGAGTGAAGTGAATAAATCTGAGCAAACTGAACACCGAACACAATAGTTGAATAACTTGAGCGGTATAAATTTTGACCGTAGTACAGATAGTACAGTACAATATTATCAGAGCATCACTATTATTAGCTATTGGTAATTAAACTATTCTATTAATAACTTCTTATTAAGTTTTAAAATAATATCGAATACGGGATCTCCCGGATAGGCCGGATACGGAATAAAATTAATTCTTGGATTGAATAAATAATTGAATACTACTAAGTATTATTAAATAATTGGGAATTAATTATTTCGTTTAATGGAATACAGTATATACCGTTTTGCGTTATGTTTTGTTTAATGATACATCATATATTTTGTTAAACGTTACGTTTTGTTTTGTGTTATTTATTTATTTACGTTTATCGTTTTCCGTTATAATTACGTTTACAAATTTCAATCGTTTTTTATCAAATATAACGTTATAATCATAACGTTATTATAACGTTTGCAAGCCCTGATTTGAGTTACATATACCTACAAATATTTCTAATACAAAATGCATAATTTTATTAATTATAAGCTGTTTTGTGAACCAATGTGTGTTTGGACGGGCCGAAATCGGGATACTTATATTTGGGATAAACTACGACTAGTTGTATTCGTGCAGCAATCGGGCAACTCCGCATTATTTTGGCATGTAGGTAGTATAATGGGTAGGTATAGAGGTATAACAGGATAGAGATTATTATAATAAATTACGAAACGGGGGGGGGGGGAGGCAAAGGGAGAGTATACTTTACAAACAACGACGACGATGATACTAAGTTGATGATGGACGATGTAATTGGTTGGCAATTTCGGCTGCTACGGGCCCACAAAGTTGCGCTTAGCCCATTATGATTTTGAATTATGGTTGGCGAAAACAAACAAAATGAACCAGCGAAAAACAAATGTCCTCGGAACACTCCACGAGGTTAGCAAAAAAAAACAAAAATGGACCGGGGAAAGACTTCCACGAGGTTGTGGAAAAAACAAAGTGGACCGGCGAAAAAGAAGTCCGGGAGACGTGACTGGAAAACTTAGCCAGTGGTCGTGAAAAGAGTCATCGTTGGTCGGCGTCTCAGCTTGGACAGCGGTCACCGACGGAGAGTTTTGAGTAGACGGAGCTGACCAGTGTCGTCGCGTCATGAACTTTTGTACAGTAATTATATTTTGGGGGACAGGTTGCCCTGTCGGATATTTTGATATGTAATTGGAATTTTTTATTTTACTTGGATCCAAATATCTACCAGAAACCATCCTGAATTAAAGTATTTTTATGGCCCCAAAAATGACAGACAGAAAAAAATTTTCATTGTTAAATAATAAATTCATTGCCTAGCTTAGAATCTACAACAAACTATATCGTTAATAGCCTTCAATGTCATTGTTTCTTGACATTAAAAGTTAATTCTATTATCATAACCTACTAACTATTAAACATAATATTGAAACGTAACAACTTGAGCATAAAATTCTGAAGAAATGACAATCCTTAAAAATCCATCGTCAATTTTTTTTATTGAAGAGCACCAAATATAAAATTCAGCTTATTGAAAAAAATATAACAATTCACAATGGGAATCTACGACAAAATAATACTGCAAAGTAAATATAAGAACAACTATCAGTAATTTAACTGTAATTTAACGCGTTTAGTAGCTTATGTATGTGTAATATTATGTATGTACAGTTAACATAGCTATATGTTTGATGTACAACCTTTTAAATTTTTATTATGTTTGTTTGTATTTTGTTATTTACATAAAGCTCCGAGTGTTAATTCTTTTGTTTAAAAAAATGTCAATAATTACTTAAATGTTCATGTATGTTATAGGCTTGAAAAATAAAGCGTAATACTATTGAAGTTTTGTAAAATATTCTTTTAGTTTACAGTCTAGTATTTACTAGTTACAGTTCAAGACGTACAATTTTTTAACCAACAAAATGTGCTTTATTTCATATATTATCGTTTTAAATGTTTCTATCATTTTAATGATGATGATTGCTTTTTCTAATATAACGTTTGTGATTCAAATACAATCTTTACGATTATATCGTAAGTATTTAAAGAAAACATAGTATTGGACAAATATTAAACGTATCTACGGTACATTTAGATATTACACGGTTCAATACTAATTGGATTTGTTATCTGTATATAATGTTACTGTGTACTGTGTAGGTATATACATAATGCAGCCAGTGGCTTTACATGAAATAATTATGTAATAACACATAGCTTATATTATGTATTCATATATAATATTATTATATTCATAAAATATGTATATTGTATACTGTACCCATAACTTATATGATCATTGATCAATGTTCAGGCTGTTAATACTTAATAACAAACCAGCGGCGTATTTACGGGGGGGAAGGATTGGTATTTTTTTTCTATTATTGAAGAATTTACCTACATACCTTGACACTAAATCGTGTTTAGTATTTACTATCTTATTGTATTTTTCATTTTACCAAATAAAGTAGAAAAAAAATCAGTTAAAAGGTTATTAATACCCTGTCAATACGCCACTGAAACCGCCATATCGTAGCTAGTGCGGCGAGTTCGTGCGATTTCTGTCCGATTCCTATCCTAGGTATTGTGCCATACTATATGCCCCAGCAGTTGTATTACTCATTAGTCATTAGTCAGTTATTACTTATTTAAACAAACGTAAGTGCCTTGAAAATTGTGTAATCATAAATTAATAAATCCTTTTTAAAATTATAATAAATCATAAGAAATAAAAAATAAATTTCATAAGTACCATATAAAAAAATAAAAACCAAGCAACTTAAAGACTAATATTGAGTCTTAATCACTATCACTGGATCAATATTAATTAATATCCTTGTGTATATTGAGGATTTCCAAACTGTTAAGCCGCACTTGATCTGTAGTATTTCTAAGGTCAGTTTTAAATCGAAGCAAAATAGAAAAATACCATCTTCTGCCGTAGCTGTTGTAACTAATTTGAAATTTGAACTTGATACTCAATGACTGTCGACGGGAGAATAATAGTTTCGTTGCTTTCGTGATAGTCAGTAGGCCTGTCAGGTCTGACCATAGACCTTATACTACAAGATAAGAACTGTGTATAACAACAACACGCGAGCTGCGTAACAATATACCGCAGTGATGTAGGCTGTCTTTACGAAAAAAAAAATACAATAATCCATGTACTTAAATATTTTACCCTGCTAATCCGCATTACCGTGCATACGAGTAATCGAGTAATCGAAAAGCGCCCTCTATGTGGTTACGCTTTCTATACACTCATTACGTCTTGTAATGACTAGCAATGAGTGTGTGGAAAGCCCGAAAGCGTAACAACATGGAGCTCGATTTTTGGTACGCATGGTAATGCGGGGTAGCAGGATAAAATATCTAGATATTATATAGATTATTGTATTTTTTCGTAAAGGCAGCCGAAATCACTGAGATGTTTTGTTACGCAGCCCGCATGCTGTAGTTATGCGCATTAACTGGCCGGATATCGAATATATAACAATGATGGGTGCACGTGTAAGATTTATTACGAAGGCACCCGGGTATCTAGACACAGCCCTTAAAAGTTTACAGCTTAAAATCCATAGATGATGATTATTATCTATAGTAAAATCGTATAAAAAGTGCTTCAAAGCAATAATGGTCTCATCTTTGTTATTTCTCCTGTTCTAATTTTATTATTTTGATTTAAGTGTAATATGAATTATAAAATCGTTAGAGTATGTTAAATGTGAACAATTATATGAGACTTCAGTGAAAATAAATTTATGTGTGAAATAATGTTATGTTTTATGTATAAAATGTATAGTCAATCGTCAATATATTTATTTTCAATATTAAATTTTTTGCCAAAAACTACTGTTTATAATCCTCGAGACACGTATCGACAATTATCGCGATTTTTATTCTGAAAAATATTCGGGTTCTCCGTAATATGTAAAAGATCGAGCCACATTTGAACTGTTGTTATTTAGATTGCAATAAATGTTGTAATAATTTTCAAAAATTGGCAAAATTTCAAACTTAAATTTAATTTAATCAACTAACGAAAATCATAAACATGTACCTAGATTGATCCCTCGTACATGTTGTGGAAAATAAGAATATTTTTTCAAAATGCAAATTGATGTAATCGTTGTGACGTATTGTTTGGATTAGAGTTGTCTGTTTGAGCGAAAAATAAATATTTTTTCTGAATCACAAAATTGTTATCTGACTTGTGCGTGTGACTGCTTGCGAGACCTTTTCGTGTTACTACTAACGATCATTTAAGACCAACACAAGACAAAGCTGATTTCTGAATGGATAAAAAATTGTCTGTAAAATTGTATTTTCATATTATTTTTAGTCGGCCAAAAGAAAAAAATTGGATGGGAGCCGGGAGGGTATAACCTTAAGGCTTAAACATCCATGGTTGAGCCACTGAATGTGGTTACTTTACTACTATTGTTTTAAATAATATGGAACTATATTAATTATACTTAATATATTGTATTTGTTTATGAAGCTACAGTAAGCACATATCCGTCTCAAAAACGTACAACATAGCAAAAACTGTTTTTTTTCGGGTTAGAACCGCCAGACTAAGGCGACCGAATTTTCGCACTATAAAGTGGACATTTACACTTTACATTTCATCGTTTTTATTTTTACCATATCACAAACACAAAAATATCCTTATTGTTAAAAAATTCAATATTTCAAACTTGAATAACTTTTTTTATATTTATGATATCAAAGAAAATAATAACGATGATTCACAGTAAATTTTCTCCTGTTTATAGTGTGAAAATTTGGTGCTCAGTTTTTACTAGTCTGGGTGGTTCTATCCTGTCCAAAACAGATTTTGATTAAATTATTTGTACTTAGAATATTTTCAAGCCGCAATATTTTGGGTTTGGAAAATAAACGAGTTAATCGTGTATTTTCCAAACACATGGATTATTCGTAGATCGGAGTATTTTGATTTATATTTATCAATTGTAAATTGAATTAATATCATTCATGGAGCATTTGAATATACAGTAAATAGACTATTAAGTGTTAGAGTTTTATTTTTTAAATTATTACCTACTCTACTCATTATATTGTGTCATCATCACCATCACCCGTACGTAAGCAAAAAACGTTAATACAATTCTCTAAATTCTTTCAAAATACAATATTTTGAAATAAAATTAATTAACTTATTAATTAAATTGTAATTCAGCTTTTAATAATTTTCCAGAACTTACAAAAATATATGATACAGATTACGATGCATATTTTAGAAGAAAAATAACAAAAGACAGTAAGACCACTTGATTAAGTTTATATAAATTATTAGTGTAAAATATAAGCACAATAAAGTTTCAAATCTTCATATTGCTTCTATTCATTATATTTTTCATGCGTTAGATTAATTCTCGTATTCAGTGTAGTTGTTTAGGACACTTTTGTTGCGATTACCAACTTTGTCTAACTTAACATTCTTAGGTTAAATTGCTTTAATTTTTAACATTTTGATTACACTACTCCCACATCCGTGAAGTTCTCCACGTCCAATTTCTATCCTCATGTCACGTCGTCACCTCAAAGTTAAACTGAGACAAAAATTCATTACTTCACTTTAAAATAGATCCCTGAATGCACCAGATCTTCTTGAAAGAGTTTGCTTCTGTTCAGTGTTCAGTCATATCCTACCCACAACCAACTACCTTTTGCTATCCAGAGTCACACCTTATACTCATAAACGGAGCACGAAGTTGGAATGCGGGTGGGTGGTAGGGTCATTCCTTGCGACCAAAAACGTTGTTATTAACAATTACCATACAATATTATACAACTTATTGAATTATATTAAATTATATTTCATATTTATTAAACTTAATCAAAATGAGCTATATCAAAATTATAACACCTCAATTAAAATATTTTTTTGCTGTAGAAAACTAGTATAGCGCCTATGAGTTATGACCAGAATACGATAATAATTACTATGACACAATATCTATACACAACCTGGTTCATTATTCACACATGTGCAGAAGTGTGGAACAACATGCAGCGCGGCCACCTTCCCCCGCGGAAACTTCATCTATACTATGGCCACACTACCCGATACCTTGAACGGCCATAATCAGTCACTTTAACTCATGCTCAGAACATATTTTTTACCGACTAATTCCCTCTCTTTCAGATTAAACTTAATATTCAATATATTTCATATATGTATTTTAATTATATTCAGAATTATAATGTAGGTATAACATTATTATTTTATTTGCATTGTAGTATGAATTAACTAGTTCCATTTTTCTGCCACTTCTTCCATTTGGAGAATTTATTGTAAAATAGACAATTTTATTTTTATAAAAATATAGGACGTCAACATTTTTAACCATGTTTTCACATCAGCAAAAATATTGTCCTATTATAGGTATAAACTATAAGATATTCATGATGAATAAGCTTATTTCTCATAATATTGAATTCCAGAGTCCAAAATATTTTTAAACTGTTTTCAACATTTTGATATCGCCGTTTTTATTGTTCGGCAGTAGCACAGGGTTTTAAATAGATGTACTATTGTACTAACTTTGTAGTGCCAATTTCACGTAGGTCTGATTAGCGGTAGAGAGAACAAGTATAATATATTATATATTAAATGAATTGAACATTTACCTTCAATTTAATTAAAATAAGGTTTTCGTGTTAAAGTGACTCATATAAAATATTAAAATGTATTAACATAATACAAACAATATAAGAAATCGTAAATATCACATTATCATTTTTCATAATTTATAATAATCTATTAAATAACATGTCTTCATAATATTATATGATGGCAATTTGTACGTGTAAAATGTGACCACTGACCACCTTTACGCTTTGTTTACTGTATCAAAATATACGATACCAAATTGTGAATCGACTATAGTCTATATAGTTAAATAGATTTAAAGAATAATCAAATTTGAATAATGAGTCGTATTGTATGCATTGGTTATATTTTTAGAGGAAAAAAAATTGAGTGTTACACAATTTTATGCGGCAAAATACAGTAAGTCAAAAAACAATTTTTAAGGTTGCCAAAAAGGTTTATTTATACCTATAACCAAGAGTGTGCCGAACTACCAAACATAATTTCGTCCGGGAGGGGAGGAGGTAAAGCTGGTAGTTTGGCTAACTCAAAAAAATGTTTGGAGTCTTGTTATCTTGTTGGAGCCATTTATTAGGCCGTTAAAGTGCTTTTATTTTATAAGTTAATAATTAAGTCAATTTGTTGAACTAACTATGAAAAAACAAATTATAACATTCATAACGATTTATTAGGTAGGTATACAAAATTAGGTTAACTGAAAAATATTTGGATTCAACTCTCTGGTTGACATAAATTTCACGTTTCTACCAATACGCGCGAGAAGTACCTTACACATTTGATAATCGGGCAGTTAGTCGGTACTAAACATTCAAACTTTGAAGTGTTTAAATTTTAAATTACCTAATGCATTTGATAATCAGCCAGTCAGTCGGTTATAAAAATTCAAAATTTGAAGGGCTTTCATTTCGAAAAGACAATTTATTTATATTGAACTGTTTTGTAAATAAAGTTTTTATCAGCCAATAAATAAATAATAATAAAGTTAATCTATTACATAAAAGTAAATTATTTTCTTTATTCATTTTTATAGATTTAACATTCATTAGTAAGTAACCTATAGTCACCAAGTCATCACAAGTCTAAAATGTAATTTAATATAACAATAGTATTTAATCATTTATTGGTGACCAGTGACAACCTGTAATTTTCTGGTTTTTAAATCTTTTTTGCGTATTTATTACCTGCACATTCGTTTTGTGTACTATTACATTTTAGTTCATCTCACAAACAAGTGGGGATTTTTTTAGTTAAAATGTATTTATTTCAATTTATATATTTAGATATTTTGTATCTACCTACATAAACATTAAAGCTGAACAGCTTTTGTGTTTGATTTAGAGATTTCTATATGTTTAAGAGAAATTATTATATAATTATTATTTGTATTAAAATAGCGATAACTTACAATTATATTATTCAGTACCTACTCAACAATTGATAAAAAATACTAATATTATTTTTGTTTTATTTACATAGCTGTCAGTACTAAACTTTTACAGCTAAAAAATATTATTTATTATTAAAAGAATTAAAGAATTACATTTCGGCTGTTTCATATAACAGATTACAGCTATATAATCTTGTATCTTCACGTGTGAACGTGAACGAGTTCCATCAAACAAATGTGTGTTATTAGGTTGATAAAAATTAATTTCTATGTAAATATATTGTTTTATCTTTACGTACATACTACATAATAATATGTACGATAATCATCCTGATTGAATAAAATTAAAGATTGTATTAATGTATAAAATACATCTTTTATTTTTTTTTCAGGATATAATGTACCTGAGTCAGCTAACAAATATCGCCAAAAATCCTCAAAACAGATTGATAATTGTGGTATTTATTTTGAAAAAGGAGATACTTATTGTAAGTTTATAAGTTAAATGCTAATTTAATAAGATTATTGACTATTGTTCTTGTTACTGCGGTATTGTAGACTATATGGTAAATAATAAAATGATCACGGTTGAGGTAAAAAACTAACAAATAGTTTTGATTTTATGACGATTGACGGTGACAGTGGTAACGTATAAACTAAAACACACAGCCGACAAGTGTACTGAAGAAGACCCGACCGTGGTACGTATGACGTATTGTCTTCGATGAGAAACACAAGCTGAACACTGCCGTTTTGGTGAGAATGACCGCATTGATAGCCCAGGCGGAGGAACGCCTTTGGGCCGGTCTTCACCTGCCCTATCACTGTATGTTATGACTAGAGCTCGGATTTTGTAGCGAATGCTTCTTTTAGGGGGAATATGATAGGAAGATAATTCTTATATATAAATAGGTTTTGAATCGTTCCGATTTTAATGAAGTAAACTTTGTTTTGCTTTTTTTTGCTTTTTATTGCTTTTTCCCATATTTGGTTCTTTTTTCTATATTTTTATACATTTTTCTTGAAAATTTAACTTATTTAACTTATTTATGTGTATATTATACTTGGACTAAATTAATATTACCAGAAATTATAAAACCGGTGAAAAATTAAGTAATTAATGTATGACTGATAAAATAACGATGGTTATTGTGTCAAAATAGTTTTATCTGCAATTATCTATAGTTGTATTTACGACTCAAGGAAAGTGAAAATTATCTGAATTATACCTGCGTATTTTTATAGCACGTTCCAATACTTTAGTTGACTGGTAAATATCAATCGACAATCAGTGAAATAAAGTGCTCTCTATAATCGTCAAAATGCCAAAAGTTAAAAATAAAAATTATATTAGCACCTATTAGTATGAGTTTTAATGAAAGTAACGTGACTAAATATATAGTCGTAAATTCCTTTTTTAATATTTAATTTTATGTGTAACTGAAATTTGTTTTTTTAGAATTAAATTTGATAAATGTTTTTTTTTGCTTTTTTTGGCAACTTAAAATGCTTTTTTAAGGATTTATTTTGCTACAAAATCCGAGCTCTAGTTATGACGATCGCATAACCTGGCAATGTAAGCACACGACGTCAGTGTGGCCTCATACAAGTGAACAAAATAAAGGCGCTAACATTTGGCCATTTCACTCCTTAGGATAGTCCTCGACCAGGTCGGTTAAGAGGAGAAAAGCTTCTTGCCCCCCGAAAAAAGTACACCATTTAAAAATGTCGTAATTAATAAGTAATAACACATTTACGTGAATATAAAAAAAGGAAAAACAACAATAATATAATAATACATTTATACTTTGAATACTTTCCAAGATTTGGCGTATTAAACAAAAACTAATATTATTTCATACTAACATAATATGTAAAAAAAAACCACTAAACATAAGTTTATATAATCTATATGAAACGGTTAGAAAGACGTCTTTGACAAGTTGGTCTAGACTCCCCCTCGGATGGGTACTCGTACTTCTACATCCTCTCCGAACTCCACTTCTTCGTCGCCTGGTGAACTGAGGATCTTCCACGATTTTAGCTGCGAAACGCGGGCGGTGGTCGAGTGCAGCTCTCGGCCATCAGTGACTATTTCAACGACTTGATAAGTGTCAGGCTGCCAAACTTCAATAACCTGTATTGGCCATGATTTGCGTTATTAGGTCACAATATATGCATGCGATTGGCGCTCGAACCAACAATAGTTGGACGCACCAGTCTCGTCTTTCTATTCAACAGTAAAGATCTTAAAAATGAATTTCGTTTCGACGAGTGGGTGTTCGATTCGGCAAAACAAACGCTCGTTGATCTTGACGTCCCCTCAATTTTAACTGTACTACAGCTGCTTGTGTGTGTGCTCATCTACATTTCGAACAATGACACCTAATTTTAGGACAGTCTCTAGTATATATAGCCATTAAAATGTATACCGTCTTCTATTTCTGTTTTTTTTTACAATGTATTGAATTACTAACGTTTGATACAAACATATTAAAGAAAATAATTTTTACTATTATTTGTGTTTTTATTTCATATCGTCACATATTTATTTTTTATTTTTTAATCCTAATTATCTTTTAAGATACTGTATATTATTGTTATATTTATATTCAGAACGTATTACAAATAAGATAAACATAAAAAAAATTTACCTACCATAAACGTAATGTTATTACTAATTATTTCAACTAATCTAGATGTACGTAAATTAATTATTTAACAAATTGACAAAATAATCTATTTTTTAAAATTTAGGTCTCAATGAGTACCAAACTACGAACTATGCAGGTAAATATTTAATTTTGTTTGAAGTTAAATTTCATGTTGTGTTAAGTTAATAATAATTCATAGATATTATTAAAGTTTTGATATAAATAATTTATGTTCTATTATCTTAAATATTAAAATGTTTTCTTTTTTTGTGTTTGTAATCAAATCAATTGTTTCTAAATAGTCATATACTTCATTAATATTTTTTGGCAATACACGTAATATTTGTCGGTGAGCTCGATATACATTATCGCGTAATTACTTTGTAAATCTTAATAAAAGTAAATTAGTATTTACTAATGCGCAGTTCTCAATTTCGGAAATTACGATTTTGGATGGTCTTACCGTAATATCTTCAATTGCAATTATTTTTGTGATAGTCCTGATAATTAGACGCACAATTTGTTTTGTCTCCTCGTCGTGGTCATGTTCTAACTAGAACTTTTAAGTTTGATTCATCTGTTAAATAAAAGAATAGGGATAATGAATAACTACTATATAACAAAAGTTAACAGTTTTGGTATTCCTTACCTGTTTGTAAATTAGGGTAAATTAAATATATATTTTTGCTGTACATGTTTTCTTGGCACATCACCAACACGTTTTGCCACAATGGCTCTCGCGGGCAAAAGAAACCTAACCGAACCGATGTTATAAATTCCATTGTAATCATGTACGACCGAACCATGTGTAACACTAAACGTGGGTCATAAATTTTGCTATCAACTAAACGATTGCGAATATTGTGATGTTCTACAATATTTGTAGGTTCCGCTTTTAGCTTTTTTTATCAATTTCATCTGATGATAGCCCCTGCTGGGGGCAAATGTAATTTCAATACCTTTTGATAAGGCACGCGGTCGCTTCAAGTACCGGTGATTGTAAACTGCGCCCAAAATACAGGTAAACACAAAATCACACATGTAAACTGCGCCCGAGTTTTTATCAAGAGTAAAAAGGTGACATGTAAACTGCGGCCGGATAAAATTACAGGTAAAATACTTAATTCGTCGCAGCCATATAATTTGAATAATTAAAAAGAAAAATAAATACAAATATTACAAATAATTACATATGGTGGATACATATTCGTCAATTTGAATTTGACTACGATTATATTTATTAAGAGCTTTGGAATTTATAAAATTCATACTTAATTCGTTACAGCCATATAATATGAATAATTAAAAATAAAATATCATTTTAAAAAGCAAAATAAATACGAATATTACAAAAATTAACGTCATATTTTTATAATATATTAGGAATTAATATAAAATAAAATTTTAAAAATTAAAATAATTATAAATATTACAAATAGTAACATATGGTGGATACATATTCATCAATTAGAATGTGACTACTATTATTTTTATTAATTACATTTTCTAACTTTTCGCGTTTTTTTTTTGTTTTAGAGTTTTGGAATTTAAACGGTTCATTTATACTATTTAGTTTAATGTATACTTCTATTTGAATTTCTTTTAACTTTTCTATGAACATGAAAATATTTGGATGAGTTGTATAAAAGCTGGAATTAAAGTGAGAATGGAAAGACTCGCATACATTGAGGTTAAAGTTGGCTCTGCTGATGCTTGAGCCCATATTTCAGGTGAATACTGAGCTTCTTCACTTATACATACGTCTACCAAATAATCCGCAAATCGTGTCACTCTTTCGTCGTCAGGCTTTGATTTCATTAAATAATTGACAAAATACTCAGATAAACTTCCCTGGACTTAGAAATGGTAAACCGTAACAATGCACTAACCACCTTCTAATATCGCTGTTTTTATCTTTATAGTCATTACTTAAACCATTTTGTTTGATACTTCTATTCCAAGACTGTGCTAAATGAAAGCGACATCCGTGGCCAAACAGTAGGCCAAACAGTATTACATGCTAAATGAATAGCTTTTTCGAAATCTATTACAACATCGGATGGTGAAATAGTTATATTGTTTTGGAAACTATATTCACAAATAGATTTTAAGCAATTAGTATATGATATTGTACTTTTATCGGAGAGTAAAAATATGGCGAGTGGTATGTAATAGTCGTTGATAAAACCATGAATCGTAAACATTTGTGTGAAGTATTTAGGGCATTATGAAAATGTACCATCCATGTACAACCATTTTGATAGTGCAAGAGCTTTTAAATTAGAAATGCAACTGAAAACAAAATATTTCAACTCCTTGTTGTTTATTAATAAAAATAATTCATCTCTATTTGTCTGAACACCGCGTTCATCAAGAAGTAATTGAATTTCTTCAATTGATTTAGGGAATGGAGGCAATATCTTTCTTCTAGCATTATATATGTTTCTTTTAATATTACGTACATAACTTACTTGTAATTGTTCCGTTGGTATATTTTTAATACCATTACAAAATATTCTACTAGGTTTAGTGCATATATCTTCAGTCGCCTTGCGTTTTACGATACCAGTCACGAATTGTTTTTAAAGGTTTTGATCACTTAATGATTCGTGGTTATGGTTTAAACTTTATTCAGTGATTCTGTCGTCATCACCTACCGTTTTTAAAAATGCTCTACAAGTTTTGACCGTACATCGCCATTTAACCTCACCCGAACTTAGAGGCCGATTAATTTTACGAAACTTAAAATTAGAAATAATTTTCAAACATTTTTCACGCTGCGACATGAATTGTTCGGCCATTGTGACTTAACTGATTAAAATGAATACGATAGGTTCTAGCAGAACTATGCTGGAAGTAGTGATAACCATCAATTGTCGTATTACTGCAATATAGATATTTGATAACGTGATGGTATTTCTTGACGAAAATATAATGTCTGTGATATACTTGAAAAAGTACACAATCGTCAAACATAGAGACTTTGATAAGTGAACATTTAATAAGTTAATAAGTCGGGCGCAGTTTACGTTATACCTTTTTAACATAGATAACATTTGGGGCGCAGTTTACACAACACCTTCTCAACTAAGATAAAAATTCGGGCACAGTTTACAAAAAAAAAGGTCATTTGGGCGCAGTTTACGTATGCCCTCAAGTACTGCAGTTTCGAGTGCACTGCATGGTTAGTTATTGTAGTCATAATATACATATATTATTACATTAATTTTATAGTGTCCAATTACCGGATACAACAATAAAAAATCGTTGAAAATTTTGGCCCAATCACCGAGTCAACTTGTTAAAAATTTAAAACTTTAGTGGCCCAATTACCGTATAACTTTTTGAAAAAAGTTTAACTGTGGCAAAATTCCAGGGCTCCTGTAATACATGTTAAATACACGTCACAAGTGCATTATTTAATTTAGATCAATACGCAACAATATTTTATATACCTATAATATATTGCAATCCCATTAGTTTACAATATGCTTATTTAAAATGGTAACTATAATAATGACTTAAATTTGTTTTTTAGTTCAACAATATTATTTTAGGAAATTTCAAATTGCGATGGCAACATTAGTTAAGGGAGCAAGTAAGTGCCTAATTTATATAAGTTAAACTTTTATGAAATTAGTTTTAGATTCTGAGTGGAACGATGAATGTATTGATTTTACAATGATGTGTGTTTTTTTTTTTATTTTTTATTTATTTTTTTTATTTTTTTTTTTTGGGTCTGTCATCACCTTTTAGGACAATAAAACTGCTTCGATTTTCTTTAACAGCAACTTTTCTGATTGGAAAGTGAATCTAGTTGGTACTTTGGGGGGTTAAAAGTAAACATTTCCCAGTAGTTTTCAAAAGCGACGTGAAAAACAAAAGAAAAATTAAGGAAAAACGGGAATTAAAACAAAATCGATTTTGGTTTTGTTGTAACTCTAAAACAAATGGCCGTAGATATATGAAACTTTCACAGGTTGTTTATATTTGCATTTTCTATACACTATAAAATTTTGAAAATAATTGGACTCTTTTTGAACTGTTTACGGACATTGTCAGTTTTCAATTTTTTTAATTTTTTTTTTCTATAAATCCTTAGTCACGGTTTTTTTTATAAGCATTTAAAGTTCAAATATTGACAAAATACGTAAAAACGACGAAAATTTGGAAATTATTTTAAGTTAGAAATTCGTAAAAAATTTTGTTTTTAAATCTAAGATTTTAAAATTTAATACAAGATTCCTCATAAGTTTGTCTACCTTTATCAAAAAAAAAATTTTTAGGAGAAAGTCAAATTAAATTTTTATGAGCGTTTGAAATTCATATTTTTAAAACATTTGATATTCACTCGATTTCTCATATAACGATTTTCTGTTTTTGTTGTAATTAAAAAACGAATGAAAGTAGATACTTGAAAATTTCACTGAATGTTGATATTAGCATTTTCTAAACACGATAAAATTTTGAAAATAATTTGACTCTTTTTGAGATGTTTACGGACATAGTCAATTGTCAATTTTCTTAGTTTTTTTTCTATAAATACCAATAAAATTTTATTTGTTGGGCGAAAAAGTTTGAAAATTTAATACAAGGCTCCTGATATATTTTTACAATAGCAATTGTAAAATATTTAAAATACATAGGCACAATTTTTTTTTATAAGCAATTTAAAATTCGAATTTTGACTCAGATATATTGGTATTAATATGTCTTAAACCAAGACTGAAATACCGTCTCCACTCAGAATCGTTTTTCTTATACAATGATATTGTATCATTGAATTCAAATTCAATTCCATCCATTATACAGTGACCCACTCGTAACCTACTGTACAGCAGAGCGACATCCACTTACCCGCTTTTTTGTTTTTAAGTATATTAATCAAAAAACAAAACGTTTTAATCTCAGTATTTAATGAATGAATACCTACATTAAACTTCTGACAAACAGAGTCATCAAAAAGTGTTTATTTCTTTTTAACTTTTCAACTTCTTTTTTTCACTTGGTCCAAATAATGATATTTGCTAACGTAAATTATTCCAAATTATTGAACACAGTACACACGACAATAGGTAAAGTTATAAAATAAAAAAATTATTTTATCAAATTTAGATCTATGCATTTTTAATATCCAGTAACAAATATTCATGTACTTGCCTCTAAATTATAAACTGTATCAATATTATTTTTCAGCTAAGAAAATGCCCATAAATTCGGAAACTACAACGATTGAAAGTTGGTCAACTTATTATAACCTATATAATTAAAAAAAATTTAGTGTACACGATATTATAATGTTCTTATTCACTAAAAACCTATTAAATTCCGTTATTATAATATTGCTTAGTATTAAGGCTTTATTTAGATGTCTAAAAATAGTTATATAATAATATTGTATCACCTATTACAATATTAAACTTTAAAAATATCACATGAATTGTATTATTATAAAATATTTCACAACGCAGCTAAATAATATAATAACAACATTTGATAAATTCCCATAAACTATGATATCCATAAAAAAAGCACTTCCCTCTCCCCTGGCTACGCTTCTGCGTTCTTAAAAATCTATAAGACTTGTTAGCCTACTCGTGTAGTCCTGTACAATAAGTCCTTCAATGATTATTTGTATACTTAAACTATTCCAAATTATTGAACACAGTACACACGACAATAGGTAAAGTTATAAAATAAAAAAATTATTTTATCAAATTTAGATCTATGCATTTTTATTATCCGGTAACAAATATTCATGTACTTGCCTCTAAATTATAAACTGTATCAATATTATTTTTCAGCTAAGAAAATGCCCAAAAATTCGGAAACTACAAAGATTAAAAGTTGGTCAACTTATTATAACCTATATATTTAAAAAAAATTAGTGTACACGATATTATAATGTTCTTATTCACTAAAAACCTATTAAATTCCGTTATTATAATATTGCTTAGTATTAAGGCTTTATTTAACTGTCTAAAAATAGTTATATATTAATATTGTATCACCTATTACAATATTAAACTTTAAAAATATCACATGAATTGTATTATTATAAAATATTTCACAACGCAGCTAAATAATATAATAACAACATTTGATAAATTCCCATAAACTTTGATATCCATAAAAAAAGCACTTCCCTCTCCCCTGGCTACGTATTGAAAAGGGGGAGACATTGGCTAGTTAAAAGTTCAAATTAAGTTAAAAACTAAAAAGTTTATTAATTTCATTATTTTGATCTTCATCAGTTAATTCATTTTTCAATCATTTAAGAACTTACTAGGCTAATTATTGACTGTTGAAATAACTATGCTGGCTTCAGATGAAATTGTTGGTTTTAATGGTTTTATACATTAATATTACTTTACACGGTTTTAAATACAAATAATCTAATTAAATAATAATAAAAATATGTAATAATTAAATTTCTGTCTGTTCCTTGATTAAATAATATTGTAATATATAGATACTAGATAGACACAGAATACTCTATGTGATCTAAGTACTTACTGATTAAAATGGTAAATTAACATTTTTTTTAATGAGTTAATTTTTTTTTTCATAATAGTAACTTAAGTATTAGCGAGTTAAATTTATTTTTTGTTAACTTGTTAACTATTTGTTTAACTAGCTTGTGTTCACTTACCTTAACTTGAGTTAATTATTTTTATTAACTTGCCCATCTTTGGACAATAACAATGTAGTAACCCATATCAATTATTGCTCACACAAGAATTTTGTTTCGGTTGATGAAAATTAAATATTTGTTTGTTTAAATATAGGGATATCATATATCATATCATCGATGATGACAAAAAATTAAATAGTTGTGTGATTGTATATGATTTTTTATTCTTTTAAACTTGGCATAAAAAACATAGCAGATATTTATTAGGAAAACCCTTGATTTTTCAAGCTAAATTATATGACATCACACCTTACATTTGTTCTAAGGTAGGCACACCTAAAAATATGTTGATCGTACATCCAATTAAAAAAATGACAAAAAATTGTTTTTAATTATTATTATTAAAACTGGCTCAGCTTCATTTGATAGAACTATCAACTTATAAATATTTTCAGCTTTTAATAATTCAATGTTACAAAATTGTACAACATTTATTAAAATATGCTAGGAGTATAATGCCCTACTTAGCAAAAGTGGTGTAAAAACCAATTAACATTAGTTTTGAAAAAAATGCATGTTTGTATTTTTCATGTTATCTCTATTATTTTTATTATATTTGATTTAATTAAGGATTCAGCAGTATCTGCGAATTTTATCGTCGAACAGTGTATAGTGTCAATTTTTGGATAAAAAATAACTGTGTATTAGCAATTAATAATTATTCTACATTTAAATACGAAAAAATAAGTATAATATAACATTTTTAATAAAAAACAATACAAATTCACTAGGGACGGTACCTACTTCCCACATAAATAACTACTTATACAGTAATACCATTATATATTTACCAAAAAAACGGTGAAGTTAAACTCAGAATTCTATTTCACAAAGGGCTTCCAAAGGTTGGTTTCAATACTTCAGAAAACTTGGATATCCGGCAACAGTCAGCAACTAAGTAAAACCAAAGAGATCTGTCTATTGCGCACATTAACTGGTTTCTTCCAAAACTGTCGCGGGATTAGGTCTCAACTCACTAACTTTAAACTTAATGTGTGTTCTATCAATTATGATTTTATTGTTCTTACCGAAACATGGTTAAGTCAGTTAAATGATTATATTTCTGATTGTAAACTAGGCCTTGTTAATTATATTGTTTATCGACGTGATAGAAATAGCTTAACTAATACTTTCTAAGGGATGATGATATTCTCATTGGCGTGCTTAAAGATTTAACCTCACATCTAATTTCTATTTTATAATCAAATGTTAAACCAAGTTTGTAAGTGTCTCTTTTGGGCCATTAGAGTTGGTAGTTAGTGGAGTCAATATTGCTTCTTCTGCTCCTTGACTCGTCTACGAGTCACACATACAGTCAGTGGGATCAGTTATCCGTCAATTTCCAGATCACGCATATATTTTTTGTTTCGACTAAAATTTGTCGGGGATCACTTGGAATAATGATGTTTACATGTTTAGGTTAGTTTACTCTTTTCAAACGCCTGTAAGTGCTCACTGTGTTCTTGAAACCTTTGCATCTCATTCGTGTTTCCAAAGAAATAATATTTTTAACAACACCGGTTCCCTTTTAGGTCTAGTCTTTAGTAACACAACTTCTGTAGTAGTGGATAAATCCAATAAACCAATCTTAGCTATTGATTTATATCACAAATCATTAAGTCTTGCTGTCCCTTTAGGTCACCAGTAACTGCTGTGTTACTCCAGAGTCACTTGCTGTGAACATGTAGATTGTAGGTACACTAATTTTTAAAGTTTCGAAAAGTTGACTTCTCGAATATCAAATCCTTTATTGCATCAATTGATTGGACCTCTACATTTGTCACTCGATCTTGATTCCTTCTATGATGCATTGCATAAATCAGTCATTGAATTTGCATCTTACTGCCACTTAAAAACCTCCTCTAATTCCTTCATTTGGATCTAAAAAAAACCTGAAAAACTGCTTTACTCAAGAAGATAGAACATAAAAAGTTTAAATTAAATCCAAACGCGCATTCTTATAAAGAGTTTTCCCTACTCATCGCCACATTCAAATACGAATCTAAAAATGCGTATCGTGACTCTGTTAATAAAGTTGAAACATCATAACAACAGAATTCATCTTATTTTTGGAAATGAGTGAGTAAAAACCGTTCTGCTAGGGATGTTCCGAGAAATTCGTTTAACACATTTTTCGTCCGTTGTATTGCGACTGACTAAAGAGTTTTCCCAAATTAACAAGATGGAAATTGGATCTTTGCACGTTAAACGAGTCCAACTTAAATTTTTAAAGTATGCAAGTTTCATATAAGGCATTCAATGTGCCAAACAAAATTACTCTAATGAATCTAAAGAATCTTAAATTCTGGACTTTCAATCAATAGCTGACCATATGCAGATGTTAAGTTAGACTTTTCTAAAGGGTCTCTTATCTAATGTTGTTGACTCTCCTACCCATTTATCCCTGACAACCATTAAGATTCCTCAATTTCCAACCAGAGGCCCTGTGTAGTATAATCCAAAATACAAAAGCAGTTATATGAAAAATGAACAGTTAAGACGCATAATGTTCATCGCCAATGAGGATCCCTTCTTTTTAATCTAACTACCTTTATTGTTTACTACCCTCAAATCTTTTCTTATTTTTTTTGTTGTTCTATTTTTAAGCAATATTATTGTTATTATTATTCATATTATATATATTCCATATTCTTTAAGTACTCAGAATTTAAATGTAATACCTGTTGTATTAAAATGGCATCACTCTTTAATTATTATAAATAAATAAATAAATATTTCAGATACTCCCGAGAACATTTTTGTGCTTATAAATGAAGTTTTAAGTAAGTTATTAGGAAATAATTAGGAATAAAACAATATCCCACCCATGTATACCTATATCATTATTAAACATACTTTAATACATTTAGTTTGATCAAAAACTGTATGTCAAATAATTAAATATTCAAGTATCTATATCAAATATAAATAATAACTAGATATTTATTAAGTTTATATGTTATATTTTATTTGTTAATATTATTTAAGTTCTATTTGTTTTTTGTGCGATTCCATGATGTTATATTTGTTGGAATAATTACAATTCAATAGTTATTGTTATCACTTATGTTAGTTAACGAATAACCTTTTTTTGTAGTAAACTGTAATTATGGGTTTTTGGTGTTCGTTGACAGTGAATAAGTAATTGTGGAAATTATAACAATAGGTATATATGCTAAGGGTCAGGGACGGCCAAAGAGTCGATCACGGACAATTTCAGAGTAGGTTATGTTAGAATTAATTTTTAGGGCCATGAATCAGTTCGTGTTGGGATCCCGTACAGTCCACACGTACATTAATCGTACGATCTCCGCTTTTATTTGCTTCCGATAGCAGTAATTTGTGCTCGCTGCTGTCCCCAGCGCAAGTCGCGGGATATCCAATTACTGGTATTATATAAACATATTTATCTTCCAAAGCCATTTATTATACCAATTTTCCTTATCTACTTCGTGAACTCTCGTAATCGTAAACCCACAAGTCCAACCTTATAACCAATAAAGTAACAAAAAATAAAAAACGCTTTATCAGACTCAACCACTTACGATCTTCAGGTTACGCCACCTCTTCACTTTCGAAAAAGACACGAATATTTTAACTTTCGCAAAATTGTTTCTCTCCTTTAGCTCCTTCTGATGATGGCAAATGGTCACGAAAGTCGGTGAACAATTGCAGACATCTAGCGTAATCAAACCTTCAAACCCATAGTCCATATTCATCGAATCTGAGCTAAATTACAAGGATTTTATTATTAAAATTGACGAACTAACCAACTCTTCTAATAGCTAAAAAGCTCTTAAAGCTTCTACCAAAGGCCTGAAATTACAAACGTTCAACCAGGCTTCATATAGAGCAGTTGTTAAATACCTAGAAAATGAAGTTCCCCACCACTCCTTCTAGAGTAAAGAAAATAAACCATACAGAATGGTGATTAAAAATCTTCATCCCTCACCAGATTTTCATTCATAAAAGTGAAATTTCAACCCAAGAAATATTAATTTAATTTATTTCCAAATCGCTCATCCCAATACTTTTTATTGACTTAGAGCCCGATCCAACCAACTCTGCAATCTTCAAATTAACGTCACTCTGCTTCTCAAAAATAAAAGTCGAAGCACCGTAAGCCAAGAAGTCATTCTACAATGCCTCTGTTGCCAATCTTATCACCAACATACTGCAGCCACTAACCTAGATGCGTTCGCTGTTGCGGATTGCACGACTCTTCTTTATAATTAAAAAAATCGAAATGACCCGGCCAAATGTGCCTTTACAACAAAATACAAAGATTGTTGTAGTAGAATAAAATTAAAAGAATTAAAAGAAAAGAGCTAAACGAGGAGGTGAGTAGGGCGAGGATATATGAGACAGACGGTGTGTACCCGGTTCAATAGCCTATAGATTACAATTCTGATAATAATATTATACTACTACTTAATATTATTATTAGATTTACTTCCTAATTTATTAGCTGGTCTTTTAATGTGAAATAATGAATTCACTTACCTTGTATTGATGTGGATAATGTAGATCCTTGTTGTGGTGGTAACGTCTCTGGTGGGTGTGGATCGATGCGCGTTACTATTACTTTACGACTTTTACGATACTACGTTCCTTTTTCTAAATACAGTGCGTTTATTCTTAGCCTTTACGGTAGAATACAACCATGTTCTTAGTTTTAATAACACTTAGAAAACCTTTATGTAATGAATAGATTAGGATTAAAGAATGAGATTTCTAAGGCAGTGCAATAAATTTAAATAAGAGATTTTTGTGACAAAATAATTGGGAGAATATGCTAATATGAATTCATACTTGGTGTTAGAATAAACGCAATAATTTAATTAACTTTGTAAGAAAAGAAAGATCAAGGTAAAACGAAATTCTCGTTTTTCTTGAGACAAGCTGCGTGGACGTGGTGTGCCCTGTTGATTGTGATGATGCACTGCGCCGATACAGTGCATCGTATGATTGCTGCGGCTGTTCCGACGAGCATAAAGAGTAGAGCAAGAGTGAGCCTTGCTGTTGTTTGCGCGTTGTGTATATACAGGAGGTCGATTGTTTTTTCCCACTTGATTGTTGTCGCGTCAAGTTACCATTGACTGGTTGCGTTTGCCACGTGAAATATGCATTCGAATGCCTTTGTTCTTGGATGTTGGTTTTAGCATTTGTCACATTATTTGCAAGGGTACGTTTTGCTAGGACATGTACTCCCATGGTGTTGTCACTTTTCTCCCTTTACGTGACATTTTTAGTGATGATATTATAAACGAGTGTTGTATTATTATGTGTGTGTGTGGATTATGTGTTCTGGTCGTATGTACTTTTATTGAAGTAGAATTAAATGTCCATCATTGTGTCTTTTGTGTATATTGTAATGTGCATTGATTCTTGTAAGTTGCCTTTTGATGAAGTTATATGTGGTATAGCTCATCGGCGGTGTAATTATTGTTCATTGTGCAACAATTAGCTATTTGGCATTTTATTGTTTGAGGTGATATTGTATTTTTGCTTGGGATTGTGTAGTGCACCTATTTCAGCTTGTGCAAAAATTAATATTAAATTGAATATGTACTCGATATGATTTGATGGACCTTTGAGTGAGCATGTGGAATGTTGATTACGTCATAACGTGTTGTTCGATATCTTACTAGGTATTGATTAATTTCGTTTATGTGAAGACCGAAGGTGTTTACCAGAAGCGGCAATTGATAGGACTTTGAGTGAGTCATAACGTGTTGTTGTTGCTCGATATTTTATCATTGATTAATTTCGTGTATGTCCAAATATGAGCATGTTTTTTTATGAGTGTCCGTTTGGGAATTTTAATGACTTCCTGTTGTTTTCACGATTATACGATGATGTATTCGTTTAGAAATTTCGATTGCTTAATAATATTTAAAATAATATATTTAATTACGTTTATTTTTATACGCCAAAATATGTCTTCATCTAACATATTCATCCCATACGTTTATTAGAGTATAAATTATGAATTATAAATTATAAAGTATATTATTTATATATTACATTGTATTGTCCACAAGGACATCATCAAAACACGAAAGCTCCAACCTTCTAACTCCTTTCGAGAAAATACTTCAAATTCTCAAGAACAACTCATTTCTCCTAACCTTCAAAAACCAAGCCAGGCTGAATTTCCCCACCGCTCAGAAATCAATTAACACAATGATATCCCGCAGAATACTCCTTCGACTTCTCATGCTTCCTCAAGCAATAACTCTCCTTTTTCATAAACAAATTTAGATTATTAATCAATCCATTAATATTACTACTCACAACAGTCATCAACAAACTCATAAGATCAATGACCGCCAATAAACTATCCACTCTAACAGTTCTTCTTTGGAACGCTAACGGAATCTCCAACAATACATATGAACTTCAAATCGCCCTGAAAGAAAACAATGTAAATATTGCCCTCATTACGGAGTCTCTCTCACCTTCAACTCAAAATTAAAAATATTCAAATATGACCGTCTTCAGGCAAATCACCCCGACGACACAACTTACGCTGGTGCTGATCTTATTATCTCTTCCAAAATCCCACACTCTCATTTTCCCCCTAAATCAAATCAAAGCATGCAACTAGCCACTACATCTGTAAATATAAATTCCATACATACATAATATCAGCCTACTTTCGACCCGGTTGCCCTTTCCCTGCAGAAAATCTAGCCGTATATCTTCAATCACTTAACAATACACATATCATCGGTTCTGATTTATATTGATATAATAATAACAATTTAGACTTTACGATGGCAATTAATACATCAGCTCGATGTACTGGCTAATACAGTATAATCTATGGTTAATCTGGCATGTTTGTTTTTTTTTGTTTATATTACCCGGAACACGTTGGACAATTATTTAAAATATTATATTTATTCAATTTAATTGTTTTTTTTTTTTTTTTAAATGTCATCGATTGAAGTTATTCTTGTCAATGGAATGTTGACACCTCAAATAGTTGTACCAATTATCGGTGATGGTGCCTTCCTTTTCCGTTTAATATCATTTCATTTGTTTAACACTCAAGAAAGATGTCAGGAGATCCGAAATACAATTGTTTCTTATGTGTCTGATAATTGGAATAACTTTAATACTATGTCTTACAATTCAAATGGTGACAACTTTTCCACTGCTGAGGCTTATGTTCGTGAAATGGTCAATCCTACTGCCTACGGTAGTTATTGCGAATTGGTTGCAGCTGGAAATATTTTCCCATATTTATTTCAAATTTATTATAATAATAATCTTTATGCAAAATTTGGTGTAGATACATTCTCAGTAAAAAGATTGCGTCTAACTGGAAATATTAAAGTAAAAAGTAAAAAGCTTCGCCGTGCTAGATATACGGATAAGACTCGAATCAACCAAGTTAAGAAAGCTAAAACAAAGTACAAAGCAAACAAACACCAAGAAACTTTAGTGTTTCCGCCTAAAATTAATTTAATCAATTGGAAAATTAAGAAATTATCTGGCCTAGCATATAATCCCACAATTGATTATAAAAATAACATTGGCATTTGTGTATTACTATGAACCAAAAATGTAATTTTTGTAACGCTCTCAAGTGGAAAGGCGAAACTCCTGGTATGTGCTGTAATATAGGTAAAACACAACTCGATCCTTTACAGCCGCCCCCAGAACCATTACGCAGTTTACTTGAGGGAGACAATCCTGATCATGATAACTTCATTAATCGTACTAGGAAATATAATAGTTGTTTTCAAATGACTTCGTTTGGTGCTAAACAGATTGTTGAAGAAGGTTGTATGCCAACATTTAAAGTGCAAGGCCAAGTCTACCATTTGTACGGCAGTTTGATTCCAAATACTCAGGAAAACCCACAATTTTTACAAATATATTTTGTTGGCGAAGACGAAAAAGAAGTTAAACTTAGATGCTCTCTTTATCCAGAAATTAAACAAGCATTAGTCAAACAGGTACAAAATATGCTGCATACTGAAAATAAGTATATAGAAAAATTTTCTTTGACCAAAAATATGCGAGTAAATTTAAAAGGAGACAAGACTGCTGAACAATTTTCTGAGCTACTCTTAAAAATTGGAGATGGAAAATATCCATAATGTGAAGAAAAAATTACTTTGCCGACATGATTAGGTACCGTTGTTTACTTTACAAGAACTTACATACAAAATATACCCTGGCATCGAAAACCTCAAAGAAATATCAATGGACTGGTTATGTGAGAGGGCCATTTTGACATCAAAAAATGATACGGCAGGAGAAATAAATAATATATTATTGGGCTCTTTTCAAGCCAAAAAAATAGAATACAGATCGGTGAATTCGGTGCTCTAAATAGATGATGCATATCCCGTAGAATTTCTAAATTCACTCAACCCTACTGGATTCCCACCACATTTATTAACATTAAAAATTGGTACTCCTATAATGCTTCTAAGAAATCTTAGTCCACCAAAATTGTGCAATGGGACTTGCCTACGTAATACTGATCTTCAAAAAAATCTGATAGAAGCTCAAATTATGACTGGATATGCAAAAGGTGAATCAGTTTTTATTCCTCGCATACCAATGATACCATTAGATTATCCATTCCAATTTAAGAGAATGCAGTTTCCTGTCAAAGTATGTTTTGCTATGACAATAAATAAATCACAAGGACAAACCTTGAAAATTGCAGGGATCGATGTAAGAGAGGATTGTTTTTCACATGGACAATTTTATGTGGCATGCTCCAGAGTCAGTATGCCCACAAATTTAGTTATTTTAGCACCAACAGGAAAAACATCAAATGTAGTTTATAGAGAAGTTTTGTAAATTTTGTAAATTTTGTTGTCACACATTATTATTCTTTATTATTTGATTAAGTCTGCTTGATTAAGTGGTAGGTTCTTTAACAGGCTACGAAGTGCACGGGATCAGCTAGTAATATAATATAATATTCCAGCTATTTTTAAATTATTTTCCCCAATTTATTGTCGTCGAGTATCGCTTATCTGTTGTGAATATCGTACACATCCATAGGTATAGTATATCTAAATAATAATATAAATACCGTCATAAACGCTGCCGTAGTTACTGATTCCTCTTACGAAATAGTTGGTGGTATAGGGATTTAGTCTATTTAGTATTTAGTATATAGTATTTACGATATTTTAATGAAGAATATATCCAGATATTTATGTAGTTATTATATCGTGTCACAGTGTCACACAATTTATACTTCGGTCAATGATATCATTTTATAGTTTTAATTTTTCGGTTAATTTTTAAAATGTTTAAACATTTTACAATTTCACGATTCACATTTTATTTCCAATGTTAATTTGGCTTAAATCGAGTTGCATAAATTAATATCCTTTAGATAGGTTATCTATCATAGAACATAGGTAAATAATTATATTAATATTTCATAGAAAATTTGCATTCTTGCATTGATTACAACTGTATATGATATTATTCATAAGATTATTTTATTTTAATAAAAGCTTAGACGTGCTCAGCCTTGTGTTTCACGTGTTTTTTTTACCATCCGCCCGCTAATGAAACCCTGCTCAAAAAAAAAATAAGAAACATACAAAACAAATTTATAGCATTAGTCATGAAGATTTTTATGATCTTATTTATTTTTTATGATTTTTATTATATTAATAAACTACTCATTACTTCTTCGTGTCTTTTAATTTGTATTTAAGTTATTTATTTTGTATTAAAATTAGATTCCAAGGATGAAAATGGGACTTCTATTGGATGTATAACGAAGATAAGTTAGTTTTTGTACTGAAAAATCAATTTAAAACATGTATAAGTCATTACATTTTTATCCTGGTTCTAATTTAATTTTTTGAAAATATGACGTTATAAATACATAAATACATTTTATACATACATACATACATACATATATGCATACATACATACATACGTACATGCATACCTACATACATACATACATACATACATGCATACGTATATAATATTATGTTTGAAGTTAATTATAGATAATAATTAAAAAACATATTAATTAATGTTATAGAATTTCATATCGATTACTTCAAGAAAAGTAAGTAATTTTCCATGTCTTCATTCAATTAAATATATATTTATTTTTCGATATGGAATGTAATGAATTGTGCACTCTGATTCAAAATAATTACATAGTTAATTATAAATATGGTACTATTTTGGATTAATGATATAATTGAAGATTTAAATGACATAACAATTTTAACATTTAGATACTAGTTGTAATTTATCTATATTTATCTATATTAATACCTATATGTTTACTTGAATAATATGTTTTATTTTTATTTTATTTTTTATTTGGATTGTGGACACTTCGATGAGTGGCTTTAAGTGCAACCCAGCCTCCTTGGTAGGCAATGTGCTAAGATTCGATTTGATGCATGCTTAAACCTGTTCTGCCCGATTAACCAGTGACAAACAAAAAATAAAAAATAAATACTAATTTCCACTAAAAAAAAATAAAAAATGAGTTATTAATTAAAATAAACCTGAACATTGTACACGTTTATACAAATATTTTATGGCACAGCAGCCCGCGGGTTTGCAGTAACCTGCAACCTGACCTTTTCGTCCGTCATATTGTGCGTTTTACTTGATTTTATATATCTTTGACTTGTAGCATTGCGAGTTCCACGACTTAACTTTATGTGTCTAGTTTGCATTTTTAAAAACAAAATATTCCATCAAAACTTACTAAAACTCGTAATATTATTGCAATGCTCTGTTTTTTTATGTCAATTGAATGTATTTTATTGTTTAAAAGTTATATATTGTTATTACTTATTAATATTCGGTAACCATAGTGTTGTTGTACGCTCGGTGCGTATTATTATTATTATTATTATAATTATTATTATTATTATAATTATAAGTATTATTATACAATTTACAAGTTAAATATTAAAAAGAGTTTTTGTGAGCCACAATTCACACCTAGGGGTATGAAAGTCTCTGAGACTCACTTAATATACACATAAAATTTCAAGAAAATTGGTCCAGCTCTTTCGGAGGAGTTTGGTAACAAACATTGTTTATATTGCGACACGGGATTTTTATATATTAGATTTAAAATAGTAAAATATAAATACAGAAATAAAATCGGATCTATAAAAGAAATCAAAAAACATCACAAAAACCGCACTAAAATCTAACGATCAACAAATAAACGATGGTTTTGAAATCACTAATATGTAAGAAAAATAATAACAAGCATCAATATAAATCCAAATTTTAAAAATTACAAACAAAACAAAGGAAATCAAATAATAGAACAAAATCCAACATTGAACCCATAAGCAAATGGGAAAAACATTAGGTTTTTCTTGGTTACCAGAATAATCAAAATACCTTAAATTGTTAAATAGTAAAAACTTAATAAAACCAAAACATTTCCTTAGGTAACATACAGATAATCTGCACTTAAACAATGAAGATATCTGGATTAGCTTTTGATGAATAACTCACTTATATATAAAAATAATAACATATACATAACGATAAAATAAACACAATACGAGTATATTATAGACTAAACATGTTAAAAGTACTAGCAATTATAAAAGATATATAATATGGAACAGTAGATACAGAAAGGAAAAAAGCACACTAATGAAGCATTTCCCCAACCCTTCCCCCCCCCCTCATAGAAAAAATTACAATTTCAGAATTTTTCTTTTGCCAAACATCAGTGCCATTAGTGTGAATTTGTGCGACTTTAACCAGAATTTGTGCAACAAATTCGTTATACCCGAAAAAAATCGTTCTTATAAATATACCATTGTTCTATATTAAGAAAAATAATTGTTATGTAAATATATATAATATATATATACTCTATATTATGAGACTATAGATGGTGATGATGCGAGCAGTATATTATGCTTACCTGCTGTGGATTGAGGAGTGAGGACCCAGCTTGATAATTACTTGATAGAAATAATATGTTTTATTTTGATTGCGGACACGCCGATACATAAAGGTCCCCCCGGCCGCTTTTGAGAGCCTGCCTTCCCTGGTCAGATTTCACGATAGCAGTCGCTTAATAGCAGGACACTATTCGTGGTCGACCTCGTACCCCAAATTGTGTCCCCTTAAACATAATAAGACCCTAATGTATTGTAGGACGTAATTTATGGATCGTCGTGCCCATACGCCGTATCCGGCAAGCCCGCTATACGCCCGGCTGCTGAGTTAGCGTAACTGCCCCGAAAATTACGTTTACATTGTAAATAATTATAATTATCATAGAAATAAACAGACAAGTTATGCCTTAAAACTCAGTGTTGACTTATTCTCAAACTCAATGAAACAAGCCGGTAGGCCACTGTTTCACAGTGTTAATATTGTGGCTTCGATTAAATTCGGCATCAATCTTTTTACAGCTAATTTTGTGCCGTTGCACAGTTTTGGTGCATTCAAATTCCGTAGTAAAATAATTGATGAGCCGACCTTCAAATTCAAGCAATGCGACTGCATACCGGGCGATACCAATGAATTCAAAAATTCAACTGGATAGTTGACTGCATTATCTTCATTCAAAGCGCCATCAACATATTTATATGATGTCAATGCACTAGGCAATTTTTCTTGAATGAGATAATTGATAGCATTGACTTGCACATTTTTTGGTGCTACAATTGGGAGTTCACTCAACTAATTGTGATTTCTGTAATTCTGGACAATATTCGGAAACACTCGTTAAATCAATTCTTCTTTTGGTTGGGGAATTGTACAAAAATTGTTTGGCAACCTAATTAAACCGTTTGTGTTATCAATTCGAACTTTGCCATTTCCGATTCCCAACAATTTCTTCCAAAATCGATCTGCCAATTGATCACTGTGCAACTGAACACGCATGTTTATGATTAACGTCAATTTCTGCACATATCTCCACAGGAAAGAAGACTTTAGGCACTCATGATCTCATCTGCCGATGTCGAGCATGGAATTACGGGCAGTGTTTTCCTTAAATCACCAAATTTTAAAGTTTTTTGTTGTTTTTGGCTATGTCGCTAGGTATGCACTTAAGAGGCCATAACTCCGGAACCACTTATCGCACAGCGTACAAACTTCAACGAAAACATCTACATATCAATTTTAATATGGCCTGAAATTAAACCTCAAAATCGGTTTGGTGAATCTTGAGTTATAAAATGTATTTAAAATGTACACTTGTTTATATATGTAATATGTATGCAATGGTTTCTTACAAGTTTTTAATAACACAATTACAATAAAGAATATTCAATGTACTGATTGTTGGGCAATTGTATGAATATTCAATACTAATAATTATATACTTACTTAAATATTATAATATATAAATAATGTATTAAGAATAACTTAGATATCAAAATACATGTCTAAAATTCAATAATCTGTTATTTACCATCAAATAAAAGTTCTATAGATAGTTATGGAACAACAAAAAAGTTTTAAAATTTATTTTAGTTCATTTTTTTTAGAGGAAATCAAAAAGAAAAATATTGAGAAAATAGGTATGGAGATTATAATTACTATTTAATCAGTATACAATACGTTTTTTTCAATTAATATCATTATTAAATCCAAAATGAAAGTAAATTAAACGTATATAATGAAGCAAATCAAGCAACGTAGCTAATATGAAAAGCATGTTATACATGTGTGTGCGACTAACAAGGTAAGGTTAATTGGACACCACAGACCTCGCATGAGGGGGGTTCTAACTTAGCCATTAAGTGCACGTACATAAGTCAAATATGTCCTATCCTCAATCTGTTAAGTACCGATTCATTTTTTCTATTTAACGAACTGTTTATAAATCTAATGGTCCTATTTTTAATTGTGTCGAGTTTGGTGTTTTGTTGTTTCCAAGTATAGAGTCATTTGTGGTTGGTTATATCATTTATGTATCTTTTAAGGTTGTTATAGGAGGGTCCTGACATAATATTAAATTTAGGATTTGTGGTGGCGAGCTTAACCTGTTTGTCAGCTAGTTCATTCCCAGGGACCCACCCACATGAGAGTTAATTTATGTTAAATCGCTCTGTATGGCTTATATTTGGTAGTTACTACCCATACCAATATTGTGCTCCTTTTATTTTACGGTTAATATATCTGAAATTTGTGCTGACCTCTCTATTTTATTTTTAGCTTCATACTTTAAACAGTTTATATGTAAAAACAATTAATACATTTTTAATTAGAACTTATATAATAATCAATTACCGGGTGACTAGTTAAATATTTAAATTTTAACTATATAGTTTTATATAAGATTTAGTATTACCTATATCTAGTAAATTAGTTTTTAACTTTATTTTAAAATGTTCAATGGTTGTTTGATTAACCGTACAAATCGATTATTCGCACCCCCTTGGTTCCCAATTAGTGCGGATAATCGATGCTCCACGGTATTTATACATCTAAAATGAATAACTTTTACTCGTACACATTTTTATAATCAAATAAATACTGTAAGTCTGTAATTTATCTAGTATGGTCTATGAACCCTGAAAATGATGGATTACAATATTGATCATTGATTGTTTAACGAAAACGTCATGTTAAGCGGAATTAGTATAAGCCCAAGAAATTAGTACATTTTAAACATTAAATATCCATATTATTTTAACAGATAAAATATTGCTAAAACTAGGAGAAGGACCGGAAAAAACAGAAAATCAATATTATGTGCGACAATTTTATAGATGTTTTCGTAAGTTTTCAAAAAATATACCCGTATAAATAAGAAGTGTTTTCATAAAAATAATAGTATTGAACTACTAATGTACAGAAATATTATTCATAAACCTAAAGGTTAACATATTAAAATGGTTAACACAATATTAGTTATAACTAGGAACGGAGGATTTGTAGCATTCACATATTTATTTTACCCAATCATCAAAATAGCGGAATAAGAAACAAACAAGTTTTGTGCTAAGACAAGACTAGTTTTACAATTTTATTCTGAGATTTTTTGCTTTTTTCATTTTATACTTTTTGATACATCATATTTTAGTTAACTAGGTAATAACTAATAACATAACCACATGGTACAAAATAAATAATTAATTCTAAATACTTGACTATTTTACAATCAATGATTTCATATTATTTTTGAAGGAGTTGAATTTATTTTTCATTTTTACCGTAATATACATGGGTTTCGAAGAAGTGCATATTAATACTGGCCTGTTAGATTATTTTCCATTAATTAATTTTGCTTATACATAAATAATTTATTGTCATGGTACAAAATATGACCGATATACTGAGCCATACATGTTACAGCCGCAGATACCCGATTAATCAAATTTCACATTCGGCTTCTAAACTGTCAACTACGCTTTCAGTTTGCAATCTATTTTATTTTTGTAGTGATTCAATAAGTACAAATTTCATTGAATCTAAAACTTTTTTTTGTTTATATGTTAATGACATAACATATAATTAAATTATGAAGGTATTTATTATTCTTATTTTAGGTATTTTTTGAACTATTAATATTTTTTAATTAATCCCTAGGAACATTTTTTAGTGGATATTGTATATTATAGGGTTTTTAAGTGCAAAAGTGCTTGCATATATAGTACTTTTTAGAGCTAATAGTCTTGTGAGCTAATTATAAGATATTATAATATAAAAGTGTCGATAGTTCTTTGATTATTAACATATTATTATTATTAATAAAAACTTTGTTATTTTTATTATCAACTATAAATTATACCTACATACTTGTATGCACGTAATCTAATACAACACGTAATTTTTTGTTATTTCCAGAAAAGTTTAAAAACGATGTGTTTAATATTAAATTTGATAATGGTAAACTAAAAAATAAATCAATGTTTTGTAAATCTATAATACAATGGACTTTTTTTATAAAAAACAGAAAATAATGAAACCGTATATTTTTTATTTAGTAAATTAATATTTTTAATGTAGGTAAATTTTAAACACTGATTAGGTTACATGTAATGGATTTGCATATTATATAGTCCTGAGCATGGTATAGAGTCGAAATACGGGGTTCTTCTTTCAATAGACCATATATTATATTACTAGACATGCTTTATGGTAAGGTCTGTGGCAAAAGAAAAATGGCACTTTTTGTTGACTCGTTGACTCGTACGCGTGGTAGTACAATACCGCATGCTTGGTCTATTTATTCTCCATATCAGATTAACAGGTGGGTACGCGTACGATATGTGTTCTGTCTAAAACTAAACTCCACAATGGTTATTGTAACTTTAAGGTCAACACTATAAGTTGTGCACAGCCTACCAATGAGCTAAGATATTGGCTCCAGTTAAATTCTACGAACCAAAATGACTATTTAATATTCGTGAATCATAAGGAATAAGCAGCTGTTTGTTAATGTTTTATAGTGTAACTAGCACTTTGTTAAAAATTTCAACTCCATATGCTTCAAACTTTATGCACTTCGTTATTTAATATTCGGTATAATAGGGTTCAAATTTTACCATATTTAAATATTTTCATTAGCCATCTTAAATCGTAAAATACTTACACCATTTTAAAATGCAAATTTAGTAAAATGTTACATGGTGCATACTTACTGCATGGTGGCACGGTGCCGTGAAAATTAGAATAACTCAACTATCTTTGTTTAGACTCTACGTTCATCAATTAGTGTTAGTCAGTCTAGGACACGTTCGATTATATCTAAGTCTAAAGTTTCAAAGTTATATCAAGTTTGTCGTTTTTACTTATTCCAACTTACGTTGGATTGGATACAATGTACGATTCGGTGGATTTTGATAAAGCTGTATAACACTGTAATAACCTGAGTTCGGCCGGAAAAACATTATCAATTAATACAAATTAGTGTATCTTGGTTTTGGTTCAGATTGCAATACACCAGAAACCCTCTCGGAAGTGTACTCAACAACTTCCCAAAGTTTCATCGTGATCAGACATATATTTACTTTTATAAATTATACATTAGAGCTTGAAGCATAATAATTATTTTATTACTTTTTCAGTAAAACTCGAAATAAAGACTACTCAAATTGAGATAAGTAAGTTAGTATTTATATAGTTATAATTATTTTGTATAGGTACTCATATAACAGTACGCATATGAAATTAATATAATTATACATTAATAAATGTTAACATGTTGTAAGTGCACTTGGTCAAAAAAAAAAAACGTATGAATCTGTTGAATTTATTAAATTTTAAAATTTTAACTGTATTCTAGTCACATAGTTATTTTGTAATCGCTTTGCCATAGTTATTTTAAAATTAAATTTAAATTACAAAATTTTTTGATCATAACTTTTGTTGTAATAACATCTCGTAGTCTTCCTAACATTTAAAACTTGTTGAAAACAATTGGTTTTTTGTATTTTTTACCAATATATTTATTTGGCTCAAGACCTCGGTATCGGCTGAGTTAATAATTTATTTTTAAGTGTTTTAAGATTATCTTAAATTTTCTAGCTTTTTTATGGATAATAATTTTAAAAATATTTACAATATTCAATAAAATTCCCATGTCTACAAAAAGCTCAAAAGAGACAACCTATTTTGAAAATTTTGCATTTTCAAATTTACGAATAGTATTAATAAAAATACTTGTTTAAAATGTCAAGTATCCACAAAAATTAGTTTTTAATAAATCCAAAAATATAAAAAAAAAAATTGGTTTTAGTAAAAATGTCCTTGATTTTTTTACAAAAAAAATTTTAAAACCAGTATCTACATTCATCAATTTAGAAATATGAAAATAAGAAATCACAAATTTCATAAATCACTTATTAGCAAAAAGTAAAAACCGGCTAATTGTGCAGTGGTTGACGCCATAAAATAAAATAAATAAACACTAAAAAAAAATTGTTTTTCCCTTAAGATAGATGAATATAAATAAAATTATATTACATTTTTAGATGCTGATAAAAAATTGACATTAGCAGAAAAAAGTAAGTTAATAACTTAACCTTTTGCTTTCAATTTTCACAATTTATCATGTTATACATTTTTTAAACGTGTTCATCCAAAGATGGATTAAGTGATATGAGACGTATGGTAGTGTCAATTGAATATCATGTTTACCACTCGACTTATTATTTTATTTATATGCATCAGTAATAAGTTTTGTTGAACCAGTTGGTTGGTCATCGTTAACAACAATTCAAGACAAAACAAACTAGTGATCACTTGTAAAAACTGTTTTCAACACAACAAGTATGGTATTTAATAATTGACAGTAGTTTTAAGTGACAAGAGTATGAGCTACGGTTGCAAATATGACGTTCACTGTATGTGATCTGCATAAGACATCGCCATCCTGGGAAGATCTTAAAATCTCAATCGGGTAATAACAGCAATGTTGCTGGATCAACATTGACGAGAGTACTTTAGGGTCCGTTACTGAATTATCTTATGTGCACTTTGCTGAGATTTGGGATATCATTCAGATTTAGGTTAAAATAAACTGTAAAGCAAAAATTTTTAGAGGGGATGTTTTTGAATCGTCTACTAACATTATGCTCACACATTAAACGTGATCCATACGAATTTCATAAATGGCTGTAGAATATGGTGGAACTTCACTATGAAATGACACTCGTGCATTAAATTAAATATGTTTCCCCCTTATTTGTTAGTATACATAAAACACCATAATTAATAAGGAATTTACCATGGGAGTATATTCAATTAATATTGTATAGATAAATAAAATGAATTAGGTATATTAGAACTTATTACATATCTTTTTCAGGCGAAATACTACAAACAAAGGACATTGAATTTTTGATGAACAATTTAAGTGAGTAATTTTGAGTGATTGTTAATTAGGTAGGGACGTAAATTTCATATTTGTCATTTGATAATTCCAATAAAATTATCGGTAAGGTATATCAGTTTTTGTATAAGTACTATATTTTTGTATAAGAGTTGTCAAGTCAAAAATATTCCAATATTTTTCATACCAATATTATTATACTTCAAATAAACTATCTACTATTATTCGATTACGGTTTTTACACACTTCTTCTTCTTCTTAGGGTTTATTGGGCCTTTAAGAACATTTCGTCTCATAACCAAGCTCACATCCTTGTCTATCCAGTTCTAGAGTTCTCCAATTGGAGATACCTCCCATTTATTCAACATCCTTTTTTTAAACACGTCTTTCTAATATCAAATTGATGTTTAAATACCTAATAATAAAAGGTAAAAAAAGAATGATTAACCTAGCTTTGATTATCTTAATATTTCAAATAAAAATTTCTAATTTAGAAATTTTTTCCATATCCATTTTATGCAGTTTATTTTGAAATCGGTAAGAATTTCGATTAATTTATTTTGAATATTAATTAACTCAATTCAAATGACTTATTCGTATATATTTTATGTTAATATTTTTATTAGTTTAATAATATAAGTTGCAGTCAAAATTACATGAAAATATAATCATATAATTTATATTATACATAATTAAAAATTCAATGTTGGACAAAAATAATATGATGCATCAATATTTGCCATAAGCATCATTTTTATTATTGTTTTTCTAAATAAATAGTGTTGCATGTAGGTGTAGAAAATTGACATTCGTGAAAGACATACGGGAATAGAATTTTAAAATTAATCATATGCAGCAGTCGATACATCAGAATACATCTAACTGTTCATTTATTATAAATGTCAATATTTAAAATAAATCCTACACAATTGAGGAATTTATGATGTACCCTTTTGATTTATTTCTAATTCAATAATAAGTAAAAATATACCATATATTACCTCCATATTCCATTAGACCTGAAAAAGACAAGATATTATTGGGGTTATTCATATAAACTCATAAAACAATATTGCTAGCAAAACCTGTCATTTTTAGTGACGTAAAATATATATATTATGTTTTATATACTTATGAACATAAAAACAATGAAATTCTGTTTCCAAACTTAGAACTTATTACCAGTTCATCAAAAATTGTATCCATATCAAAACAATTTCCTGGCTTAGATCCAGCATAACTTTTTGCTCCACAGCGGCATTGGGCCTTCATATGCCATTTATTTATTAAATTAACCCAGAACCATAATGGAATTTAGATTCTGATACAATTGACTATTTGTCAAAAATCCGCCTTTTCTTAGTTTGATTGATATTGACTTTAAAAGTACAAAACGTTTATGCGGAAAAAATAATAGAAAATTTCCACATGATGTATTTGAAAGGTGTCTTCTTAATGGCGAATGCAAAAAAAGGAATTGGCTCTCAACTCAAAATCTAAGATTGCGCTTTTTCTAATGAACACGCCTTCAGTGTTCCTAATTTTGGATTTACAATTTTTTTAAAACGTCACAATTTAGTTAATGAACACGAGAAAAGTATAGCTCATACTACAAATGTCCGTAGATGGTTTTTGAGAACAACTAAAAATAAAGACGTTATTGATCATGCTTTACAAGAAGAAATACAAACTCAAATGAGCTACTGGAAAAATGTGTTGCATCGAAGTTAGAAGAACTGATTCATCAATTTGCCCCACAATGGAATAAGAGAAATAAAGATACTTAAATCCAGAATTATTTCATTTTAAGTATTAACCATAAATATAAATTGTAAAATATTTTGATATAGATACTTAAATAATAAATAAATACTTAAATACTACTTAATGTTTTTTATGGTTTTTTTAGAGGGGGGGGGGGTTGGCCGGAGGAGCGGAAAAAACTTTTTGCTCCATAGCGGCATTGGGCCTTCATATGCCATTTATTTATTAAATTAACCCAGAACCATAAACTACTGTGACGTCTTATTATAACAAATTTCGAATGCTTAACCGCATTTTATACAAATATGATGGTAATATTAATCATTACTATTTGTAATTATTTTGCAAGTTATATCAGTTTATTGTACTGTTAATTTATAAATATTACATTTTTCATAATATTGTTACTTAACTATTCATTTTAATTGCAGGGGACACCGATATAGGTAAGTAAAAATTAAAATTAAAATCAGCATTGAAAAAAACTTGACTACCTAATTTGACACTACCTACAATAATTTGTGTTCCTAGGTATAATAATAATATATTATACTTATGGTTCGTAAAAATAACTTCAAATTACAGCGGCTACATAAACTGCATAAAACTATAGTTATAAGTTATAACAATGTTCATTGATATTTATTTTATTTTAAATTATTATTATTATTATTATTGTTTTAATTTAGGGAATAGCCTAAACTTGAGGTTAATTTAAGTAGTTTAACACTCCAAAATCATTAAACTAAATAGGTATCAATGGTACTCCATTAATTCTCAAAATTACAAATCTAATGACTTTTTTTTATACCTTCAAATAGTTAAGTTATTATATTTTTTAGATTAACGTTCCGTTTCAGTTAATTTGACTGACAAATCCAGTTAACTTAAATTATAATGGTTAAGTACATAGTAAAGAGATAAAACAACTATCCCATATCCACTAGTGTGTTGTTCAAGGATTGGAACTTTTTCTTTTAATAATTCCGTTGGATCAAAATTAACAACGTAGCGCTGGCCGGTCACATCCAAACCACGAGTACTAGGCAGCGGTGATAGTGTCTGTGTATCAGGAACTAGGATACTATGGACTGAAAACGACAAGGTGACAGAAGTGCGACCAATTTTTACTACGGACATTTTATGGTGGGGGAATTTACCGGCCGCGCTAAACCCTGACGGTGAATACCATGAACTACTAACGAGTGTGCTGTGGTCCGAAGGCTGACTATGAAAGACATTTAATAGTTAATACCTACCTGTTTATTAAATATATGATATTGTTCCAGGTACATTGAAGAGGGAATTGTTTCTAGATATACTTTTTATAAATCTTAAAATAATCTAAACATAAATCTTGTTCTAACTTCTAACATGTAAATCATAAATACTAATAAAATAATTTATATTACCATACACAATAACAAATTCAATGGGGGATAGAAATATGATGCATCACTTTTTGCCATACGCATGATTTTTATTATTGGTGGTTTCTCTAAATAACTGGTGGATGGAACTTAAATGTTGATCATATGCAACAGTAGATACATGAGAATACATCTTTTCATTTATTCTAAATGTCAATATTTAAAATAAATCTTACACAATTAAAGAATTTATGATGTACCCTTTTGATTTATTTCCAACGCAATAAGTAAAAATAGGTCATATGTTAGCTCCATATTTCATTAGACCTGAAAAAGATAAGGTATTATTGGGGTTATTCATACAAAATAATGAAACAATATTGCTAGCAAAACCTATCATTTTTATTGTCGTATAATATAATATATCCAATGGGGGAATATAAATTCAAGTTAAAAAGTCCATGACATTATCCACTCGTAACAAGGATTAGGATTGACCTAATCGTTCTCTTTCAATAAGATTCTATTAATATCCTGTTGTAATAAATAATAGTCTTTAAGAGAAGTAGTAATTAAAAATAATTTTAGATCGCCAGAAAATAGAAGAAAACGACTGTTTAATTTCTAATGACCTTAATTTCATCAATAAAAAGTGCAAAAGAAATACAAAAGAAATATGCTCTTGAGTCTGGTGAGGAACACCAGAAGTATCATGAAAAAACGCCATTAAAATCAAAAATCTATGTGTGTCCTAACATAACGATCATGAAGACATGAACGAAACCTCCACATAAATGGTTTACCCAAACCAGAATTCAACAAAACGTCCATCAGGAAATTATAATCAACGCTATCAAACGCTTTGTCGCTTTTGTAAAATCAGTATGTTATATTAAATAACCTATGTATGGTTTTAAAAAGCATCAAATACTTGAGTTTTGAGAAAAAAACAAAGTTACAAATGTTTGTTTAACGGTAGGGGTGGAAACCACGCTTCTTATCAATTAACATTGAATTTACATAATATATCCTAACGGAATTCAAGACAAATGAATCAAATAATTTAACTACATGATTTAATACTTAAATTGGTTGATAGTTGACAATGTTAGAACTATTCCCAGGTTTAAAGATGAGTTTAACAGTACTAAGCTTTAATATTTTCGAGGAAGCATAGTGTATACTTTCATTGGCGGATTACGAAATATAAACCTCATTGGTTATGAATACTGTGACCAAATTTGAAAACAGACTATATGGAATGGATCCACAGAAATAGAAATGAATTTTGGCTTGAACAAAAGTAGCAAAGTATTGAACAAGAATAATACTTATATTGACAAAGCACATACAAACACGCATCCTTTAATGGTTGTAAATGGGCTATGATAACACACAAACTGACGAATTAACTTTTGATAATAACAAAAAAGAATTAAAGATATAGGTTCAATAAAAACTCACTAAAACGTATTACTATTTTCACAATACCAATGTTATACGATTTATAAGATAACAGAAGTTAAAAAGAAACCTCACATAAAATTATGGGGTAGTTTTGAGTGCTCAGTTAGTCAATTCCATACAGATTTGAGAGTTAAATTTTGCTCAGGGCCCAAGGAGTATTGATTTGACTATGCTAACAGTAACCATTTGCTTAAGGTATATCTTAAGATACAACGACTATTTTACGTTAACGCAACTACATTAAATAGTTAAAATTACTACCGATTTTGTAATGAAACGCAATTGGTTGGTAAGAATTTTGTTTTTATTAACATATAATATTCTGAACCAATTGGCTCATCCTCTGAGTTTGATAAAATTTAATCTTCTCTTCTTCTTTTTGGCTTCGGCCTTTAAGACCATGCCGCTAAGTACAAATCTTGCCATATATCCCTGTCCTCTGCAGCTTCTCTCCATCTGATTCATGGATCTAACGTTTTTAAGTCCTTTCTTACGCAGTCTTCCCACCTCAGTCTAGGTCTACCTAAAGGTCTTTTACCTATTGGTTCTTCCTCAATTACTTGTTTAACTAGAGATCCTTGCTTACGCCAAGCATGGCCCCCCGGCCCCCCACATAAGTCTTCTTTTTATAATCTCCTTGACTATGTCAGGTCTCTGAAACTGTCTTTTGAGTTCATAATTATGTAATTTTCTCCATTCATTGTTTCACTGTCAAAGACCGGTCCATATATTTTTCTTAAAACTTTTCTCTCGAATACTCCTAGTCTCTGTTCTTCGGCTTTCCTCAATGCCCACGTCTCAGAACCATACAGGACAATAGGTCGTAATAATGTCATATACGTTCTTATTTTTAAGTTTTGTGAGAGTGTCCTCGATTTTAGTATTCTTTCTAATCCATAATATCCCTCGTTAGGTTAGCTTAATTGTATTCTTAACGAGATGTGCGAAGACCGGTCGCTACTAACGAAATTGCGCCACAAGGGCGTTTGGTTTGTGCTTATGCTTAGTAAAAACAACTTCAAATTATAGCAGCTAAATTAACTACATAAAACTATAGTTATAACTTATAACAATGTACATTGATGTTTATTTTATTTTAACTGTTGAAATAATTCAGATAATGGCCTAAACTTACAGTTTATTTAGCCCTCCAAAAACATTAAACTAAATAGGTTACATTGATTCTCAAAATTACAAATCTAATGATTTATTTTATACCATCAAATAGTTAAGTTATTATATTTAGATAAACGTTCCATTTCAGTTAATTTGACTGACAAATCCCGTTAACTTAAATTTTAATTGTTAAGTATATAGTAAAAAGATAAAACAACTATAACATATCCATGAGTGTATTGTTCAATAATTGGAACTTTTTCTTTTAATAATTCCTTAAGAACAGTAAATAATCTGCTTAAACATATTTTTCATGAGGGTGTCACTATTCAGAAACTAAACTAAATTTTAAATATTTAATAATTAACAAGTTTCATTTGAAACAGAAAAAGCTAACTAATATTAAATATTATATTTGGTGTTGAATTAGGTTTCAATAAGATTTTCCATGTTTGTCTTACTTGTTCTATACCTATCCCTGTATATAAAGGAAATTTTACTTTAGAATTAGTTGACGCAGAGCTGAAACTATTTGAGTTATCGAATTTTGAGGATAAATTGATATTAAAATGTCAAGTTCCACTAAAAAGGGATTTTCAAGATTTTGATTTTAAAGAGTTGAAATCGGTAAATATAAATTTGCACGTATAAATTATATACCTATATTATACATATTTTACAGCACGACGGCTCCTCGGGTTTTCATAGCGACATACAACCATAACTTTTTGTCCGTCTTATTCTATTTGATCGGCGTGTAGCTATCATCGGGCAAAGCAGGGCAGTTCACTGGGGCCCCTTAGAGCTCAAGGGCCCTCAGAGGTCTTTGTAAATTTTAAAAATACACCCGTAAAATAATTGAAATAAAATTGAAAAAAAGGTTGGACATTTTTAATATGATAATTGAATATTAGAAATTTAATATGAATATTGTATACCTATAAATACACACAATATGCAATGATCGATGTTAGACTATGGCTTAGATCATATTATACACTGGATAGAGCTTTGATTTAAAATCTTGAAGCATAGCTGCTCGTGCCCGAAGTCATCACTGCGCATGAGCAAAGTATATGATCTAAGCATTCAGTACCTAATCGTCCTTATCACTATAACACATTATTGTTCCTTCCCCGTCCCGCGCAATCTATTTCATTTCTCACGCAAGCGCAATAAGTACTTCGGGCATGACAGGTCTGCTTCAAACACGGACTATACGCTATAGCTCTATCCAGTGTATATGATCCACGGTTTAAGATAGAATGGTTGAGCGACGATTCATACAATCCCACAGTACATTACGGCGGAAAAGTTTCTTATCAAATAAATGTTTTTACTCACTGGATACTAGCGCTTCCGGTGCCAACATGGCCTATCACTAAATGATGGCGCCAAAAACAATAATTCTAGACGGAATTTTACTATTTACTATTTAGCCATACCATAGAATAGAAAATAAATATAACTCTATTCTGTAAGACTGTGAACATACTACAGAATGTAGCTATAGCCATACACATAAAAAGAGATAAAGGATATGTTAATTCGCGCCAATTCTATTAACCATGATATTATAATAATTGTGGTTATTGTGAATTAATTATAAAATTGTCATACTTGTTTTTATATTAATTTAAAAATGCCAAGTTATTGTTGTGTACATGAGCCTCACGAGGCATTAAAATCTCTTTTTGGAGCCCCCAAAAATGCAGAGATTAAAATATTGTGGGAAGAAGCATTAGGGATGCAACTTAAAAAAATTCATAGGATCTGTGCAAAACATTTCTATGAAAGTGATATTATTAGTAGGTACTTGGGACTCAGGTCAAGGATCCAGTAAATATACTTTTCATCTTAGGATATAATATAAGCTTTTGGTTTATAGTGTATATAGTAAGATATTAACTATTACAAATTATAAAATTATGTTTTTATACAAACTATATTTATACTTTGATTTACCCATTATTCCTTTTGGTAATCTGTTTTGGTTTAGAATAGAAAAATTGAAATTAAAAAATCGGTTTATTTAACAACTGGTTCTTATTTTTCTTTGTAAAATGAGTTAATACTTCATACAGCTAGTATTAGATTGGAAAGCTATTAAAAGCCAAAATAAAATTGACATTTGTTAAAAAAAAATACATTGTAAAGTTCTTCTACGTTTTCAATCATAAAGTATTATGAAGTAGGTACTATATAATAATAATTATTTTAATTAATAATTATAATAAAGTATTATTATTATTTAATAAATTTAAAGAATATCAAGATTATCGTGGTAATTTAGTAGATCGCACCACGGGGCAGTGAGTTTTTTATATTTTTGATAAGAAACTCTACCGCCGAAATATCAGACCTCGTCGCTTAACCATTCTATCTTAAACCGTGATATGATCTAAGGACTACGGAGTAATCGTTATCTTATCGCACAACGGCCAAGGCACAGTACCAAGGCACAGATATCTATATTATACTAGATCAGGACGGTACTCGGGGCGTTGCACATTGGAAATAGTGAAGCCAGATTTCAAGCGCTTATCAGTGTATTATTACATGGGCGCCATACTGCTGGTTGGCAAAATATTCGAATTCTCTACTGGAACTAGCATAATAATTACATAAATTCGTTACTTTTTTTACATAACTTATAGACCTAGGACTTCAAATTTTTAATCTGTTGTGTATAGACTATAGATGTTACTATGTTAGTATGGTATTAAGTATTTGATGGCATTTGTATTAAGATTAAGTATGTATGAAAAAGTAAAAACTCATCTTGTATAATTGTTTATTAATTATTAATACAATTTTTACATAATTTCATGTCATAACACTCATAACACAACATATAATATTACTGATTTATTTTTATTTTCGTGTAACTACTTACTTTTCTAATATTTCCCTATTAAGATTTTGTGCGTTTTACTTAGTACCGCGGAAACAATTGTATAGCTACCACTACCATCCTCCACCGTGTATAGTCCCTCGTCGAAACGATACCTGTACAAGCATGTACACCTGTACAATGTTTCTTACCAATCCGCATCTAAAATTCTGTACACTGGTACAGTTTAGTTTTCTTGCACACACCAGTCGCCGATGAGTTGTTTAACTGTACGATTCGTGAAAATATCAAATAACTAATATTTCATTCCAAATATTTTCATTGTAGGTGCAGGATAATTGTGTACAAAAATTAGATAAAAAATGACTACCTAATTAAAATTAATAAAGATGTCAAATCCATATGATTATATGAACTTCGCAAGTATTCATTTTATTAATTTTGATTGTTAAATATATAAAAATTAAAAAGAATAAAATACTTTTAAAATAAATGTATATATTCTTATTATTTTAAAATTTGCTCATAAATATTTTACATAATGCATATTTTGAGTGCATAATTTAAAAATGTAAGGGCAATTAAATGCATATTTTCGAACTTTTTAGTGCATATTTTAATGCATATTTTGCCAATTTTTAGTCCATGAATGCATGCTTATTTGTGCTTTTTTTAGTGCATGAAATTACGAGACCTGTTTATGACTATAATTATGTTCAGATTCATTTTCTATCATACTGTAGGCACAAGTTTGACAGTCAATTTTTTTACAGACCCTTCTAACGATAAATCCACAAATATAATATAAAATAAAATCTTTTACGAAATCAAAACTATCAATATATGGCAGAAGACTTGGTACATTTTCATCTTCAATATAAAGCACAATAAGTAAAATAATATAATAATTATTGTCAAAAAAAGAATCAAATAAATGGTAATTAAGTTCATAAAACGCATAAAATGATATTATAATCATAATACTTATTCAATGTTTTGCCAACCACGAAATTGGTGATAACGGATTATTACTATTAGTTAGGCTTCATACGATAACGCGAGTACCAGTATAATCTAGTATAATATAGATATCTGTGCACCAAGGTTTGTAAATATTAAAGGGTTAGAATCTTCATTTTGAAGTAAAACTTAAAGTATAAATAATATATTGGACATAATATTATTATCACTCAATTAAATACGCATTTCATTGGTATATAAGTTAAGTCAGCAAAATATTTGATTTTTTAACTCCAAAAGTATTACGTAGCATTAACGAACGAACTTGATCAGTTTCAAAGCAAGTATTCGGATGTAATATAGGACCAAATTTTTCGATCCAATTCCTCAATGTTCACCATCTCACTTTTCCTGAATTAACTGAGACGTGTTATGTTCACCAGTTATGCAAGGATATAATAACCAAATTTGGAGTGATGGAATGTGATCTAACAGAAGTACTCATGGCAATTTTACTATTTTATACCATTCCTGTTACTTCAGCAGGAGCTGTATGATCCTTCAGCAAACTAAAAATAATCAAAAATTATCTTAAAAATAGTACTGGACAAGATCGACTCAAATATGTATCATTGATTGCAGTTGAAAACAGGGCAGCTTTAAAATTGGATTTAAGTGACGTTCGAAACTCAGCGTTGTTACGGGCAGACCCAGTCCGATCAGCCGGTGCGGGTATAAACACCGATAAGATCTGCCGCCGTTGAACGTGAGCTGCGCGATCGTGCAACTGGTCCGGTAAAGTCAGTGCTTCGCGGAGCGAGCGGATGAGTGATGGTGATGACATCTCGCCTGCTGTGTGCCATTTTCGTTGGCCGATGGTTCTGTCCTCGTATCCGCTCGTCCGTCCTGTGTTAAGTTGCTGTGCGTTCGATTGCCGGTCGAGTACCACACGCAAGCTCCGTGCCGTTTATGGTCTTAAAAGTCGAGCGTTAACTTGTTGTGTGTGCCGTACTGCCGTTGTCCATTGTTATGCGTCGGAATCTCGTGCATATAACGCGCCGCCGGGCTCATAAATATAGCTTGCCGCCGCGCGCCGGCTTCTGATAGACCGGTATATTGGCCGCCGCACGGGCAGCTACCGTCGTCGTTCGGTCTGAAAATTGTTATTATTTATTATTGTACGTACTAGCGGTACTATCGTTAGTGTCATTATTATTATTATTATTATTATTATTATACGCTGATACGGGGAGACGTCTCCGTCAGCTCTTCGTTGTTGATATTCTTAAAGTTAAATATTATACTATCGTGCTATTATAGGCACCTGTTCTACATAATATACATACCGTGTTCAATACTATTCACCTATATATATATATCATAACCAATATTAGGTCTTAACGGTGTTACCTTAAACCCTTACACTCTCGTCAGCCGAATCGCTAGGTGACCGCCGGTTCCGTAGGAGCCCGCCGGTGCCAAAACAAGTGAAGTGATAGATCACTATATCGCTAATATTAAAAGTCATCAGAGTGGGGTTTACTATGTACGCTATGAGACACGTCTCGCCGTTCGTAATTGCCACAATCCTCAATATTTTTATTATCGACGTCCCCGTTGCGATTGTCGCGACGCGCCATCGGATATAATATAGTAATATTCTTTTCTTATTCGTATCTATATAGTGAGCAATAATAATAATAGTATAATATGTATTTAGTTTTAATAGCAGTGTACTTATAATAATTCATATTTTATATTTAAATTGATGAATCTTTTAAACATATTTTAAACTATTTAGTTGTTGTTTTCCCTTTAATTTTTTTTTTTTGTCATTTAAATAATTTATTTATGAAAAATATTATTTTTAATTTGTCTACCCTAATCCCGATCCCAAGTTTCGCCTCTGGTTTAAGCAATCACGCTTAAAATTGTAAACAAACTTAGGTCACTGAACTCACAAGCTACCAGTCAAAGATATACAAGAGCAAGTCAAACACATAATTTGACGGACAAAAAGGTCAGGTTATAGGTAGCTGGAAACCCGATGGCCGCCGAGTCTTACATTATATAATATACATATTATAAATGTATTGTGTATAGATACATAATTTGCACGTTTATTTTAATTAATAACTAATTTTTCGCGCAACTTTCTTTATTATTTAGTAGAACTTAGTATTTTTTGGTTGACATTGGTTAATCGGGTAGAGCCGGTGTAAACATGCATATGAAATCAAGTTTTAGTACATTGCCTACTAAAGTGGCTGAGTTTCACCTTTTTCTGCAAAATGTAATGTTTGAAGTTCAATGAAAAGGACAAAAGGTTAAGAGCTCAATATTAGATTTACTAGCTTTGAAATTATAAACATATTTTAATTATATTCTCTGTACCCTGGGAATATTCTATTTTCAAATCATTAATTGTGCCTATAAAATCAAGAAGTTGTAAATGCAATAAAAAATGATTTTATTCTTTAAAATGTGGCTTACTTTTTTTAAAGTTTCATATTGAAAAATATCATAATTAGCGATAAATCAAAAGTAAATACATGTATAAACGATGTTAAAATTGTTTTCAGAATCTGTTCCGAGAAAATTCATAAACTTCTTCCAAAGTAACTATCGACTATACAGTATACATGATACCTACATATGTGTAGGAGGAAATTTTTAACAATAAGCATTTAGTATCTAGAAAAGTGTTTATTTGTTTGGACTTTTCATTACATAATTTGAATTATTGCGTGACAAAATTATTGACGAAAAAAAATGTCAACTGTTTTATATTATTATGATTTATTATAATATTTAAGTTTTTACTTTCTTGAATAATTTCATATACTTTAATGTTTAGTTTCATATTGACCTTAACTCTAAATAATTATTTATTACTTTTATTTTAATAGTTAATTCCATTACGATCTCAGAGGACTATTGTACATCTATTTTTATTTTGCATATAAAGATTAACACTATAGCTATACTGATAGGAGCATTATAGTGGAACAAAAAGAGTAATATAGAGCAGAAATAGTAGATCATAACAATACAATACATTTAATAATAACAGTGTTGTCATTTATATAGATGTAATATTGAATTAACATATTGATTAGTTGGTTACATGGTGGGCTAAGGAAGTTGGATATTCGCACGTCGGTTATTGGGGAGTTTACCAATTGCGCTTAAAATGACCTTTAAATATACCAATTGCGCTCTGTCTTTTTTAGGTCGATATACCAATTGCGCTCTGTCTTTTTTGGGTCAATATACCAATTGCGCTATGTCTTTTTTTTGGGTCGATAGACCAATTGCGCTCAGTTGTCTTCAGGGTTTATAATAGTATTCTACATTACACCTAGTATATAAAAATATGTATTTTAAATAGATATTTTCAGTCAATATAAAAAATTAAACTTTAATTTATATTATATTATATATTGTGATTTGTGTTATCCCATACATAGTATATATCTGTATAGTACTTATTAGACAGTGTATGGAACGTACAAATTAGGTAGATAAATAGGTGGATAACGATCATTAATGATAATGAAAAATTGTTATACGAGTAGTCTATCACTCAAATTCATACTTTATAATATGTTCGTTAATAATAATAAAAAAAATATTTAATAGTTCGCCCTACGTCGAGTCGGGATAGGTACTACTATCATTTATAAGTTTGTAGCTTGTCGTATTTTCCCGTAATTTCGTTTTGCTTTAAATTAAGTATATTTGAATGTATATTAGTTAGCTATATTTAATTGTGTATGTACATATGTAACTTTTACCGCCGTGTAGTAACTTACATATTATGCCCATGTAAAAATAAGGAACCTAAAATATAAGTAGCGCAATTGGTGTACTGACCTAAAATTTAAGTGGCGCAATTGGTATACTAACCTAAAATACAAATATTGTTTTAGGCGCAACTGGTCCATGCCCTGTTATTGTACTGGCCGACATATGAACAATAGCCATTACTCACAGGCCGACCTTTGTTTTGTGTGTATATGTGTGTTTTAGCATGAGAAATTGGACATTTATTATGTCAGTATGTAGTTTTAAGAGGCTACCTATTGTTGAGTGATTTCAGACGAAACCACATTGTTCTTCGATAAAAAAATTAGATGTCTCCAAATGCCAAATATAACATTTTGTTTACCATTTTTTCCATGATTTTCCAGTTGTACTTATGAGTGAGATTAGCTATATTAAATTTGTTTTTATTTGGTTTTGGAGTGGGTATAAAGATATCATTTCGACACTGGATTGGGAATACACCGTTGTTCCATATTATATTGTATATTTTTAATAGTTGGATTTTGCCATTCGGTATTAGATTTTAGATAAATGAATATGTTAAGTCATTAAGCCAAGGACTTTCGCTTTTGCAGTTTGACATGTAATTAAAGAGTTGACTACCACTGATGGAAGTATTTAGATGGTTGTCTTGATGGTGGAAGTTATTTTGGAGTTCATGTGTGATGGTATTTTCTATGTTGTGTTTATAGTGTGTAAAGAAGACTGGGTCAAAATTTGAGGCGTAATTATTTTTCTCGAATGATAGCACGAAAGCGTCGTTTATGGCTGTTGAAGATGAGAGTAGAATATTATTATGTTTCAAAATAGGTTGAAGAGGATGATGTGTTATTCCTTTAATTGCTTTAATTTTTTTCCATATTTCTGTAGAACAGGAGTTGGGCTTATTAAATTGGTGTATGTATATTGTTGCCACGATTCAGTTTTGTATTTTTTAGTAATGCATCTAGATGCTGCTCGAGATACTTTAAAATGTATGTGATCAGAGAGTGATCTGGTTTTTTAAAATTTGTTAATGCATTTTTGAATTATTTTATTACGTCTTTGCATTCATCATTCCACTATTATACTATTTTTCTTTTTGTAATGTGTTTGTTTTTCCAATAATTTTATTTGCGGCATCTAATATAATGTCTGAGAACTAAATTATTATGGAGTTTATTTGTGCTTGTGTCTGTTGGGTTTCATTGTCTATTTTAATGGGATTTTCTAGGATATTTGGTTTATAAGATCTTAGTATAGTTCCCAATTCGGGTTTTTGAGATTCCAATGAGTGTGTGACGGCGTTTTAAGGAATTGGTCTAGAAGAGTTATGGATATAGGCCAGTAGTCACTACAGTTATATTCTTTGAGTGCTCTCCATTCGATTTATGGGACAAGTGTGCTATTGGATACTGATAAATCTATATAGTGGAGAAAGATTTATTTGTTAAGTCATGTCTGGTGTAATCCACGCCAGACAGTTTAGTAGTATGAGCTGATCAATATCCAGACATTTTTCCATTATTTTTTCTCTAAGGTCAGTGTGATTTGATCCCTAAAAGTATGAAGGGTTTTGGCAGCTGTTGTATGATTTGGTTGAAGTCGTGGGGAAGCAGATTGGTGCTGTTAGGCACATAAATATTACAGACGCGTAGTGGGTTTTTGAGTTCAATAAGGACAGCAATTATTTTAAGGTGGGACTGAAATTGGATTTCTTTGCTTTTTATGCGATTTGTGATGAAGGTAGCACTGGCGGTATTTTGGTGATTTTTGAAGTACCCTTAATATTCATGTATGAGAAATTTTTGATTGGATTTTAGGTTAGTTTCTTAAAAGCAAAAAACTATTGGTTGAATATTATATTTTGCACGTTGAATATCGGTGAGATGTTTAAAAAGGCCGTTTATATTAGACTAACTGAATTAACCAGCTACGTCCGTCGCTGCAACACGATTGCGCAACTTTTCCTTTTTTGACCCGGCTAATTACACCACGATTGCGCAAAAAATTTGCAACACCATTGCGCCCCGATCCCTTTTTACCTGTTAAAATCACAACACCATTGCGCACCAAATGATATGTGTATATACTATATACTATATATAATAATTTATATACAACATAAAATAATGTATACATACAATATATTTTCATATACATGCACTTGAATCATATAACTAGTTATTAGGTCTATGACTTAAACTTATTACCTATTAATTCACAATTTTCCTTCTCAATTATTACAGGCTTACCAACATACCAACATTCAACACCGATATGATGATATTATCACTTATTAAGAAAATGTTATCTTTATTATCTTCATAAATATATTGCTTTACACCAAGTTGACGATCAGATAAAATTATAAAAATAAATATAAATACCAATGCTCACTCGTTCAATTTTGTATATGTATATAATATCAACAAACAAATAATATTGAGTATATTGACTTTAATATAATTTATAATACTATATATTTTCATTTTGAAAAAGTGCATTTTGTGAATTTATAGTTTGAGTGCATGTAATATGTACATGCAAGTTATAGAAAGTATGTATTGTATGTATGCATTATTTTATGTTGTATATAAATTATTGTTTATAATATATACACATATCATTTGGTGCACTGGCGTTGTGATTTTAACTGGTAAAAAGGAATCGGGGCGCAATCGTGTTGCAAATTTTTTGCGCAATCGTGTTGTGGCCACCGGTGAAACACGATTGCGAAATGCTTTACCTTTTTTGCAACACGATTGCGGACGATCATTATATATCAAAAGGTCTTATGTTGCACCCAAAAAATGACACGACTGCGGTCAAAATTTAATGAAACGTTGCCTAGTTGTGCGACGCGGTCTACCAAGCCCAACGATTGTAAAGGTTAGGTTAGGTTAGGCATATTTTTTAGTTGATCAATTACTTCATCTAATGAATTTGGGAATGTTGGGTAATGTTTTCGTCTCTTCTCATACATAGTTTTCCTCACAGTTTTTATGCCTTCTTTAACTATCGCTGTTACTGTATTATTTAATAGTTCCGTTCTTATTATTTTTAACGGCTTAGTAGATAAATCTTCTTCCCATTTTCTTTCACAGTTTTCCCTTAATATCTGTCGCTCGATTTTTTGTGCAGAGTTCTCAGCGCAGATATGCTCGCCGGAAGATTCACAGATTGATTTTTTATCTGATGTCGTCAAAATACTTGCACTACAGACTTTATTTGTACATAACCATTTCAGAATTCCATCTTTCCGCTGTCGCCTAAATCGATATTTATTCGTTTTGTGTAGAACTAACTCCTTACCACGTTTTGATAAAATAATTTGAAAGTCTTCCATAGTTTAAAAACACAATATGGTGTCACGTAAATACATCGCGGTAAATTTGTCGTGGTAATTTGGGCGCGGTAAATTAGGCGCGGCAAGTTGGGCGCCGGTGTAATATCGTCGCACGTAATTTCGGCGAGTGACGATACATGCCTTATGTACAATATTTTATACTTTATTATAAATACTTAGTTTAAAAACAATATGCATAACTTATTGGCAAGTATAAAATATAATTTAAGTCAAACAAGTCAAAATAGTTTTAAATTATAAATATAAATTAAATTGTACCACAAATAGTATAATACAATAGTCAAAATAATATAATAATTAATAAATACCTAGTTTAAATACAATATGCATAACTTATTGGCAAGTATAAAATATAATTTAAGTCAAATAAGTCAAAATAGTTTTAAATTTTAAAAATATAAATTAAATTGTTCCACAGATAGCTAATAATAATAAAAACAAAAATGTATACAAATAAAGTTCTAAATTATAATTGCAACTGGAAATTAACAGCTATCCCATGTAAATAATTTTGAATATTAGTAATATTTGGGTCAAATGTTGAGGTTAATTTTCGAATACGAATTGCAGAATCTTTATATTTTTTTTTTTTAGGTAATGATATTCCAGAAAGTAACTGTTTGACTTTAAAAAAGTTTATATTATTTTCTTTTTTCAACGCATTAATAAAAATCCAAATAGATGGATGAACTGAATTTAACAACGAATTGAAACAATTGTGCCAGCCTTCTACTGCATTATTGGTGCGAGGAATATCTTTTTCAATTAAAAAATAACAATTAAAATAGGAAATAGTGGAGGTGTTTTTCGTCCTCTTCTATTAACGCGACCAATATATGTATCCTCAAAGTAATTTATAAAATTTGACAGAAGTTCCTCATTGTTTTTATAAAATTCTGTTTGAAGAAGGTTTTCGAAACTATTTTCAACAAGATTTTCGGGTAAATATGCTAATGCCAGTATTTTTCGAATATTAAGAGAAAATTCTGGATCAGTAGAATATTTATTACTTAACCCAATATTTTGAATTTGCCGCCAAATTGACTGTCCGAGATGAAAAAAACAACCTCGAATTTTAGTATTTGGGTACATAAATAGGGCTGCATTCATAGCAGCTTTTTCAAAATCAGCCATAATCATCAATGGATTTAAATTTTTTTTTTAAACATTTAAAGCTAAAAACATACGGCGATAAGTTACTTCCTTTTTATCTGGTAAAAGAACATAAACTAAAGGAACAACATCACATAATATTAAACTGTGGATTGTATATAATCGGGTGAAAATACTAGGACAACACGAAAATGTGCCGTCAACAAACCAGTGTTCACTTTCTAATAATAAATTTAAATTTTTTTCTGTTGAAAATATTAATATTCGTTTTTCATTGATATTTTCAGAAAAACTGTCATATAATAAAAATGATTCACCATTCGTAGTTGTTTTGTACTCATCTGGAATTTTTAGCTCTTCTAATGTTGCAGGATTTGGAGGAGCAGAACTTTCGATTTGTCTTGTTCGTTGTACTGTTCTTTTCATTTGATTTATGGGAGGTAGTGTACCTGCAATTGCATCATCAACCTAAACAAATAATAATAATAGAATAGAATAGAATAGGTAAATTAAATTATAATGTTTTTACTTTTGATACAACTGATCAAATAACAGCATGAGTACTCAGTTGAGATGTTTTCTCTACATTCTTCAAATCATTCATATATTCTCTTCGTTTTATATTAGCTATGTCAGGTACATGGTTAGTATATTCAATATATTTAATCACAGTTTCATCTCGTGTGTGAACACGACCACGACAGCTGAATTGTTTATAATCATTACATTTCCAAATGATTTTATCGTCGCCGTCTTTTTCTTTTTTATGCACATAATTATTGTGAATCAATAACTTTTGATTTCGTTGACTCAAAATATAATTTAAAGGCATTTTGTTTCAAAAATTGTTATTATATAAATAATTAAAATACACGGCACTGTATAATTGTATAAATCGTAACAAATCGGTAACAAGCGTTGACGATAGACTGACGGTAAAATACAAAGTTCAAAAGTAAACATAACACATTATAGGATTTATAATCACAAATCATCGAGTCACGAGCCTATCATTTTACCTATAATTTAGATAGGTACCGCAATATAGACAACGATAATTTAAAACAATCATAATTTAGATAAACGACGATATCATTAAATTGACGCGATCTAATACAAAACGACTATATGACGCGCGATAATATTACACCGCGACGAATTTACTGCGCCTAAATTCCCGCGCCCAACTTACTGCGACTAAATCACATGGAACCACACAATATACACTATATTATACAACGAGATTGCAGCTATTACTGTAGTATTTAACAAAAATGACTTGTAACTGCATACTAAACTTAATACGCTCAGAATTTCCACATACCCACATTATCGAAGTATTATTTATAAATTTGGCAACATGTGTCCACAATAGTGTAATATTCGGGGGTCCGCTGATAAACTATAATCGTTCGCAATTGTGTTATTAAAAAGATCGCCCCGATAAGAATCGTCCGCAGTCGTATATCACCGAGCACAATAAGTATGGGCGATGAATAATTACAATTGTTAATTACCCTACTGAAACGCAACACTTTTGAAAATCCTTTCTATTTGCGCGGTGAAAATACGAAAAGAACCTCTATTCCAAATTTCAAGTTCGTACATTCCGTAGTTTTTGAGTTCCAGCGATCAGTAACAAGTGGCATTTGGATTTTATATATATAGATTGTATTATTTGATCCATATTTGTGTTATGTATTAAGAGCATGGTCTTGAGTTTTATTGCAGTGTTTGGTCTTGTGGAGGGAGTACATGGAATAGAAGATTTGCGAATTTCGTGAAGCGAGATTTCATTCTTTTATCATTTATAATATTAGGTCGAGTTCCTACAATTGGACTCATTAAAAATATTTTGTCTATTTTAACTTGTTAACATTGTGAGTGGATGTTGATAATATGTTTGTTAATATATATTTAAACTGAAGAAAGCTTATTGGGGAGTTTTGGTTAACATGGAAAAAAAGTACAATAGGTTTGAATGCTTCGTCTCTATTTTCGCCAGATCTTGTTGATGAGTTTGAACGTGATCGTATTTGTACCTTAACTTTTTTAATACTGTATAGCAGGATTTTCATTTTTTTTCTACTGAGTATGGCAGAAAATATATTACCTACCTATAGTATTAACATATGGGTACTTAAAGAAATAAAATAAATTACTACATAGGACAAAACGTTATTCCAAGGACAATTACGCCAACGTATCGTACAATATAATAACTAACTATTTAAAGTTAAGTCGCGTGGACCAATCTCTTGAAAAATTATTCCTCTTCAGAATATCAAACTAAAACTATTAAGCTATGTATTGACAGTCAAAAAATGTAAAGGACCTACACAGTGATAACAATAAAAATAGGCCTTGAATTATCTAAAAATGATTAGATGTTTTAAGATTCTAAAAACGTTTAAACTTTTGGTGAAAATCAGTTCAGAAAAAAATCACATCAAAAATATTTCGTTTTTTTACTTATATTTTCAATTTCTGAAATGAAAGCCTAAAATGTTCAAAAATAAGAATCAAACGGTAAAAATAATTATTACGAGTAACTATGTAAGATATTAAACAGTGGATTTAAAAGGAAAATTCAAATTAATATAATTATTTTTTTTATACCTAAGTACGAATATAATTTGTAATTGAAATGTTTCTGTTGACTTGATGCTTAGGCTACATCGGTAAGCAGTTTGATTTATGGATTTGAAATTAATTTAATTTAACTTAACGTACCTACAGCTGGTTGTATATGGAGTGGTTTGACGTTTGACTGTAATTTAAAACTATTATATTTGTAGTTGAAACTTTTAGAACAGTAAGTGCATTATTTTATTGTATACACACTTTATTATCAAATGCAATATTTTTGCCAAATATGAATTCAGCCGACTGTATTTCTATTACAACCATTGATTATAAATACTAGTAATAAACTAGTAATAAACATATTTATAAATATTACTTCTGAATTATCAATGTAGGAAGATAAATGATTATTAATGATCATTTAGTAAAAAAAAGAAAGAAATTCAGCGATAGAGACAGCCTTCTATTATCCTTCAAACATTCAACTACAGCACACCATCCAGAACGGAAGAACCGAGACTCACAAAATGATCCAAAGGGAGACAAAACCGACGACTGGCCGCTGCCCGATGAAACCAGTCTTTCAATAGATGTAGAAGTAGAAACTAACGCTACAGGTTAGGTTGCCTAGGTAACCAGGTACACAATAAAATCCAGAAGCCGAAAGACCATCGCTGCTGCATCACCGTGGGCGCACCTGTCGACGAATTGCGGATTGCTTATCCTACACAATCGACGACAACCACTCCGAGTTATCGGCTTTACCGTTATACTTTGCCACCCGAGGAAAGCTCTCGGCGTGTCGCCTACCGTACCGGGTAGTGAATAGGTTAATCACACACGACACTACGGCCGTAGTCTGAACGACCAGTATACAAAGATCATCGACTTTCGAGCACAAACAATTTCCCAGTCGTAAGGTGTGCGGGGAAAATAATAAATTGTTTTTTATTAGAGTTCAGGGCAACCAAAATAAAGTTCTCTTGAGTGCATCTGTTATTGCCATACATCCAGACGAGACCTACGAGTAGACGCCACTTTTTCATGCGAACCGGGAATAGGATAATGTATATTTACGTGTCTCAACCAAACGCTACGACACACTCTCGAATTGTAAACCAAAATCCCATCCGTCAAACCGAAGGTCTCAAAATCGTTGGGTGCATGATTTTATACCCCAATATTCCTTATATAAATCTTTTTAGTTTATATAAATAAACAGCAAACTTTTCTAATAAACATCCGTAAATTACGAATCATTACTAGGCAGTATAATCGCTAGTTTGTTCTTCAATACTTTTTTATATGAGAACTACTTAGTATTTCAAATAATATCTGAATGGATATATTCGTATCTGTATTTAAATAGAATTTTAAACGAATTTTTCACAAAACGGCCACTAGCGGATAGTGGTGAACAATCCGCCTGTTTAAACTGGTCTATTAGAAAACCAGAAAATTATAGTTTAATTTTAAAGAGCATTTACGGGCGTTTGCTTGAAAATTAAATAACAGCGGTCGCAGACAATTCTCTGCTCAGATCCGAGACTTGGTTTCGGGAGATCAAAGAGCATATTTGAAAAAACCATGTTTAATTTCAGACGGTTATCCGCAGCGGATATAAACCGTGACAGCGTGCGGTCAAACCTCTCTGTATAACCAGCTTTAAAAGATGTAACTGAGAACAAATATTCGCTGTTCAGTTATAAACGCAAATGATTATTATCTGAGGAAATTGTTTTTAAAATATTCTGTTTTATTTACTATTTGATTATTATTTATTCAGGCTAGTATACTTATTACTTAATTACATTCGATATGATCAATGCACAATGTGCAAAGACATTATTTTCTACACTACAAAAACAAGATATAAATAATACCTTCAAATCGAATGTGATATGATTTATAATTCAAAATATTCTTAATAGCTAATATTAATATTTGTAATACAAAACTGCATCATGATTATTTTCTCCAAACCATCGTAGGTACTTATCAAAGCTTCAATAGTTAGGTCATTCGATATTACAATTAACAGAATATAATATGTTTAAATAATTAAAATCCTATTAGTAATTTAACCATTTTAATTTTAGGTTTTACTGAAGAATTTAAAAATGATGGAGCAACAAAATGCCAGAGTAAGCAATATCGTGCATAAATAATTTATTAAAGGGTTAACTTATTAATGAAGGGGTCAATGGATAAAAGTGTTAACTAACATTTTTGAAATTGTTCACAAACGCAACTTTTGTAACTAAATATTTGTAAAGTTAGGAACTTTTTTGATATTCAATATATGAAATTACTTATAAGAGCATAAATATGGGTCTAGGGGTCCTCTGTAACATACTATAACTTGGATATTGTACTTCCACCAAGTAACTAAAAAACGTCATTTAACACCTTTATCTATAAAATAATGGTATAAATATGTAATAGGTACTGTGAATAAATGAGTTATAAAGAGAAAATGTTTTTATGATTTATTTTTAATAAAATACATTATTAGTCAAAAAAAAAATATAATATAACTTTTATGTCTAAAACTTAAAACACCAATGAAAAAAAAAATTAATTAACTTTTATCAAATATTAACCAAATCAATATTTATAATATTACTATGAATAATACTTGTACTTAGAAAAACAGGATATGATAAAATTAAGCTTATAATAGAAAATATTGTTCATAAAACCACTTGAACTCATCAGGAACAAATTGTACTTGTGTTCTTATGTTGTCTAGTTTTTCTTTAGATATATTCCCAGTATTGTCAGTCAGTCTTTCTAAAGTATAGTTGTTAGCATTGTTTATTTTATCCTTAAGGATATGCACTGTTTTAAATGGAACAGTTTCATTATGTGACTCTTTATATTGGTAGCTACCAAATTTACTTGTTCGTATCCATTTAATACTGTCACGAAAATATACTTTTTCACCATCAATATTTTTTTTAGATAATCAATATCAAACAAACAAAAATTGTTAGAAACATTATTATTTGATAATAATAATATTAACCAATAACAAATTAAAGTAAAAACAATCCACGAAGAAACATTGGTATAATATTTGCAGACAGTGTCTAAAAATACATATACAAATAACACCGAAATTTAATTCAATAACAGCATGGATAAAGGCGGTAATATCCAATAACACTTTGTTCTAAGGAGTTAACATACACTACCACTTTTATCCACTACAATTAATGATTAATTCTTCTTATAACATCCTTATCAATTTTTTATTTCGGTAACTACTAAATAAAACCTTATCAAATTTTGATATAATGTTTATAACATTATAACACCTTTATTCATGCAATAAAATGCATTTTTTAAAAAAATGTCAGTTAACACCTTTATCCATTGACCCCTTCATTTATAATGACATACATTTATAAACAAAATAAAATTTAAATTCCCATCGTAAATCTCAAATTCCTTGGGTGAGCACTTTCTTCATAATGCCAATTTTGAAATATCCTTTCTTAGTGCAACCATTACATGGTGGTACAAAGGAACCACGAACTTTACACAATTTTAACTTTCTGGACATCATAGTTTGAACTCTACGTTGAAAATACAGTTAGGGAAAAAACACTTTCAGCTTTTCCTGATTTTTCCAATATTCCGGTTGACTTATCAAACTGTTCTCTTTGTAAATCCCTTATTTGGATTCGGACTATATCAAACATTACAAATAAAAAAATGAGACTCATCGGTTTAGCATTACCACTATCAAAATGATACAATTACCAATGAACTGCAAATTTTTTTTTATAGATTTTGATTGTTAGCTTCCTATTTACATTCGTTTATATTTTGTTACTTCAATATTGATTTAGATTTCATAAAAAATATCTATCACATTGCCTTCAGAAATGTATAGTTTGCTTGAATTTGTTTTGCTATTAATCATGTATACGAGATCCTTTCAACGTGCAGATTTTTAAGTGTGGTCATCAATCATCACCATGAACTTTATTAGTAAACTTTATATGGTTTATGTTGATTTCCATACTTTATAAGAATGGTACATAATAATTAAAGTAATTGGATTTTATTGGCTTTTTGCACTCTGTTCTACATTGTATCTACATTCATCTAGTAGAATAATATATTATCATCTTAAAATGTAGAGCTATAACAATTCATTGTCTAATGTAAATGCAAAAACATTCAATCAGTATATATTTAAATCAGTTTATTTTAATTATTTATTTCATACAACATACAATATTTACATTTTTATAAATATTATATATTTTAGAGGAACTTTTCCCCCATAAAAAACGGTTGAATAATTGGATGTGTAAATTTACAAAACTGAGTAAGTTCAAATAACATAAATATTGTACTCAATTACTCAGATACTAAACGGCTTTAAATTTAGTTTATCTAAATGTGCAATGTATCGAACTTTAAACATAAAAGAATAAAAGGATAAGATGAGTCACTGGCTGATCTATCAACGCACAACCCAAACTGCCAGTGGCAGGACCGCATCGGTATAGAATTTGGCATGCAGATAACGATTGTGACTTAGGCATCCATTAAGAAATGATTTTTGGAAATTCAACCCCTAAAAGGGAAAATAAGATAATATTAGGATTTAACAGAGGCGCTATCTGCCCAGGAAAATATTATAAAATTCCATAGTTTTGCCGCGCTTACTTCATTTTTCTCTAAACGACCAAACGTATGAATTTGAAATTTGAAATTATGGTTCCCCTAATAATCTAGATTTGCTTAAAACAGTATTTTCCAAAGAGGGCGATATCACCCCCTTCGGGGTGCTAGAGCCAGAGATGGGGATGTGGTGAGCGCTGTGCATGACACTGCGATCTATAGCACTTTAACTATTTAACGACGAAGCACGTAGTCGTCAGTCTTGAGGTGTGTGTTGAGAAAGATAGGTATTGAAATTAATTAACGCTTAGATTTGTTTTGATAACAATAAAGTAAAACAATTTATTAACTATAATTTAAACATATAAATCATTAAGCACACTGTCGTAAGCGCGTTAAGCTATCGAGCAGTTATGTCTATCTTCATCGGCGTAACTAGGGGGGCTAAGTGGGGCTTAGCCCCTCTAAATGTGTATTTATCCCCCTAAAAATATATTGTACTTGTTTTATTATTTACATTTTGTTTTTAAATGAGTTTATACTTTCATTTTATTGTTAATTTTTAATTTTGATTTTAGAGGACAGTTACGCTTATAGCGGTGGAGGTGTGAGGCCCTCAAAGTTATTTTGAACATTAGTTTTCTAGGACTCTAGCCCCTGTAACTATTAAATCCTAGTTACACCTATGATCTTCTAAAGAATGGTAGGTGCTCTACCTGTACTTATGCGGGTTCTAACAATGACGTCTAGTGGCGTGATATTCTAGTATTCTTATTTTACCCCCCAATATTGCTGATTAGCATTATTATGCAAATCTGATCTATGTTTCCTGTTATTTAGGCTTTTACAAACATCGCATATTTATACCTACCTTATCGATCATAAATTATACCTCGTGTATAATTTATCATTATAAGTAATAATATATTCTAATAAGTGTTATGAAATAATAATGAATAATATATTACTCCTTTTGGGTTTACTACAACCCTCTAAGATGAAAGTCTCCGACTTTCAAACAACAAAATAAAATATTGATATCCTTTTTTTTTTACAATAATAGACCGTTAGCCTGGTCGCTGCTTCTCCATACGCTCACTCACACACCGACCGATCTGTGTATGTGTTTACTGTGTATACATGTATAAGCAATCCAATAGAAGTGAACGGGATTACCGAGCAAGACTATTGAACGCTTGTGTGCGGGGGATGTGTAAATGTGTGTACTTATATAAGAATAAATGTAAACACGAATTTACGATATTAAAACTGTATGATATAATACAAAAAATGCTTCAATAATAATGCTTCAAAATAATACACAATACATAAACTTCTTGCTCATTTGGCCCAACAGGTTACTACAATATTGGTCGTCTGACACAATAAATTGTTCAATATACAATAAACTAGCTGATCCCGTGCACTTCGTAGCCCGTTAAAAAACCTACCACTTAATCAAGCAGACTCAATCAAATAATAAAGAATAATAATGTATGACAACAAAATTTACAACATTTACAACATTTCTCTATAAACTACTTTTGATGTCTTTCCTGTTGGTGCTACAATAACTAAATTTGTGGGTATACTGACTCTAGAGCATGCCACATACAATTGTCCATGTGAAAAATAATCCTCTCTTACATCGAAGAGAGCATCTAAGTTTAACTCCTTTTTCGTCTTCGCCAACAAAATATATTTGTAAAAATTGTGGGTTTTCCTGAGTATTTGGAATCAAACTGCCGTACAAATGGTAGACTTGGCCTTGCACTTTAAATGTTGGCATACAACCTTCTTCAACAATCTGTTTAGCACCAAACGAAGTCATTTGAAAACAACTATTATATTTCCTAGTACGATTAATGAAGTGATCATGATCAGGATGGTCTCCCTCAAGTAAACTGCGTAATGGTTCTGGGGGCGGCTGTAAAGGATCGAGTTGTGTTTTACCCAGTGTTTGGAAAGAACGTCGTTCATGAACGCACGTTCATGCGTTCACGTTCATAAATAGTGAACGATACGTGAACGTCACTCGTATTTTTAAAATAGAACGTGAACGTGAACGCTTATATTTTTAATGAACTTGATCGATTATTAAGACGTTTAATTTATTTACCATTTAATAAATATATTTTAATCAATCATATTATAATAATATTTTCCATTGTAGTTCCTATGATATCGAATTTAAATTTAATTAGTAATTACTGAGAAAAAAAAATTAAATGAACGCCCAATAAACGCGTTCATTTTTTGAATGAACGTGAACGNGTAAACTGCGTAATGGTTCTGGGGGCGGCTGTAAAGGATCGAGTTGTGTTTTACCTATATTACAGCACATACCAGGAGTTTCGCCTTTCCACTTGAGAGCGTTACAAAAATTACATTTTTGGTTCATAGTAATACACAAATGCCAATGTTATTTTTATAATCAATTGTGGGATTATATGCTAGGCCAGATAATTTCTTAATTTTCCAATTGATTAAATTAATTTTAGGCGGAAACACTAAAGTTTCTTGGTGTTTGTTTGCTTTGTACTTTGTTTTAGCTTTCTTAACTTGGTTGATTCGAGTCTTATCCGTATATCTAGCACGGCGAAGCTTTTTACTTTTTACTTTAATATTTCCAGTTAGACGCAATCTTTTTACTGAGAATGTATCTACACCAAATTTTGCATAAAGATTATTATTATAATAAATTTGAAATAAATATGGGAAAATATTTCCAGCTGCAACCAATTCGCAATAACTACCGTAGGCAGTAGGATTGACCATTTCACGAACATAAGCCTCAGCAGTGGAAAAGTTGTCACCATTTGAATTGTAAGACATAGTATTAAAGTTATTCCAATTATCAGACACATAAGAAACAATTGTATTTCGGATCTCCTGACATCTTTCTTGAGTGTTAAACAAATGAAATGATATTAAACGGAAAAGGAAGGCACCATCACCGATAATTGGTACAACTATTTGAGGTGTCAACATTCCATTGACAAGAATAACTTCAATCGATGACATTTAAAAAAAAAAAAAACAATTAAATTGAATAAATATAATATTTTAAATAATTGTCCAACGTGTTCCGGGTAATATAAACAAAAAAAAACAAACATGCCAGATTAACCATAGATTATACTGTATTAGCCAGTACATCGAGCTGATGTATTAATTGCCATCGAAAAGTCTAAATTGTTATTATTATATCGATATAAATTATTTTTATTTTTATTTTTATTTCACTCATTTTAATACCAATATTGTGTATTTAAATTAAATATTTCTTGATAGATGGCGCCACTGTTGTATTCTTTCAACCCCACTTTTACCCCATTGTAGGTCGAATTTTGAAAAATCCTTTCTTAGTGCGCCCCTACATTGCTTAAGGAACCTCTATATAAAATTTCAAGTCTTTAGACCCAGCGGTTTGGTCTGGGCGTTGATTCTTGGTAAAGTACACTTTCCTGTGTATATATAGATAATTATATTGCATATAATAATATTTACGCTTGCGACAGTAAAATAATATTATGATATGACGGCGATTTGCGCAAGAGTGCACCACAATTATTCCGTATTAGCTATTGCTATACGGAACGGACTAAAAGAAAAAGACATGACCGGTATTCCGTCATCGCGGCATAATCTACATATTATATAATAATTCACAAGAAAACATAATAGAATACAAAAATAAAAACAATATAATTCACGGATATGTCTGCGTTTGAGTGTTGGGCAGGTGATGATGCATTAATAATAATGTTGTTTTTCGGGTGGCAACTATTTTAACATCCAACGCTCTTAAAAATAATTACGTCCAATTATTTTAATATTTCCAATTTTACATAGTTCTTGATGAATCTTTTTTTTTCATTTTCAAGTTTTTTTAATCTTTAATAGGTATCTGATAGAAAAACAATTATTAAACCCAAAATCAAAAATGGCTAAAAAGAGCTTAAAATTATTACTAACTCTGATTAATATTTCGATTGGTCAATTCCATGTGAACAATTATAATTGAAGAAACAGCAGGGTATTCCAAGTTTCTACAATAAATATTTTTTGATTAACATCAAAATAGTAAAATGTGCGCTCCTCCGTATGGTTGTTATCGTCACATTTGACGCTTCGAGAATCTGATGGCAATGATTGTAAGTGTGAAGGGAGCATTGTCAATATTATGACATTGTGATGGATCACGACTCACGACTCTTTTAATGTTTGATTTTTGTAAATGAATTATTCCCCTGCTCCCTTCGTTTTACCTAGTTAAACCAAAGCTCACAGCTAAAACCATTTGAGCTGTTGATTTGGGCTAAAACGATGTTGATTGTAGAAGAGTTTCATGTATTTTCGATGTATAGATATATATATATATGTGTAGGGCCGAAAGCTCCACTTCGTGATCTGTGGTAGAGTATGGAAGCATGAATTTGGTAAGGAGCATGACAATTTCATTATCACTGCAGGTATAGTCGGAGGCAAATAATATAGCAAAACGGATGGGAGAGATACAAACTTTAGTTTTTTGTTATTTTCATTGGATGAAGTTGACTAGGTTGTAAAACGATGTCAGTTTTCTGACCATTGTTTTTCATAATGACATTATTAATTGACAATTAAAATTACCCGTGATTAACACACGTTCATGTTGAAAGTAACAAGTCGAACTTATTTACAATTATTATAACATTGATATTTGATTATAAACCATACAGTTATCACTTTTTATGGGTACTGTTTTCAAATGTTTGTTTATCTTATTTTTATAGTATTAACATAAATACAGTTATAAAATTAAAATTAAAAGATTCATTACCCACAGCTTACCAATACAGTAAGCATACTTATTTTAATTAATTTAATACTGTTTTAAAACACTAACAATATTTATTTGTCTTGAAACTGTTTGAAGTTAAAAAAATATTATAAATCTTAAACACATTATTTATTTATTCTTAAAGAAGTGTCTAGTCTTAAAGTTTATAATTTTTAGTTTACCCACATTCAGAGGAGACTCTAGATTCTTATAAACTAAAATTACAGGCCATAAGTAAGTTCAAATAATACTACCTAATACTTGATTTACTTCATTACTTATTTTTAAAAACGTTTATTTACGATTAAAGATACATATTTTTTTTTTAATATATTTATTATGTGCATTTTTTAATATTTTAAAATAAGTGTATATTACTTGTTGCACTGCATCACTCCTACTTTTAGATACCTGATTTACCATATATTGAGGAAGTTTGAGGTTACCCAATAGAATAATGACCCACAGGTATATAATGCGCATACTAGGTATAATAAAAAATAGTTTTTACTTTTAATTTAGTTAAATTTTTTTGCTAAAATTATTATTTATTTATTTATTTTTGAAACAATTGAAGTTTTCCAATTTGTAGAATTTATTTTTCTAAATATTTTGAAGTTTCAGCATTTCATTATTTTTGTTCATTTTTTTAGTTTATATGAATACTCGTAAGACAGCGAAAATCAGGTTTTTGTCTTAGGTTCGTTTCGCAAGCACTGCCACTTCCGAATCTTAAAATCTAACCTTGACAGTTGGAGTGCATTGGAATTATTGTACTTTTAATGTGAGCTAAGCAAAAAAAGAAACAAAGAGGTTTTATGTCTCACTGACGAATTATTGAACTTAAGCCCGGCGACTAAGGCCATTAGCTGTTGTAGGGGTTATAAACTGTGGTAGGGGTAAGGTTGGTTCGGAAGGTTGTTTTTTACGATCGTTACGGTTGTTACGGTAGGTAGCAAACACGTGTATGTGTAGGCGTGTAGCAAGGTTTTTTAACTACTATGAACCCGAGTGGTCACCCATCCGGGAGCTAGTAGCTGTGGCTACTTACTTACTCCCAGGCAGCAGCCAACGAGGGTAGTGGCGTGCGTTATCTTCGCTACTGTGTATGTGAACAACAGTACTTAGTACTTATTTTTGTACAATTTTGTACAACCTATGTAGAATTATGTACAAACCCCTCCTCCCCTCCAAAACACGAGAAAACGTGATTTTTCCATGCGCTTGTCGGAGAACCGTCCTGGTGGCGGGTCTACCTCTACGGCTAATGGGTTTATCTTCACAGGATACCCAGTATATTAAAATATAAAGTGTATACAAAATCGGAAACTACTTAAAAATCCCGAACACTTATAAAACAATTTAACTTTATATTCCAATAATAATTACAGTAAAAAGTATAAGTAAGTGCATATTTTAAACTAATTACAACCGTCAACATCAACCATCAACAAACATCGCACAGGAACATTCAAGAAGTATATAATCTACCTCAAAGTCATAAACTATATTTTAATCTCAATAAATTATATTAAATGTTGTAATCATGTTCATTATTTATTTTTTTTTTTTTTGAAACTCATGCAGAAAACCTTGGTCAGTATTTTTTTTTACCCTCAATAAAAATAATCGAACAATGATTATTGTATTTTATACCATATTAATAAAAATTTAGAAAAAAATATTTTTAATTATAACAATTCTTACCTGTTCTTATAGACAAACACTCTAGAGACAATGTTACGAAGGAAAATATATACACAATTTTAGAAAATACTTATAACAACGGTATAATATATTATAGAACACTGTATTCATTATATGCGTCATTTTATATACGTAGTTGTTTATGAAAGGTATAAACTGAAACAAATAAATAATTGGTTGATACTTACAGTTAAAGTGATTCGTAATCAAGGGAAATACAATAAATTATAAATATTAACTTTAATTTAAAAAAATGAAAACGCGTATTGATTTTATTAATTTTAATTACCTATATAGTTTATAATAAGTTTATTAGGTGATATCGTGTAATACATTTTTAATTAATTTTGATGTATAGTATTTACAAGTACATAACATATATATTTATGTTCCTATAATAGTATAATGTAAAATAAAATAGTATAAATAATTTTGTTTCAGTGAACGAAAAATATTTGAAAATGATGAAAAAATGTAAGACCTTTAATATATTATTTTTTTCTTATTCAATAGGTTCTTACTGAAAATCAATATATAAATAATAAATGTTTTAATTCTTCTAAACGAATAAATTAAGTAAACTCTTCAAACTCTTCTTTACCGATGGATACTTGTAATTCATTTTGTGAAATGCACTCAAAGTTTGTACAACTTGATAAGTTAAAAACAAAATATACGCAATTTTCCAATTTCATTTCTGAATTTTCTAATTTCATGTATTTACCCAAAAGTAATCATAATAATTAAAGTGAAAAAGTTTTTTATGAAGATAATATGTCAGATGTTAGTCAAATAACCCAAACGGGTGATTCAGATTTTAAAGACACTTCTATATACACTCAAGCTGTATACCAGGATAAGCGACCAAATTTGCACACTATAAATAAGAGAACATTTACTGTGCAACATAGTTCTGATTTTTTTGATATCACAAATACGTGGAAAGTTCTCATTGTTTAAAAATTCATTATTTCAAACCTTAATAGCTTTTTTTCATTCGTGATAGCAAAAAATAAAAACGATGTTGCGCGGTAAATGTTCCCCTCTTGATAGTATAAAAATGTGGTTTCTTGTTTGGACTACAGCTTGAGTGGTTCTCTTTCACGCAAAGCAGTTATTGCAATGTTGTACGTTTGTAAAAAAATGGAGACAACATATGCGGGTGTTGCGTCCTTTTGAGGGGGTCCTAGTAATAAATCTTACAATTCAAGAATAAAAAATATCGTTGACTAATAAAACCGCACACTTGTGATAAGATACATGTCCAAACAACAAGCTATTGGTGGGTAGGTTAAAACAACACATTTAATACTTTAATAGGTTAAAACGCACAAGTTTTGAAATTGCTGTATCCACAAACCGCACACTTGTGATGTCGACCACAATAAGGTCGATAGACAAAAACCGCATTCTTTATAATAGTATAATAAAAATAAATAGAAAATAATAGCATTTTAAAATTCTATAATTTTTTATTTATTATTTATTCAAACGAAAAAATGTATATTAGTTTATAATTTAAAAATGATTAGTGAAACATTTTTAGTTTGGGTCATCGTAATCATACTTTATAATGTATGTCTATCGTCTATGTATACAAGACCAACTAATAACGACTGGTGCCTAAACACTTGAAACGTGTTAGCAAGATTATAGCGTAGTATATTTTTATATTATCTTACCTTATCCGGTATCCCTTATTTAACACTAAAAGTAGTGTGTGGTTTTAACCCACTATATACGTTTTGCAGTGTTTTGCTACCAGTGGTCGCAGTCGGGATAGTCGAGTTGCACTTATTACCTACAAATGAATGGTCGAATTACACTTGGATTGAAAAAAGGTAATGGTCGAACTGCACTCAGGTAAAAAGCAGGTAGTGGTCGAACTGCACTCGTTCAAAAAAAAAAAAATTAAAATGAAAAACCAGTTAAAAATATTGTGCATCGGAAAGAACGCTACGGTGTACTTATTTAATAGCATTATATTATATTAGTTCGTGCCATTTAGATAACGCATGTAAGATTAATACTTTTATTGTACACCGTATGGCGTGTATTATGTGTCTATGTAGATCTATACAAAATACAATCATTACACACTTTTACGTCGCTTTGTAAATATGAACAGCTTAAAAATTATTAAAAGTGAACGAGGTCGTGACTTAATCGTGTATCAAAATTAAACATTTTAGAAAGAAAAATATGCAAATGATGGTGTTAAATGGTGTGGTACCTATCGTGGTTGTCTTTCAAAACTATATCTAGATGAATTTTCTAAAGTAATTTTTCGGTCTGAATTGATACATATTCATGAAGAACCACTAAATTTAACTCGGAGAATGATTTCAAATTCAGCAAAGAAAAAAGCCCTTCAAATGTATGATAATTTTATTAAAATATTTTTTTGAGCCCAAGTGCAGTTCGACCACTACCTGTTTTTTACCCGAGTGCAGTTCGGCCATTACCTTTTTTAAACCTAAGTGCAATTCGACTAAAATAAGTGCAATTCGACCATACTCGTCGCAGTGTGGGAAGATACAAAGGGATGGCATCCTTTCACTTTTTAAATTCACAATTTTCACTTCTTTTGTACGAAGGGGATGTATGAGAACTATATACATTTTGAAAGGCATCACTCCACTTATTTTGGGCCACTTCGACCACTTTTTGCCACACAATAAGCGATAAAGTGTGCGGTATTTGTCGATTGACCTTTTTATGATCGAAATCAAAAGCATGTTGTTTTTGGATGCTACCAAAAATATTTAATTTATATATTAGTATATAAGTATATTACAATCACAATATATACAAGTATATCTCGAATCAGAAAGTAAAAATTGTTTCCACAAAAGCGCGTTCTGTTAATCTGTATTCCCAATATTTCAAAAAATAAAAAGCTGATTCACTATCACCCTCGCACATCTGTGAATGATAATTATTATTTTATGTATAAATATTTATTTACTATTTTGTAATCAAAAAATATATAATACCTAATTTAAAAATTAAATTTTATCAAGCTTAGATATTAAATTATTTATCTTGATTAACGGCTCATATAACATAATTATTTCCCATTTATCCGGATAAGATAAGAGATAAAAAATAAAGATAAAACACAACACCGCAAAATTGGTGTCGCGTGATTGTTTCCAGATGAAAACTGGCCACCGACAACCTATGTTTTTTAACTTGAACAGAGTACCTATTTATAGATCAAATACGGCAGTACTTATAATGATTAATGAATATTAAATATTAATGTCAACACGACAGTCTCTAATAATATATACATTGATAAGGCAATTATTAAATGACATTCGTTTTTGTATATTTTATTGACTCCCGTGTATCTATTAAATAAATAAATCATTTATTTTTATTATAATTATAATTATCAGGTCGGGCTCTTAGAGAAGAAACTATGTATGAAAGATACGTAATGAGACTAATATTTAACGGTAAAATATTTGAATTAAACGATTACTTCAATGGTAGCATTGAGGGTGCCCATATGGGTGGGCAAGAAAGGAACATGTCCCCCCCCCCCTGAAAAATGTCAAAAATTTTGGAAAATTGTTTACTGTGATCAGAATCTATTTATTTATTTAGATACAAATTAAAAAATTAATTTAATATATGAAAATCTATAATTTGTTAGTGAAAAATCAGTTCATTCATTAGTTTGGCAAATCAGGTCATCGGCTGTAAATAATAACTGTCTTTTTCGTTTCTATCCTATGGATAATCATCAAATTTTAAAATATTGTGTATGCCACAAATACGCTTTGTATATGTGTGTGTGTGTGTGTACACCACCATAATATTTTATTTATGATCATAGATTTATATATACTTATAATTAAGTACATATATAATATTTAATACAGAAATACGGAAACGGAATGGGTATTTTTACACATGCACATTGCCCGGCTGTCGGTCCCACTACCCAGTAGTGCTATTGTAAAATAATACTCGTATTATGTTAGGTTATGTTAATTGTAATTTATAATATTAATTTTATAACTACTAGAGAGTAGAGATTAGAGTTGAAAATAGAAAATTGAAAACTATGAAGAAAAAAAATAGATTTATAAATTAAAATAGATTGATGAATTAAAATGTTGTCCCCCCCCCCCTTGAGAATTTTCCTATGGGCGCCCTTAGGCCACTAGTCACTAGTATATTATATTTATGTAAATAAGACTACAAAGATATAATCCAATTTATTTCACAATTGTTCGTTGTTTTGATAGTTACATCAAAGATTAAAGATTTTTACGTTATATATAATATATATGTATGTACCTGTGTATATATTATAATATTAGATATGAATATAAAAATTAAATCAAGATTCAGAATAAAAAATGTAAGGCAAATCGAATCTTAAATCAATCCTAAGGAATAGTTTTGAAAATATCGGAAAACTTAACAATATCGTGTAAATATTAAATTAAATCGGAACTGTAAGTATTTTTTTTCTTTAAGTTAATAGGATTATAGTTGTTATAACTTAGAGTACCTATATAAGTGCGTAAAAATTAGAAATTTAGATATTTTGTATGTGATTATTGTGATTTTAATTCAATTAGTTTTATTAATTATGCTAAAAAAATGTTAAAATCCTAAACATTCCAATGACTAAATTCTTAAGTATTTAATCATTCATAATTCAATACCATTTACCTACTTAACTAACTAATGATAATTTTTAGACTGCAGGCCATTAGCCTTAAACGAGTGGAAAGAAGAACTAGAAGCTGCAAAAAGTTAGATTTTAAAATGTTAAAATGATATTATTTTACGAATTACCAACATTTAATAACAGTTATAATATTTTACAATTTACATGTATTCAAGCAATTTGTACCCCGGCTATAACTGTTATTAATGAAATTCAACGTAGGCAGGACTTCCAGTGGTGCGAGCCTATACAAATATGTATTTTGCATAATATTAGCTTAGAATTATATAGTAATTATTCAATACCTAAAATGTCTTTTCACATTCATTTTTTTCATTAGTACCTTTAACCTGCTAAGTAAAGTTTGTACTCCCCGAACATAGATTTTCAGTTAATTTTCTGAGCGAAACGGAGACATTACTGCAATACTGCAATATTAACTTCCAATTTCTATTACATATTTTTCGTATCGATACATGACATATATTGTATTCACATTTCCTGTATGTAAACATAAACAATAAACCAATACATCCATAATTATAACATTTATCTTCATTCTTCGTGTGATATGTAAATATTTGTTTAATCGAAGGATCAGTTTGTACATTATGCCCACATATGTCTGAATCCACTAGAAAATATTACCTCTTTGGGTACTTAGTACTTACATTAAAACCTATTTAATCCATCTATAAGAGAGAACAAAATAAACAGTTTAAAAATAATTTAGTCAATTCAGGTCCAACAAGTTAACACTATTTATTAAAATATTTCAGAAAATAATGCTGTCGCAGCTCAAGAAGAGGTAATACACTGGGGGAAGTAAACACCATCTTTGTTGATAATAAGGAAAATTATCAATGGTATTTTTTTTATAATTGAATAAATTAAAAATTTGATTTTGTTATTACAATCATTTAACATATTTGTCATATAACAATTGCGCTTGTAATAAAATTTAATAAATCTAATAAAACATGAAATATTTTCGAAAGCTGTTTCCAAAATAATTCGTAATTATATTTTTAACTTAATTAATATCAAAATTACTTCCACGTTTAAATATTTAAGAAAAAAAACTCTATGTATAAATACAAAACATTTGAGACAATGAGAAATGTTAATTATCTATAACCTCACACTCCCCAATACAATAATTGCTATACATTACATTTTAGCCCTAAATAAAAAAAAGTTTTAAATTTAAAGTATGAAATAATATATATCATATTTAATATATTTATGTGGGTATTTGTATTTAAAATTTTAAAATTACAATATAAATACACATTATTAGTAGTTTGTTGTGTTTATTGTCCTTTCTTTATTTGTCGTTTGTTTATTGTGTAAAACTGTAATAACTGATAAGTATAAGAAAAATAAAAGTATTATATTGACATGTTATATATTCTGTTCAAAATGAAATCATTTTCCCACTCGCACCCATTTCAATTTTTCATTTATCGTCAACTCCAATATTTATTACTCCATTCCTGACGATTCCGGCCACCACTCCCTGAATTCCTTCTCAACCCCGTCCCCGACAGAAAGCTTGCAAATCGAGTCTCGCTGATAGAAAGTTAATGTGTAATTTTAAAACCGTAAAAAACTCACAAAAATTGTAAATTTCAAAAAAATGATAAAATATTGTAGCAATAAAGTTAACAGTTATAAACGTAGAAAAACTAGAAAAATGTAAAACAAAACAATTCCGAGAGACTAAAAAACCGCATAAGCAGAAACCGTTAATAAACGTTTGAACTGTAAGCATAACGATTGGAATATATAGATATTTTTTTTAGGGGGAAGTCACGACAACATAGGCCATTATTGGGACGTTGTATGGTATACCAAGTAGGAAGTTTTTTTGTACATATTTTTAGTAGGTTTTTTATGTTGATAGTGTTGTAACACGGGTCTGTATTGCTAAAAAACCCGGTGGTCACCCATCCGAGAGCTGCCAACGCTGGGCGTACCACCTTACGTACCGTACACTTAAGAGTTTCTGCAGATAGAGCGTACGACCGTACCTCACCAAGCCCCGAATAAAAATTTTGTATTTACAGTGATGATGGATTTTTTTTTTATATTTGGGGTAGTAAAAATACTGTGATTTTCGACATCAATATCTTTTCTGATAGAAATATAAAATTAAAAATAAAATAAACATACTTTTGAGGTTAAATTTGAAAATTTTCAGTCATTTTAGACATTTTAGAAAACGCTGTGAGAAACAAAAAAAAAATTTTAATTTTTAAGCTAGACCAATTTTTGAACAAATCGATTTTATTTTTTTGGTATAACTCAAAAACTAATAAGTAATAGCCGTATTGAAATGTCCAAAAAAAATTTTATACTTACTGTTACACATAACTATTTGGACTCTTTTTGAGCTATTTAAATCCTTGAGACATTTTTTAAATTTTGTAATTTTTTTTGAAATTTGTTTAAAAAAAATTATACTAAGGACTATAGTATAAAAGCTTGACAGTGTAATGTAAGGTTCCTCTTAAGTTTCTCTAATGGAAGTTCAAATATTTAAGAATTGTTATAAGGAGGAGATGAGCCATTGAATGTCACACATAAAACTACATAACTTTTTACAGAACTGACTGCATGACTTAAGATTTTAAAATTATCAATATAATATCTAGTAGGTGGTTAATAGTTATTATTTTTATTTTTATTAAAATAGACCTATTTATTATTTTTTTCCAACAAATGCTGTGCTAGCACTTTGTCATATACTAACTAAAAATAAACTAACTGACAATATTATTACTATGACTAGGGCCCGGATTTGAATGCAAAATGCATTATTTTATGGGAAGTCCCAAAATTTCTTAATAAATAATAAAATATAACATATTTTTATAAGTATTTAAAGTTTAAATTCTACACAATTTCTACACTATTTTCTAGTTAAAAATTATAAAATGTTCAATTTTTATACGCTTTATACCTAAGGATTGAAAATTTAAAACAAGGATATTCAAGAATACCTAGTTCATACTGTAACCAATAAATCTAAAAAGTATGTATACTGAGATATTTTTTTACAGACATTTTAAGTTCAAAATTACATAATAAAATCAAGAATAACAGTTTTAGTTATTTCGATGTACCTAAATTAAAAATATTATTTGTGGGTACATGAAACTATTACAGTACACCTAATATTATTTTATTTTATACACACGATGACATTTTTAAATGTTTTTTTTTTTTTTGGCAAAAATGAATTTAACCTACAGTAGGTAGTACTAATGCCTAATGCCTTAAATTCTAAAAGTAAGATAAACTACTTTAATCGTCATATTATCATAAAATATATCGACTTAGTAATATAATATGTCGACAGGCCCAGTCTTCGTTCAAAATCATCTTTTGTGTACAATGATTCCAAATCTAACATATCTGTTACACGGTGACTTTCTAGACATCTAAGATACAGCAGAGCATGACCCACTTAGCCGCTTTTCGTTTCTTAGCTTCACGACACGGTCGTGACACTAAATATTATATAGGTAGGTATTTTAGATTCTGAGTGGGGCGATGAATGTATACTAGTTTTACAGTACTATTTTGATGTAAGTCACATGCCTTGCATCTTCTTTTTGAGCAGTAAAAATGATTTGGTAGTTCTTTGGGTTTTACAGCTATCAAATTTGTACATTATTTTTGTCAGAGTGGATACTTCTTGACTTGGGTGATTAAATCTTAGATTATTTGAATAGAAACTTTTAACTACATGTATTGCTTGTAAAATTTACCTGATTGTACACGTGATGTCATATTATTAATTAGTGATTACCCAACTAAAACATTTTTTTGATCGTGAAGTTTGAGTTACATTTTGAGAACTTTTCAAGTCAAAAAAAGTAATTATGAAGGGAAACAGTTACTGAGGTGACATCACGATACTCCTAGTTATTAAAAATTGGAATTCTGAACCACTTGGTAAGTAACAATAAAAGTTAATATTCTTTAATTTTGTTACAAAAATTTACAAAATTTTGTTACATATTGAAAAAGTTTTATACAAAAACTCCGAATAAAGGTGCTGGCGTGACATATCAACAAATGCAGCAGTATCACACATTGTTTCTAAGTATCAAATAAATACTTCTGAAATAACAATCAATAAATATCAGGATATAAAGTATTTTACTAGTTTTATTAATCATCATAATAATATTATGTTAAATCGAAATTAAATCACAACCTTAAATACATTTGAAGTAAAGAAAAAAAATTAAATAATTATGTAAATAAAAACAGCAAATTAAAATTGTTTCAAAAGACTGTCCTGAGAGTTTGGAGTGTTTCCAGTACAAAATATTATTTTATGGCACAACACAGCGTAAAAAAAAAGAAAAACAAAATTTAATTTAAAAAAATTATGTACACATTTTTGTTAAATAAATGCATTACATTAAAATGTCAAGCTAACACGTAAACAACTCTAAACACTAAAAAAATTGCACACGGGACCTGTGATTTTATTTTAAAGATGATATTAATCATCAAGTTACCTTATAATTTCTAACATTTTTTCTATTTGTTTTGAGCAATGGAAAGACAGAAAAAAATTATATTAAGAATATGGTAACGTTTTTTTCTTTTTTTCATTAAGTGCTGTTTATTTAGTTATCATGTAAAATATAAATATACATAAATATATACATTATTATATATTTATATATAAATATATGGAAAAAATTTGTGAATTTAAATTTTTTTTGATATTATTTTCAAAACATGTACATATTAAGTCTAATAAAAAAAAAACAAATACAAATTAACAAATACAATTTTTTAAGATTATTTTTAACCCTATTTACAAAATTATTTTTGATGTCGAGTTTCAAAAGTTTCTAAAAATAGTCATAAACAATAAAGACAGTACATTCTATTACCATTACAATTAAAGCTTAAGTGTTACGTGGAAATAATTTATACACAAAACAACCTTAACTAATGCACAATAATTGTCTAGAATGATAAAAAAAATGATAATTTATATGAAAAAAATATATGTAAAATAAATATATTGCACAATTTATAAAAAGTACACACGCTAATATTAATTACATTTAATAAATTAAATCAATATCTATATTATATATATAATTATATTTTATATAAGAATTAATAATTAAATTACGAAAAAAAAAATACAAATTAAATCCTAGTTTTGTTAATTTATTAACAGACTTAATAGAGTAATACCATAAGTTAGTTTTAAGCCTAATGGTAGGTAATGTTCAGGGTAATCTGATTTGAGTAAGGATAAAAAAAAATTACCTATAAAGAATGAGGTCAGCCAGCCAATTTTTCTGTTTAAATTTGAATGGCTTATTTATAACTTGAAATGATAAATCACATTATTTTACAGTCAAAAATGTTTATCCAACATAATACACAATAAATTAGTAATAATAAATTGGACAATATATTAGGTTTTACGTTTTATTTAGTTTTAAAACGAAAAATATTTTTGTTAAGTAGAAGAACAAAAGGAATGAATAAATTTATACTTAAGGTTACATAATAAACCATACAATAGGTTTGTTAATTGGTTTATATAACATCAAGTATTATTTACTAGAAATTAAAAATCCTAATATGATACATACACTTCCTTTTACTTAATATGAAGTTTTTAAAATGTCTTCTTTACTGTCTTCTATTAATTTACCATTAAAGTGTGTGATTCAATAGGTGCTGCAGAGTCATACAATGTATCTGTGTCCTGTGTTGGTTCGCCTTGTAACTGACATTGGTTATTTAAAGTGCCGGCTCCACAATCACAAAAGAATCTATAATACAGAAGTTTTGTAGTAAATTAATTATATTATTATAGTTTTGTCTCAAAAGATTATACAATATAAAAGTACATTGTTTTTATTAAAAAAATTTCTAACCCTTATTTCTAATTGGAAAATATTAATAACTAAATAAAATATATTCATATTATGTAAACTTGGCATACCTGTCATGCCTTATGAATTCAACATCATGTCCAGCATGGCATGTTTTTATACAATTTACACAAATTGCATTTCTATCAGTCGTGTTGCATGTCTGACAACGGTAAAAATCATGCATAGGAAATGAAGTGTATGAGGATATTTTATACAAACATTGACCATTGGCAACAGCTTTTTCTACAGCATCTTGATTACTAAAAATTTTATTGCCTAAAAAATATTCGATTAGTATAAATTCTTTAAAACACAAATTATAACTCATAAATAAACTACTTACATCTAACAATAGGTTGTACACCGCTGGCTAAGCAAAGCCCACCAAAACGGTTATTAAATATTTGATTACTATCTAAGGTAGCTGTTGCATTGTTAGTAATTTCAACACCAGCAGCTAAACCATCAAAAATTCTATTGCGCCTCAATGTAGGATGGCTTTGAGTTGAAATTAAAACACCAGCTTGAGCGTTTCTAAATATTTCATTTTCTTCTAAATTACCTAAAACCATATTTTAACTTATTAATGGAGGTTCACGTTCATGAAAAATAAAAAAAATAAAAAAATGGAATTAAATACTATTTTAGTTTGTGTACAATTGTATACAAAAAATTTAATTTGATTTAATATTTCAATTTTAAATCTTATTTTTTTTTTTAGGTAATTACTTATTAAATAATATTATGGAATATTAGTATTAGGTAGTACAATAATTTAGTACTACTATTGTTGGATCAAGGTGCTTTAATTCACAAACTTATAGAAGAATGACTGGAAACTAAGAAGATAGTGGGAGAGTGGTTAACATGGAAGTCAGTGAAATCATAATTGAGCAACAATATCAAACTCAAGTTTAACATTAATGCAATGTTGTCAACCTTGAACTAATATATCACTATTGTACTCTTGGCATTTAAAATAAAAATTAACCAAGTGGTAAAAATATAATATGTAAAACTTCATGAAAAACATTGTAACAGAGGTTATAAAGATTATATAGAATTAAATCAGCTATAGTCGCATAGTCCAGATAGTCTAGAGGGGGAGGCAAATGTCAGTGTCTTAAGGTGCCACAAATGTTAAGGGCACCAAAGAATGACAAGTGATTAAAAATATATATTTAATTGTCCTGGGGTACCAATGACAGTTAACACATCATTGATACTGTTAATGATTCAGTTCTAGGCCATACCTACAAATAAATGCTGACCCTCAGTATTCATTATTTTATCTGTGATTAAAATTTAAAAAACTGTGTAAATATTTTTAAGTATGAAAATATATAATAATTTAATACAAATAAAATAAGCAAATATATAGGCTAGCACAATTTACATCAATATAAAATAACAAATATCTTACCTTTCCCACCATTGAATATACAAATTCCACCATCTCTACCATCATAGATCTTATTTCGTTTAAGTGTTGGGTTTGAGTCAGTTTTTATCCAAACACCAGCCATTGCATTATCAAATATTTCATTTTGTTCCAAAACTCCTAATCCACCATTATACACTAAAACTCCACCATTTTGACCTCCCCAGATTTTATTACCTTTAATTATTGGATTACTACCAGTTCTAAAAAAAAAAATACAATTTTACTATTAAACACAATTAACAAATGGACCAGGACAACACATTAAGTTAGAAGGATATACATTTAGAAAAGTATCACAATTTAAATATCTGAGATCAATTGTTACTCGAATTAATGAAGTCAAGACAAAGGTGTCGTCAAGCATACCTAATAAGGGATACTTATAAGTAGAGCGCGGATATTTAGGTTTTTACATATTTTTATTGGCTTTATGCAGCTCTACGAGGATGAGAAATGTGGACAATTTATCCATCAAAGAGTGGGTAGGAAAAAATTTATTTTGCATATTAAAGCATATTTTGGACATTAGAGAATATTTGGCCTATTTTACATATTTTAGAATATATTCTATTATTGTTTCTAAAACATCATGTAAATTATTAATTTATCGATTTGTGATTTTTTCTAGCAACAATATTTTCTAGGAAAAAATAAATAATTTGATATAAGAACGATAAAAATAAAAAATAATTCAGTTATCATCTTGTTTGTAATCAAATTGGTAACTTTGATTATTCTGTTCCTCTCAGTCCGTGATTGTACCCATAGAATATTGTATTTGATAACTGATAACGTGATAGGAACTGTTTTTACTTTTAAATTGTTTAACATCTTACGATTTATTTTAATTAGTTGTACATAATATTAATTTTTATTTTATTAAAATGCCAAAAATGAAACATTTAAATAAACAGTGGATAGAGCCGTATAATAAAACAAACGATACAGTATTTACGACTGATGGCGATATAGTTTATTGTCAAGTATGCAAAAAGAAGATTACTTGCAACAAAAAATCGCAACTAAAAATATTTTGTTTTTTTATATATATATATCATTATATATTTATATACCTATGTATGAATTGTTTTAAATTTTTTATATTTAAATAATTTACATGTTACCCAAAGGAATGATAGTGTATACTGTATAACTATAAAGTTATATATTGATTTTATTGAATTATTTTGAAAAAAAAAATCATATTATTAGCATATTTAAAAGTGTAAAGCATATTTAGAGAATATTTTAGGGTTTTTTTAGAGCATATTAACATCATATTTTAAGCTTTTAAGAACCTAAAACTCCGCGCTCTACTTATAAGGATTATAAAAAATATAAATATTATTTTTCTAACTTTAAAGGCTTATAAAAAAATATTATGAAAATGTATTTTTGATATTTTTTAATCAACATAAGTATGAACAAATTATGAGAAACTTTGTATTCAATTTTCGAGGTTTTTGACAGATTGAAACATTTTTTATCGACATTTGTAGAAAAAAATTATAACCTGTGTGTAACAAAAATATCTGATAAATGAAAAATGGAGACAAGTGAAAAGTATGAAAATAGTTAGGCAAAATATTTCTAATTTCCTTATTTGTATTTTTTGTTTTTCCGGTTATTTTATAAATTACTAAGGTATTTTATTTTTGACCCCTTAAAGTATCAACTAGACACAACAATAGCCATAACTGGTAACTTATTTACTTTAATTACATATACCTATGTTAATATTAATGATTTCTTTAATACTTTAAAATTTTAAATATTAACTTAAACATTGAAAATTTAAATTGACTCTGCTCAAATTCATAACCATATTAATTGATTGACAATAAATATCATATTGACATCAGCCTAAGAAGATACATCAGTGACAATGTTTAAGTGAGTTATTTTTACTATATTTTAAGAAAAATTAACAATGTTTCAATACAATTTAAAAGTGGTGACTCGGTGGTGACCTATTTTTATCTTTTAAGAATGAGATTCAGATTTTTTTGTTTAATATATTTACACCAAAAAAATATTACTCACCTTATTTGAACCCCAGAATATAAGTGATTAAAAATGTCATTGTCTTCGAGTTTTCCATGTCCATTATCATAGAAATACACACCCACTTGTTTACCAGAATGTATTCTGTTGCGGCGTAAAACTGGAGTACTACCAGTAGTAATCCAAACACCAGCTAATGTGTTCGCATATACTTCATTTTCTTCAACAAGCCCTGCACCTTTTTCGTGTACATATATTCCGCCATGTTGACCATGATGAATTTTGTTATGCCGAACAATTGGGTCACTGTTAGTACGAATTTGAATACCAGCTAATGCATTTCCTGATAAAATATTTATTAATATACTAATGTGTATATGATATTTATGAATATTTTAATACTAACCATATATATTGTTATGTTCAATAAGTCCTCTGCCTTCACCAAATATATATACTCCTCCTTGATGTCCATTATATATATCATTACGCCGTATGGTAGGATTGCTGTTGGAAGTGATCCAAACACCGGCAAAATTATTACTATGAATTCTGTTATCAATAAACTGACCGAGACCATTTTCATGGACATAGATTCCACCTGTCTGACCATGATGAATCTCGCATTGTACAACAGATGGATTAGCTCCAGCCTTGACTTCAAAACCAGCAATGCGGTTATTGTGGATATCGTTGGCTTCAAAAAATCCCTAAACATAAAAAAGAAATTGTACAAAATCAGATTAAATTAAATAAAATAATCTATTTTTAAAATTGCTAATTACCAATCCATTATCAAACGTAAATATGCCCACATCTCTTCCATGGTGTATATGGTTGCGACGCATCACTGGATTTGCATGATTTTTGACCCAAACACCAGCTAAAGCATTTCTACAAATTTCATTGTCTTCAAATGTTCCTTGAGCATGATCAGTTACATAAATACCAACATTTTCACAGTCACTAACATCACAATGGTGAATCCTAGGATTTGCACCAGCTCCACTAACACATACAGCTGCTCCTACAACTGAGGAACTTCTAATAATACAATGATCGATTGTTGGTGAACAATTTTCGCCAACTTCCAAACAAAAATGTTTGTGATGTGGTACAGTTGAAGTAACGTTTGGAGTAAATTTTAATGTGACATGTCCCAAATAGGCACTTTTAGCGCCCTCAACAAACATTACAGTTGATTCAGTTTCTCTTTCAAGAATTACTGCATCAGCAACCACACCAGGAGCAGCTCCAATTAATGTTATATCTGAATCTATCACCAAAAATTCTCCTCGATAAGTACCAGGATGTAAAAATATTTTTGCTCCACCATTTAAATGTTCATCAGCATGATCTAAACCAGCTTGAATTGTTTCAAAATGTGGCATTCTCCTAACTGGGTCTTTAGCAGTACCATTATAATGTGGTCGTACATGTAAACAACGTTTTTTTAGTTGCCTAAAACTTTCTTTCCATGGATTATGGTGTTCACTTTCTTCAAATGGAATAAAATCAAAACGGCTATTTTCTGTATGAAACAGTGGTGTATCATACTCAAATACACTTTGATACAATCTTTTCCATAGATTATTATCATTAGCTATTGCTTGAAATCGTTTACAAACTTGAGCTATTCTGCATAGATCTTGTTCATATAAGTAACTGAATATTGTCAACATAACCTCATCTGGCAGTTCACATTGTAAATAATGGGCGGCCGAATTTGAATCTGAAATATTCATATACATTTTTAATATTTTAATTTATATTCAAACATTTGTACATATAAAATGTTGATCATGGAAATTTACCAAAAATGAATTATAACCTTACACCTATTTATAATAGCAAGAAATTAAAAACAGAAAAGAATAGCACTTTAAACATCAAACCATTAAATAAATACAGTACATTAGAGTGTGAATTGAATACAAGCATTTTAGTGGTATACATTTATATTGAGGAACTAACGTAAGCACCAATATCATAAGTTAGGAACTTTATTTAGACCATGTTTAATAATAATATATAACTAGGGCCCGGATTTCAATGCAAAGTGCATATTTTTTTGGTTGATCATATACAATGCTTTCTAAGTACATAATTAGTTCCATGTAACGAGGGTTTGAAAGTTACAAATTTTATTTTGCATTTTTTTTTGCATATTTCGACATTTTTTCTTTTTTAGAGCATTTTTAGCATTATTGGGTTATTTTGTTGGTTTTTAATGCATATTTGTTCAAAATAGATATAAAACTTGGACTATTCAAAAATTTAAGATAAAGATAAATTATTTTCTTGATATTTAAGAAGGTTTATCGGGTTTTTCCATATACATTGTCATTTTTTTTTCGATTTAGTTTTTATCTTATCTTAATTTATTATTGACTGTAGATGTTTAGAATGAATAATATTTCCCCTAAAACGGCCAAAACATGCGTGTCAACATCATATCAGTCAATATTTAAAATTTTCAGTTTTTTTTTAATAAAATAATTATTATGTCTTATTTATAAATTACAATTTGTATAAAAAAAAATATATGGCATTTTTAAGGTCATTTTTGTGGTAATTTGTATTTTTTAAGGGCATTTTTAAGGTCATTTTTGTGGTAAAATGCATTTCATAAGGGCATTTTTGGCTATTTTTTAGAGCATATCTGTATGGTTTTAAGTGCATTTAAATCCGGGCCCTACATATAACATATGTTTTAAAATAATTAGGTACTAAAGCATAGTTTTTATTAATTTTCAAACAAAAAATCCAATTCAATTAATTTATAATTTGTATAAATAAAAGAAACTCAAAAGGGATATAAGTAGACAAGTATCTCTGTATTACATACATAAAAAGTAAATATAATTGTATATTATGTATTATACTTAAAGAAAAAGGAAATGCAAGTGGGATTCAATCATGGAAATATCTCAAGTTAATATATTTTATAGAAGCACATAATTAAAATACTTGCTTTGGACCTTCTCCAACTTCAAGCCTAATCTATATAAATAATACAGATAGTTATATTTGTTTGTTGGCTACTGAGTATCAGGATGCCCTCCTTCACTAAGAGCTTAGGAATTATATCTTATTTTAAAATTAAATAAGTATCAGAAGACCAATTTTTTTTGTAAGCAAAAAGAAGTACATTAGACTAATATAAAAGATATAGTAGGTAAGATAATGTAGATAATTTATAAACGTTAAATATTTAAAAAGTGAACACACAAATAATTCGGCATAGGTATATAAGGTACCTATCAGTTTTATTAGTATTGTTTTTTTTTCAAAACCAAAATCTACCGTAAAGAAAAACACCAAATCCACCGGCATCATATCACAAATGCATAAGCATACAATTGTTCATTTATATTTATTTGTTATACAACTGACAATAATATCTTCATTTAATTTAAAAATGTTATTCTTGTCTTTACTTATTATAATAATATTTCCTTTAACAGCAATATTAATACACCTAACAATTAAAATAATAATAATATGTATACATACAGACATAAGTCTAGGTATATCAAAATTAGCCATCAAAAAAATTATTCATGTACAAAAATGTGCAAATACAGAAATGTATGCAAACAAAAATATCCAAAGGGAAATATGACCAAATACAAAAATGATTATAAGAAAACATATCCAAATAGGTACAACAATTTCCAATGAAAAAAAAAATTAATTAAGTATAATTGAATACACCATTAATTTTTTATGCATATATAGTAGATATACAAACAATTTTCATTATTATATGGCGAGGTAATGCAATTATTGTAAATAATACAATTACTGTTATTTATAAACGAGATTACTTTTCCGCATAGATTATTAAAATCTTAGATCTAAAATTTAAAATATAGTGAAATATGATCTGGAAAACCAGCATAAAATTATGAAACAGGATTGAATGCATTCAATGTATCACGCGAACACTGTATCTATAGTAGTCCCGAGTATCACTATAGAAATATTTGGATTGTTAATTTCACTTATTTGTTATAATTTTTATTTTTAAATTTGTTAATCTTTATTTCATTAACTTGGTTAAAACCTAATATTAATATTTAATACTTTGTATACTATAATTTATTATTAATAATCATTGTTAATATGTAATATTGGTTTTTAAAATAAGCAACTTAAAAGTCAAATATACCCCAATAACAACTACAAAATAAAAATTGAATTTTATGTATTTATTCTACTAAATTTATAGCTGACATAACTTCGTATTAAACTTATAAAATAGGAAAGACTGCAAAAACCAAACTCTAATCTTAACTAGGGGTCTTCCTTTTTTAAGTGAATACAAACATACACTAATATCGTGAATATATGAATGTAACAAAGTAAAATACGTATGATTCATGTATGTGAATTAATAAATGCTAGAATATGTGAAAATTTTAGTATAAAATATTTTAAATGGTATCAACTGAAAATTTATATTATTTATTAGGTATTATATAAAAAATGGTTTTTCATTTTACAAAAAACAAATAAGAAATTGTTAACCGATGATTTTTAGAAGGGGGTCAGATATTGCATTATCTAACCTAACTAGTAATATGTTGTGTTATTGATTATTAAATTAATCAAATCTATATAACATTTTATAACATGAGTAAACTCATCTGAGAGAAATTTGAAAAAACAACTTCTTCAAAATAGGTACAAACTAGACTTGATTTCTTATTAAGAGCATGTCATGCCATGCCCTCATGCTTTGTCTCAGTCTTACAAACACATAACATAGTAATAGTAACATCACATAGTAAGTTCTGAATAATTAATTTAACTCTGTTATGTTTAATCTGAGTGAATCGGCCTACAATCAAATTTAGTGGTAGATTATTATCTAGTCGATGACAAAGGTTTTTTTCTATAATCCAATTTTAAAGAGAGTTATGAGTATTTTAAGATGTAAAAACAATTTACTATTTTAAAATACTCATAACTCGCTTTAAAATTTAAATTTAAAAAAAAAACCTATACCATCACCTAGATAGTATTTTTACAACTAAATTTGATTATAGGGCCATTGACTTGAAAATTAAACACATGGATTAAATTAATTATTCTAAACGTACAATGTATTGTGTTTGTAAGATTTAGACATAGGGTATGGTGAGTATGGCATCCTCTTAATAAAAATGATAACTTGAAACTTTTAGAGTTTTCCTTTCTTTCAAAGGGTTCATTGTTGGTTCATTGTTTACATGTTATATATCCCTAATTGTATTTAATAGTTTCTAAAAAAAAGAAGAATCTAAATGAATTTAATGTCGTTAATATAATTAACTTTTCAATAATTTACCTACAAAAGTATGTAATATTATTAAGTCAACATATTTTTAAAAGCAGAAAGCAATGATAAAATATTGCAAAACAGTAAATTTACCATTTATTTAAGTTTAAAATAAATCGATCACTTACTGTCAGAGCTAGTAATTGTACAAGAAGTATTTCGCCTAAGCCGTTTACGGGCAGGCTGAGATAAAGGTGGTGTAGCAGCCGACTGCAACACTGATGCGGTAGCTGATGCTGTAGGTGATGTAGGACGAGTAGCAGTTGGATGTACTGGTGCTGTAGCATTAAATCCAGCTGTACTAGCATCATGTAAGTGTAAAGGTGATTTTCGGCCACGTAGATCATAAGGTGGCACATGTTGGAAGCTAGTACTAGTACTAGCACCCCCTGGAGTTGCATAGCTACCACTTGCAGCAACTAAAGGTTCACATGTTACTCCAGCTTCAACAACTCCACCTAAATAATAATATAAATAATTAAATAATATTTAAAATAAAGTATAGACAAAAACATTTTTTGTGATAAGTATCTAATTATCATATTTTTGTTTTATAATATGCTTCTTGCCTTTACTGATGATATAGTTATAATAGGCAATACGCCCAAAGGAGCAGAGACAAGAACAAATGAATTAATAGGGGCAGTGAAACTAATGAGCCTGGAAGTGAACTAGAACAAAACAAAATATTTAGCCAGGATTAAAGGGTCAAGATACAAATTGTACCTGGTAGTAAAGAACCCTCCCAATAAGATTTCAAATATCTTGGAATAACATAAATCAACTGAATAATATGCATAATGAAGCTAAATTGATGATATCTACTGCGAACAACAATGATTATTATGCTTTGGAAGAACTCAAGTGAAAACTGCTCTTTAGAATCTAGACACTTAAAGAAACACCTGTACTCAATTTTTCTATAACCAGTTGTAGAATTTGCGGTTAAAATTGTTGGACATCTAAGGGAAATAGAGAAAAAATAGCTCAATTTGAAAGAGTACTCATAAGAATTTATGGGCCTATTTTAAAAAATCAAGTGTACAGAAGAAGAACTAATGAAGACTCAAATGCAGATGCACAACACATTTATCAAAAACCCAGAATCAATGCATACCTTAAAGAAAGCCTTGGAAGGAAAAATAAAAGAGAAAAGACCTAAGGGTCGCCCAAGACATTGTTGGACAGATAGGGTCAATGATGATCTAAACAACAATTAGTGCTCTCAGGGAGTAACAATAGTATCAGCATCGATAGATACATGGACCAGTATAGGTTGTTGAAATGCAGTACTACCTACAGTACCAGAGCTATGGGAGGACAAATGGGACATATGTCCAGGACCCCGCACTTGTTAAAGGGCTCCACAAATTTGAATTATCATCTTAATACCGTAAGACACATTGACATTTTACATAATATGACATTAACAAATTATAAATTTATAAATGTATTATTCTGTACTACATGTCACACAATAATGTATTATATTACTATTATTCCTAACACCAGTTATTTGGAAAATGATATCTTAATCTAGCCAAAAAAATGTAGCTTAATTTTAACCACAAAGTAAATCGTTATCGATACGGCGGAAGAGTAATATTTTGACGATACCTGTCGGATAGGATCCCTACAATAAATATTTATACTCTCTATAGTTATTGTTGTGTCTTTCTTAATTTGGAAAGAATTTCCGTGTATTGCCGTAGATCCGTGTGGCAGTATTATAGAAAGGACAAGAGCTATATTCTTAAAATATTTATTTGATTAGGTATCTAAAATTCATATGTTCTTACTTTAATTATATAAAATTGTTGTTGTATGTACCCAATTAGTTATTATTTTATTATTTGTAAATAATTTTGTGATAACACATAATAATAATAAAAAGGATAAGAATACCCTAATATTAATATTTTTAATGTTTAAAATTCGAAGAAAAACAATATTTTTTTTTTAAATCCTGATTTTAAAAAAAGCTAGAATTTTACCCTCCTCTGGGGTACCTAATGGCTAATACCTTGTCTAGGGCCCCGCAATACCCATCACCAGCACTGACTACCGATGCTAATACCTAGATTCTCAAAAACTAAAAATGCAGGATATAGTTTTAAAATTACCATATAAATATAATAAGTGTCATTACTCATAAGTATAATTTTAACTCAAGTTTTTATGAGATAAAGATATAGGATAGGTAGGTATTCATAAACATTGATCTAGGTAAATTTGTATTTATTTTCATCAACTAAAATTTAAAAATTGATTTATATGGAACACTATTTCACAAATTAAAACATAATGTAGCCATGTAATATCATTACAATCAACATCAAGATTACAATTTACAAGACAATTTAAAAGAAATTGATAAAAAAATACCCTTTTTAGAGTACATGTTTCATAATATACAAGTACCTAGATTCCAATGTTTTCATTAAATAGAAGAAGGTATTTAATTCAACGCTTCAATGATTTAAATGAATTTAATGTTTCAAGGCCCTGGCCCATGAACGAGTAATTTATAATGGGTTCAGCTCTGATTTCTTTTTCTTTATTAAACCTCCTTGAAATAAACTAACAAGTAAATGTATGGTTATAAATAAAAATATTCATTATTTAAAACAAGGTCTACACAAATTAACGCTAGTATTTGAGAAAAGACAATTGTTATTTAATAGTCTTTTAATATTTTATTGTAATTTTATTATTCATTATGGGTAATTGATAATAGTTTAACTAAAATTAATGAATCATAACAATATTTTTGAAACACACAATAAGTACCTATCTACTTAGTCATAACCATTTACCTACAAATTAATTTCTTTATTTATTATAAATTATTAATAGTTATCAGATACCTAGGTAAGAATATACACAGAAATAATGGTCCAATACAGACAATCAAACTTTCCGGCTGGTTAATAAAAACTAGAGCCATCAAACCAGGGTAAACTGACCATCCGGCAAAAACGTCTGGTTTACTAAAACCTAACTTTACACCTCGCTCTACACCTATACACAAAAAAAACTGAACATTATTTGACGGCCATCAAAATCCTGTCTACCGTTTGGACCCTGAAAGTTTAATATATTCTACTATACAGGTATCTCTACATACCTTTATAATATCTTAACATAGTAAACTATTGAAGAGATAACGCTAATAGACAACACTTATGAAATAAGAAGACGGTATTATTGCACTAGGCCTACAATTACAAGGTTACGACTGATAATCTAAGGATCTAGTAAAAAAAGTACAAACAAAATATCCAAAGCGACCAAAGTATCTATCTTACAATGATCGATACGGATGGATCATTTACTAGAACCTAGAAATGATGACATACCATTAAGGTATACAATCGGAAGACCCAAGTCCTAACTCTGTTCTAACCCATTTCTCTATTGGTAATTACATTTTCCCCCTCTTCCCGTGCATGGACCAGCACCAGCACACGCCCGAGTGTCAGACCGGTTGGCCGCGTCCCGTCACCCGTGAGTGACCCTGCGGTACTAAGCACCCCCCGAATAATATGATCTAAAATCCGGTGGTCGGCGGCGCGAGACTACCATTGCCGTGCAGTGGAATGCAGAAGGCCCCGCGCGGGGCCCCGTTTATCGATTCGGAAAGTCGTACGCACACGCACACGCAACACATTTTACCTTGAAAGCAATCGCTTCTCGTTGGACCGTCGAGCGAGGCTCATTGTCATGGGGGCACCTCCGAGGGACTCCCCCTCCCACCCCACCCCATATCCTGCTGGGGGAAACTGTTGGAAAAGTCTGGTAAGCAATTGGTAAGTACTCACCGGAATTCGACGTCCTAGACGGTATAGGCAGACGGTTGGTGCCTTTTCTCCTCGTCCTCCGCGTATAAGAACGAGTCGAGCTGAACGATGCGCTCGGCATTCTCTTCGAGGAAGTTTTTCGTACAATTTTTAAAACGCGTCGCGTACGGTCGGACGACGAAATGGTATATAAAACGAAACGACTGTAAAATGTACCTACAGTATAACGGGTAAAAAATGTATCACAAAATTGATTGATTATTATTATTATTTTATTATTATAATTTGTATTATTATTATTGCACGCGAACGCGAATACCTACGACGGATACATACGGACACCGCGCGCGCACACGTACACAATTTTATTTATAAATACTAAAATACAGACGTCAAACGCAGACACACATACACTGGCTTCTGCGGTCCGTCAATCTAAACCTACTCTAGATTAACAATAGTATTATTTATAAGAATATTTAAGTATTATTATTATTTTTTATAACATTTATATTACGTTGCGTACGTGTGTGTATACGCGAACGCGGCGGCGGCGGCGGCGACGACAACGACGACGACGACGACGACGGCGCTCTCACACACACACACAGTCACTGTAGTCACTAGGCTGTAGCTCACACGCACATAATACACACACCGAACACCACAACTCGGCTCTCCCGCACGCACACAATTGCGCACACGAACGCACCAACGAGCACACGGGCGCATGCACACGCTCTCGCGGTTTGGGTCGGCGGCGAAACAAAAGAAAGGAGGCACAAGGCAGCTGCTGCTGCTAGCTGGTCATGAACGACGGCGGCGGCGGCGGTGAAGTCGCACGGGCATTTTTTCTCCTCTCTCGGCAAACGTCTACTCTTTCTCTCTTGCACACACTCTTTCTCTCTTGCACACACTCTTTCTCTCTCCAACACTCTCCCGCTCTCTCCAACTCTGTGTCTCTCTCTGTCTGTTGCACGCACGCACCGAAGCGCCACACAAAGTCTCCCCACCGCACCCCTCACTGACCACCGCCGAATCGCTGCCGCTGCTACTACTACTACAGTACTACTACGATTACTACAATAAAATACTACTACTACTGCCACTACCACCCCTCGCTCACGGAGAGTACCGAGCGGCCGCCCGAGCACTCACCCACTCGCGGTCGGCGAAGGCGGCGACGAACGACGGCGGACGACGACGACGACCATTAATGAAAAAATAAAAATAATGCAGACGCGGTCGCGGTCGCACGCTTTGTGTATTTGTGTGCCACTGAGTCGGCGGCGCCCCTTCGAACCAATGCCGCGTCCCGGAACCGGTCACGTGATGCCCCGGACAACGGAGAACAGACGAACGTACCCGGTACCGCCACCGCCGTCGCACTGTCCCAGACGGGTGTACGGCACGTTCGGCGTGTGGGGGATCTCTTCTATCGTCTTCGGGCGAGCAGTGTTATATTTTTCGTATCTGTGCACGCGATTTCTAGGTTTTCTTTTCAGATTTCGCTCTCCGGACTCGGCCCAGCCGTCCGCTCCCTATCGAGGCCTCTGATGTACTCGGACTGTAAACGATTTTTTCTGTCAACTTTTACCTGAATTATTTACTCGGTGCCGATGACGTTTGACACGTCGTCGAGTAAATATTATTATTTTCATAGCACCAGCTATTATTATTTCGAAACTGCGACGTCTTTAGTATTTTACTTTTCTCACTGACAGCAACTTATTTATCGTTATAATTTGTAATGGAGCAATTAGGGGGAAACGAGACTTAGAACTCCGGGTACATGCCAAGTCCCCCAAATTCAAAATTAAGTTTTTGGTACTAAGCAAAGTTCATTTTTAGAAAATATGAAAAGATCTTCCTCGCCCCCCTCCCCCCAAATGATATTTTTGAGTAATTGAACCATTTGAACCCGAGGGGCTATCTGAATCCAAGACATTCCATATTTGATAGTACTTATCACTGATCGATAACAGATAGCACCTGTCATATTTTAATTTTAATTTTTGTTCTTTAGTTCACAGTTGCCACTATCATCTATCCTCAGGAAAATATGCATATATTACTCTATGCGTCTATCGTAGTATCGTAGCCTGTAAATATTAGGTAATATGTTTTGTGTTATTCGTTATAATAGAATAATATGTATTGTATATTAATATTTTGGATGGAGCTCTAAGCTTCCGTCTGAATTTTAAATGTTCCTTCTTAACTTCTCAAGTTGTAATTGTATATAGTTCTAAGGCGAAAAAAGTTAAATAATAGTACTCGATTATTTTACTCGTTGAATTTATGGGTTAATGTAAGAGATAATAGTCATTTAAATCATATTAAGAATTGTATGTGTTGCACTAATTCAAATAAAAGGTAAATAATTATACAATAATCATACATCAAAATATAAAATTGTCGCTTAGATGTATTACCATTTTTTTTTTATGTTCTCAGTTTCTCCACCATTATATTTCAAAAATCGAATTACTTTTAGGTTAACATAAATTAAATTGTTTTTACATTTAATAACTTATCATGTTTGCAATAATGAGTGGAGTTTTCAATTTTAATTAAAACCCAAAGGCTAAAAGTAATGATCTTCAAATTTAAATTAAGTGATAATTTTAAAAAGGCGGATTTAATACAATACATAATGTTAAGTAATTCGGTAACCTTATTCTGATAATGATGTATACGAAGATATTGAAACTAACTTTAAATTTTTGAATTATTCATCAGATTTTTACATTCAAAATAAAAACTGTTGAATAATAAAATCACACATTGCTCATTTTATTAAAATAAAACAGTAAAATGTCTTCAATTTCAACAAAAAAAAAAATTATAAGATAACTTAATTATTTATTTTAAGTTATAATTAATTAAGAGCCGTTATTACAATGTCCGGTGAAAGTTAACGGACACTTGACAGTAGGAAATAAGAATCCTGCAGTTACTAATATCTGTTATCATCCGGTTAATGTTAACCGACACTTAAGCAGACATTTTAAGAACAGCCTTTAAATTTTAATGTATTATATTATATTTGTAATCATGATATTTTTATATTTTTATAAAATTAAAAAATTAACATATTTTATAATATATTTATTAGTTGAAATATTTACTGTGCCAAACATCAACAAAAAAAGTATGAAAACTATAGATATCTACTCAATGAACTAAGATTAATTTTTTTCACAAAACAATAGTTATATCCTTGTAGTGGCCTACCTATGAATTGGTAATAGTCAAAATATCCAAATTTAGAAAAACGTTTTTATAAACAGTCACAAACTTTTTAAAGTATTATTATTGTAAATTGAATAATTCAATGTTGAATATTCTATTTTGTAATAAAATTTAGAAATAGCAATGGCATAAAGAAATCCTGATTTTCCTCCTGCTATCATTATATTTCCTTACAGATATGTTATAATTTAATTTTTTTTTTTTTTGATCAATGATGGTCCAATTAGTGCTGTGCAATTTTTGATTCGTCAGCTACATTTTCAAATCAAATTTTTGTTATTTATGTCCCAATTATTGGATGTTTGTATACAACTGGTTAATCTATGAGCTGAGTTTGGTGAGCTTTGATAATATTAAAAAATGTTTTTTTATTATTTGTTTTCAACAAAAAGTGAATATAGATAAACAATTTATTATAATTATGTTATACTACTATCCTTATTAATATATAAATGTAATGAGTTATATATTTTGATTTGGAATTTTGACCTAAATTCCTACGAGGTAGGTAAGTAGTTATTATTCAGAAAAATTGTGTTTTGGAATTATTTTAATCTTAAACCTTATTACATATTTATATAATTGGTATTTTTTATACTAATTTCATTTTAACATAACATTCTGACCACCTTAAATGTAAATCAATTCAACAAATTTTGAGTTGAAAACATTAAATAATAAAATGTTCATTGTTTCAGTACCCATGGTATTGTATATTAAGTAAAAATTCAGTTTTCAAATTAAACAAACAAAATTTGCATTTGAGTATTTGATAATAATTTCAATAACACAATGTACTCTTGGAAAATACATTATTTTACAATTTTCTTGAAATTTTCAATCTCATAAAATGTTGATAATTTAGACATATCATAGTTTAATACTTGTCAATATTATACTAAAACTTTTTAAACAAATAAATAGGCATTTAACAATCAACAAGTTATTTTGGATTACACAAATTTTAATTTTCCTGTTAATAGCCTATCAACAACATTATTCACTATATGCGGAAAAAATGACAAGACATTTTTCATATTTGATCCTAAAATGAATATTGACAAATTAAATTACCAATGTTCTTACTTAAAATGTATTCTGGAAAGCCTCTTTTTATCTGTGATATATGTCTCCAGCTTATATGTATGGAATTCACAACATTCTAGGTAATTTCATAATTTATTTATTCATAAACAATAAGTCAATAAATACCAAGTATGAGTAATATTCTGATTTTATAAATCTATTTGGTTACTAATTACTTGTTTTCTGTTCTTGTACTAAGAGATCATCCGTCAACTATAAAGAAAAGATTTCTTAGTGTATCATTCATGCTAATATTTTCACCATTATATACATGGTATTTCATTAACGACAAAACTAAAGTAAGACATACTTATTATAACATTATTTTTATTTTCTTAAAAATTTAAATAAATATTTTTAGGTACCTATTTGGTATTGGTTGGGTTTGAAATGGGATGGAATATTTATGTCTGCTGCTTCTTCACTTTTTTTAACATGTATATTATTCCTGGGTTCAATATGTTTAATTTGTTGTAAAAACATTCAATTAAAAAACATCTTTAGTAAGTTTTAAAAAGCTTACCTAGTAATATGATATACCTAACACAATTTAATAATTTAAAATTTATTATTCTCAGGTATTGAAAATATAAAATCAAAGTTAACGGATTTGATTTGGCTCAGAAATTATGTGGTGGCGCCAATATCTGAAGAATTTACCTTTAGAGCTTGCATTATACCTCTGTTACTTCAATGTTTCGAGCCAATGACCACTATTTTCATCTGTCCCATATTTTTTGGAGCAGGTAATGGAACTGTTTAATTAATATGGCTACAAATCTAATCTGTACTCTTATTTTACATCTTATTTAGCTCATTTTAATCAATGGATAGAAAGAATGCGAGCGGGTGTACCATGTTTAGATGCTTTTATTTTGTCAGGTATCTATTTAAATTCTTATAAACATTTTATTGTTTTAATCTCTATTGTCAAATCTCACGCAAGGACTATGTACTTGGATATAACTACTAACTAATGTTGAAATATTCTGAAGAAGGGTTACTTACAACTTAAAACCCTGTGTCCGCGGAAACAGGGTACACTTTATCACTCATTACTCATTAGTCATTACTCAATATCCTATAAATAATTTTGGTTTCTGTTTCCGTGGACATGCAGTGTACTCTACATAGCAAGGGAATATTTTGTAATCAGTTTTTCTGCATGACTCCCAGCTATTTAAACTGTTCCTCTACGTCAAGAATACACAAGACCAATTTGATCTCTCGCTAGACAGAGTATAATTATATTATAACAATTTATATTGATAATACATAAGATAATGTTTTGTTTTGAAAATTATCATTAAATATTTATTTCATAATTATTAGTATTTGCTGCTTTAGTGTTTCAGTTTATGTATACTACAATATTTGGGGCATATTCAGCACTGCTATTTATCTCCACTGGAAACGTTTTAGGACCAATCATGGCTCATAAATTTTGCAATCACATGGGATTTCCTGACTTCCGAGAAATGTTTCAATTTCAAGAGCCAAAACGTAGCTGTTTACTAGTTCTTTCATTAGTCGGGTTAATATTGTGGTGCATATTGATTAAATATACAACTGACCCAGGGATATATTCTAACCAAATGAATTGGACTGAAATTAACCAATGTAATACAATAAACTCGAGCAATAACATTTTGTAAAATTGTAAATACAAAAAACCTTTATTTACAAACACACAAAAAGAGAATATTATGTACAACATTATAACATTTTAATAAAATTGTTTAGCTCAAAAATGTAATATAAATGCTTCTATTTAAATTGAAGCAATAAAACACAACAAAAATGTTAAATTAAAAATAAAAAACTGGATTATAGAAGTTGTTAAGATTTTTTCATAAAAAACACAAAATATTTATTAATGTTGTTTTTAAAGAAATGTCATATATAAGAAAAAACAGTAAATAAGAAAAAAATTGCATGTGATATCACAAAAAGTAGTTAAACAGTAGGTATATGAAAAAAATGTGTTACGGTGAACACTGAATAGAAAATACTTAACAAATATTTTCAGTACTCAGGAATATACTTGTATACTAATCAACAATTTAACAAATAAGAACATATTATTATGCAAATTTGAATAGAAAATAACGTATTATCAACTTTAAATTATACATCATAATGGTAACAAATTTTTTTTTGAAATAATAACAATAATTTATTAGGTTGCTTTTTAAAATACAAGTCTGTTGTGATATTTAAATTTACAATAAACATTATTATTTTCTACTTTATTCAAAAATTTACAATTTTTTTTTTTACTTATTTCTACCTATAGGTTAAAATGGTTTGAGCCATTTAATTAAAATCCAAAAATAATTATTTGAATTATATTAAGGAATCAATTGTACTTGGGTCAGTAGACTAAATCACAGATTGAAAACATTAATCCCATTACTGAGTTGATCAGTATACAGATCACCACTTTGAGTAACGCAAATTCTTATTTAAGATCAGTACAGAATTCAAGAGTCCAATTTACTAGTCAATGAAATATTACTCGTGATATTTTCACAACTGTGGAACTTGCATACTATTTAAGTCGCCTGAAAAATATAAATATAACATTAAAATAATAAATTATTCTAACAAAATATAAATAACAAACATTTTGGTAACAACAGATATTAGACTGACTTGCATCTTGAAATCTTCTTCCAGCTTCTTCTTTCTCATTACCATCGAAATACCAAAGAGTAATTGCATACCTAAACCAAATAAATAAATAAATTGATTAAACTCTGATTGCATACTTTAGAAGAAAAAGTAGATGCAGTGTGATTCCTTTTAAAGGTAACGCTGAATAATTCTGTCCAGTGACATCGGATTAATATGCGGTTTTCGGAAGGGTATAGAGAATACATAAATACACATTTATTGATGATTTTTACATTTTTAGATCTTTCCGTGTTCGCATGCACAATACAACTTACATTTTTTTTAATGGCAACCTGTGTTTTTAACACCAAATTTTTTTAAGTCGATTTGGTCTTTTTTTACCATAGCTCTAAAATCAAAATTGACTAAATGGCCACGAGTCAAAATTTCGATCAAAATTATTGAATTTTTCAACAATCATACTAGAATTTTATGAATTTTTTTGTATCCGTAGGTTTGCAGATATTATTAAATCATTTAACCATTTTAATAATTTGCAAACCTACTGATACAAAAAAATTTATAAAATTCTTGTATGATTGTTGAAAAATTCAATAATTTTGATCGAAACTTTGACTCGTTGCCATTTAGTCAATTTTGATTTTAGAGCTATGGTAAAAAAGACCAAATCGACTTAAAAAAATTTGGTCAATCCGAATTTGGTATTAAAAACACCGGTTGCCATTTAAAAAAAATGCAAGTTGTATTGCGCATGCGCACACTGAAAGATCTAAAAATGTAAAAATCATCAATAAATGTGTATTTATGTATTCCTTATCCTTTTCCGAAAACCGCATATTAATCCGATGTCACTGGACAGAATTATTTAGTGTTACCTTTAAAAGGAATCACACTGTATATATATGCAAAACCCACCTAGTTTTAAAAGCTGGTTGAACTTCATGAGGATTTCTTCGGTCAGACCAAAAGAATAATATACGATCAAATAATGGTTCTATATCAGCTACTTGATCACTCCAACCTTCCGGAAATATTCTTAGCAAGCCACCATTTTCCTATAAAGCAAATTAATTCAATAATTTTATTATTTAGAATTATTAAATCATAGCTTATTAGAATTTATATTTTTAAAATTATTAAACCATGTTAGTGACCAATTTTATGTAAACACAAATAGAATAATTTTGAATACTGTTATACAGAATATTAATTCCATGAATCAATTTTTCGGCGTTAAAGAATAGAGATATTTTAGTAAGTTTATCAATGTAATGTTTCTGTATAATCTTAATTGTACGGTAAAAATGCTATTAAATGTTATAAGAAATTAAATATAATAATAAATCAGAAACATGAGAACATTAATTTATTTACGTTTACTGATAATATAACAAGAAATTCAAATAATTTACCTATAGAGCTAATTTTTATTCATTTATATAATCATTATAAAACTACATAAAAAAAAACAATCAATAATAATAATACAACTAATTTCATAATCCAGACTAAACATAAATATTGGATGTCTACTAATATTTAACTTGAGAGCTTACTTTAATATCCCAGTCTTTATTTAAATAGTATATCGCAGTAATGCATCGGCCATCTTTGTTTGGATTATCTACATGCTTCACATAATGAGATCCATGTCCTGGATAACAAGCGACCATAGCCTAAAATAAATTTATGTAATTTAACTAGATATAAAAGTTAATACTAAAAACCTATACCTAAATAAAGTAAGACCCAAGTATAGCTAATTATTCACTGCATATAGCTGTTTATTTGAAATCCTATGGTGTTCAGGGTTCAGCCCGTTTAATTTTAACAAAAAATTGAGAATGACAAGAAAAAAATCAACAGCATTGTAATAGTAAAAGATATACAAAACAAATAATATTTATTTGGTAATATAAGTCATTAGGGGTAAGTAGTATAGTATATGCGGGAAACCAGAGATGTTATAGCCTTGACCCTGATCCGCTAAAATGAAACTGAAAAGAGACTACATTTGTAAATCTGAGTAAAATATCTCAAACAAGTATGTATGAAATACAAGAGTAAACAGGCCAATTGGCCCACAAACTAATGGTTCAATATTTAATACATCAATTCACAGGGCTGGCTTCAGCTCTTTCCGTACCAAGTGCAAGGTTTATTTTGGAGCTCGTTTACTCTCAAATTCAAATTTAGATACCCCTTTTGATTTTGGTGACCTGTGCCTCCAAGTATGTCGATCCTGCATATTCATAATCTTATTAGAAAAATATTTCATAGATAATCGTTATGTACCTATGCATTTAAAATGATTGTAGCTATTATTTAGAAAAAAGAAATAACCTTTTTAATAAATAGTGACAGATAATTAAATTCACCTGGTTAAATTTAAGTTATAAGACTAAATAAATATTTAGTGTCATATTTAGGTAATATAATTTAGAATATTTTAGATTTAGTAATGTTAGCAAATACAAGGAAATAGTCAAATAAATAGAACCACAATTAGAATTATTTAATAACTATTATGTCATCTTAGCACATATTTGTAATTGTTGTAATTAATTTGTTAAAAGGATGTGTAGAAATGGGTACAGATAGCTATAAAATGTTATAAACATGTTGAAGTCTTAGTTTTAATCAAAAGTTATTTTTATGCAGGCATATTTTATTGAAATTAGGTGATAGTAATAACTACTTATGCTGCCACCATAAGTTTAAAAATGGCATGTCACTCGAGAAATTTTTTTTGGAAAAACAAGTTTTTACTTTTTAAGTTGTTACTTAGTATTGGTATGAGCTATTTTACTATTTTATTAAATATTAATACCTGAATAAAGTTATTTGGGTTTTATTCCAGTAGTCAGTACTCTGTAGTTTAGAATATTTGAAAGCTACATATTATAAAATATTAAATTTATAAAATTATTATTTTTTCTATAGACTAAACTAAATAAAAATGCCATATAAATGCTTATGATTAAGACAATTTTGCTTAATTTAGTTATTTTACCATGCATTTACCTAGTACTCGTGAATTTTTCAACAACTTAGATACAGCATATGTTGCAGAAACATAATAATCTTCTAGCTTACTCGGGGCAGTATGGCTCAATAAGTTTGTTGTATGACTATTTAATTTTACCAATGTTTATTGTATACATAAATGCCCTAACAATATCCTATACATTCTACGTAAAGCTAGGTCTAGACTAACAATACATTATTTATTTTGTACATCAATTTCTTGAATATAATTAATTTTTCTTAAGAGGATGCTACATGGACATTTGTTATCTCCATCTTACATATGCGTAACTTAACAAATGTTGTAGTCTGCAGATCATGTTTAACTAAGTTAGTTTAAAAATTAAAGTTAAATCATCTCTAATACAATTTAAAGGTAAGATATTATTACAGTGGGGTATTTCATAGGCTTTTTATTATACTTTAATTTTAGAAGGAGATATGTGTTTTAAAATTATAAATTACTTGTACATTTTAAAATACTCATAACTCGCTTAAAAATAAAAAATAATAAAAAGCCTATGAGAGACCTTAGATAATAACCTTATTCTCAAATTTTATAAGAGGTTAATTCACTCTAGTTTTTAAACAAACGTGATCTGCTGAGCATACAATTTGCTATGTTTCGCACTTGTGAGATGGAGACATCAAATGTCAGCAAAGCGTTCTCTTAACAACTTACTTTGGTCCTGCCATTAATGGTATAGTTTCCAAGTTTACCATTGTCATTCATTTTGTTTGATCCCATAACTACGGCATCAACATCACTTATAAGCTGTCCAATTTGTTTGCAACAATCTTCACGACCATCAACCCAAATGATCTGATCACCTCTTATAGTTTTGAGATTATTACTTGCTTTATTTCGAACCAATTGACCATCCTTGAACACTCCCATGTTATATAAATTCAAAACTTCATCAAGTACAGTCATACCACGTTGATAACCTAGGAAGTTATCTAACACACACACTCCATACAGATCCATGTCGCGTATAATGTTGCGACATAGATCAACATAGTCACTGCGCTGGGACATTGGTACATTGGTATTTTGAACACTGTGGCTGGCTCTTCTGTTTCGATTTCGTCCCATTACAAGGACATATTCTGGGAAAGAAATACAATGCAACCATTAATACATTCATACAACATTCATCGAAGTAAACTCGACCAGTACCTTCTGGTGTCCTGGCATACCTACCTCACATGATGGTGTGAATGATTGAACTTAGTGCGTTTTATTTTTACTCGATTGTGTAGTGGCTATTGATAATTTCGTGTCAGTTCACAATTGATGTTCGTAGCTATGCACTTAGATCGAGATGATGGCCGCGCAGGTGTAGATCCGCAAGAGAAATACCGCTCACACACCGGAACTCGGAAGATCTGACGACGGACGAACTCTTTTTATGGTACTATAAATGATTACCACCCGGAAACGGAAAATAAAAACTAAAAACCACCGATTCACGCACTACCAAATTTCTTTTAACACACGCACAAGAGCGCGCGCAATCAAAGAGAGACGGATACACACAAGCACACGGGCGAAGTGCGAGATCGTAGTTCGTACTTCGTACACACGTTGACACACAGACCCGATCGAATGAAAAACACACGAATATCGCGACTAGAGACGGATCACGGACGAACCACGAACACAAACTGCACGTACGCACTACGGCACGTACTACCTACATAGTACATAATATTAAAATAGTAATAATAAATAATAATAGTAATAATAATAATAATAGCACTTATCACGAAAGCGCACTATCTACGGAGAGATAACACCGGCGGTGTCAGCGAATGGAAGAAGCTGCCCGAATGCGGGTCTCGCCGGTATGTGGTCACACCGCAGTCCACGGTACACGGGGGGTACTATCACAGCAGCTATAGATACAATATGGTTGAGGGACAATTCATGATTTTTAAGAAGAAAAAAAAATAGACATCCATGAAAAGTTCTTGGGCCTAGATACTTGTGCCTTTTACTCAGTAAAAGTTCGATGCTTTCAAACACCACCTAGCGCATTCTAGTTTTGTAGTTCAAAAGTATTAATTTATATACATTGAACAGTTGAACATTTAAATGTAAAAGAATGAAAAAAGTAAAAATCAAATATGACTTAAATAATATTATATTAATTATAATAGTTTTTAAATTAACTGACAGGTTACAATAGTATTCAAACAAAATAATTAAATCATATTTTACTATTATTAGTATAACTTTATGTACCTAGTCAACAATTTAAAAAGATTTTTTTAAATTTATTTTGTTGATTTGTTGAATATGTGAGCACAAATACGTAAAAGCCGCCGAATATCTGTGATGCATTTACAATTATAGCACCCCACGTTTTAGAGACATATGCTAAAATCATATAGGTACGTACTATACTACTATATGAATGGACCCATGTCCCAATAACTTGAAGCACATATTAGCGGCAAGCGACAAGTCTCTAAATGAAATGCTTAATATGCAAAAGCGCGAAGAGAAATGTCGCATATATATTATATTTAAATTTGATATATTGTAAAAATCAAAATCAATTAGTGACCAACAGTTAAATAAACCATAGTTCTGTCCATTCATTCCAGTTAGAGAGAGAATCGTCACTTATATTATGTGCTTCAAAACGTTTACACTGATGAGATGGATATGACTCCGTACATAGTATATGCCCTAGTTAAATAAGTCATAAGAAGATTAGTTGAGTTCACCAATGGTCAGTTGAAGCTATGGACGCTATGGTAATAATAGAGATAGTGGAGTAGTGGACTATCATCACTGGTCTTGAGCTTTACAATGATATTTTCCTACTAACTACGAAGGTATTCGATATAGTGTAAACACAACAATGCAAGAAAATATTTAAATATTACCATCTAAAAATCAATAAAAATAATCTCTTAAATCTTATTATTCTTTAATGAATTAATTATCCTGAATAGTTTATTCGGTATAAGAATCTGGACATTGTAGACGGTAGTATTTAATGTGTGCTCCTGGAGCACTGCTCCTACTGTATAAGATATTTATATGTTACTGCGAATGTCCGCAATTGGTGAGTGCTGGCAGTCTTCGGTTAATGTCGTCATACACTAAAGTCATTGGTGAATGTTAGCATATTGATTAAATTTGTACTATTTGTAAACATTTTCTAGCAAATGTCGACATTTAAATACCGATATTGGTGAATGTTGGTAATACCGATATTATTTATTCTGATCTCATCTAATATTCTAGTACCTAGCTATTAACTAATATACAACTATGCAACGATACAAGGTATTGTACAAGCTGATAATTTCGATAAAATGTTTTATTATCTTACCCTGCGACTTATTAGTTATTATATCTGGATAACTTCCATGCTATATGCTGCCTCGTTAACATTTTGTATGATATTGTCATTTTAGTCATTATAGTGTTATCGTAGTATAATGATTTGCACAATAACCAAAACATTTTTTTTTAATGGAAAACATACGTGAAGTATTTTATAATAAATTTAATAATTTGGTATCTAAAAAATTAGCTACCAAAAATGGCGTTATAAATCAATTATACCTACACCAGAAACCAGTTTTCAGTATGTAAAGAAAATTTAATATCAATCACTGATGTACTAATGGATAAACAAATTTCCTTAAAGCAAGCTTCTGCGTCAAATTCATCAACCGATGGGCAAGGGTATACACGATGTAATTGCAAAACAAAGTGCCCCACAAAAAAGTGTGGTTGTAGAAATGTTGGCATTTAATACAGTTCAAAATGTCATGACTCATGACAAACTGTCATGTTTCAATACGTAGAACAATTTTCGTCGTTTTTTTAAAATAATAATTTTTGTATGGCAAAATAATCATCATTTAAATTAATAATACAGGTATAATATTGTTCAATAATATAATTATTATAATTAATAAAAGTAATTGTTAATATTTATAACTAAACATATCATTTATATTTTATATTATTGTCTATAGTATTATACTATAATATTATGTGCGAATAGGTAACCTATATCAACATTAACCAAAACCGTGTTGTGTATGTCAACATTGACCGAAATTCTAATGTAAATGTCAACATTCACTAGTACATGTCTGTAATATTTTAATTTTTTAACATTCACCAATTTAGTAGTTGTATGTGGACACTGGACATTCACTAGGTGATTGTCATAGCACTCACCAATTGCGGACATTCACAGTAACATATCCATGCTTATTAAAGTGGGCGCCCACGTTCCCCTTCCAATTTTATACTTCATTATTTAACCTGATTTTTTGTATAATTTTTTTAAGCTCTGATCATTCGGTGCTTGTATAATCTTTCTTAAGTTAATTAATTACAGTCAATAATTAACTCGTTGTGATCAGATGTACTTGTATTGACAGGTAGTGTGAACAGAATATCAGATTTATGTGCCTACTGTACTTATCATATTATATCTTTACTCCGTTCACCGAAAGAATATGGTTATTTCAAGCATACTCACTCTAAAAAGTGTGAACTTGGGTGATTGCTGAGCGATACGATCCGTTTTGGATTGTGCGCAACCACTTTCTGACACAAGCAGAGTATACTTGCAATGTAGCTATGGGTAATATTGAACTTATTAGTAATGTACCTATATTGCCTATATAATTCGCCGGGCAACACATTTTGTTGTGCGAAAAATGCTTAATACTATTAATAATATTATAATATTAAACTCTGGACTCGGTAGGTAAATTTTTTAAATTTTTTTATTTTCGTCAGCTACTTATGTATAGTTCTTTAATAAGCTAATTATTGTGAATAGTTTTGTAGGCACTCCGAATCTGGAGAGTATAGACCAAGGTCTTCAGCATTTTTAACTACTATATTATAATTTTATCAGATTTAATCTGAATTGATTTTTACACAGATACATATTTTGAATTTTGATAACCTGGTGCCCTCTGAATAATTATTCTTTAATGATCTAATTGAGAACAGCTTTTTCGGTTCAAGAATCTGGGTATTATAGGTTGCAGTCTTTAATGTATGTTCCCACTGAATAATTTTTTTTTTAAATGTTTTGCTTCTTAAAATGTATTTGCCTGTGGACACTCATGTTTCTATTCCATTTTGCTTTCATTATTTGAACTATGACTTTTTTTCATTTTGCCGAGCAACACATTTTGTTTGTGCAAAAAATTAAAAAAATTATTTTATTGTTATTAATTAATAATTATTATTAATATGGTAGCTGGTAAGTTGAATTAATATTATTCTTTAATAACCATTGATTCTGGAAAAATATTAAATAAACCTATGTAATATTGGGCTGTTGAGGAACCGAATTAAATGATAAAAGTTATTCTTTATGTTAATATACAATTATGTCCAAATTTGAACTTAAAATGTCTCTAAAAAATAACTGCATTTATACATATATTAGACTTTTTAGTTACGGAAAACCTGCTTAAATGGAACCTTGTTTTAAATTTTCAGTCCTTAGCTATAAAAATTGAAAATTGTATACATTTTTAACTAGAAAATTGTTTTTAATTTTCAATTTGATAAATATTGTCAACATTTGAACTTTAAACGCTTACAAAAAAAATCGTGCTTATATATTTTAAATATTTTTCAACTGCTATTGTAACAAGTTATCAAGAGTCTAGTATTAAAGTTGCATGCTTTTTAACCCAAAAAATAAAATTGTTTTGATATTTATAGAAAAAACAATGAAAAAAAAGGAAAATTGAAAATGTCCATCAACAGCTTAGAACGAGTCAAAATATTTTGAAAATTTTATCAAGTATATGAATTGATAAAATAAACATTTAATGTCAATTTCAAGTGTCTATAGTAATTCGTTTTTGAATTACAACAAAATAAGAAAATCGCTACAAGAGAAATCGAGCGAATATCCAATGTTGTAAAAATTTTGCTTCTGAGCTTATAAAAATGTAATTTCAATTTCCGGCAGAAATTTTTTTTTGATAAAGGTAGGCAAACTTATAATCAATCTTGTATCAAATTTTTAAATCTTTGATATAAAAAAAAAATTGTATGTATTTATCTACTAATTTTGTCAAAATTCTAAGTTCAAACGCTCTTAAAAATTATTGTGGGTTTATGCTTAACTTTTTTTTAAGTTACACCAACAAAAACTTAAGAAGAATCTGGTATAACATTTACAAGTTTTTTGTGAAAAAAAATATTTAGTTTTAAAAATACTAGCCTTTCATACTCATTCGCCCTAACGGTATTTTTTAGCCGATAAAACAGTAAAAACTCGCCCCAACAGTATGTGTCTGATAGGCCAATAGTTTATTATTCAATTACACAGAATAGATAAAACAATATTTTCATATATTCTGTAATTATAGTACTATAGTATAATACCTAATAATTGTACATTTGTACGTAATATTTTTTTTATTGAACTTAAGGGCCGGCGACTAAGGCCATTAGCTGTTGTAGGGATTATGACTGTGGTGGGGGTCAGATTGGTACGGTAGGTTGTTTTTACGATTGTTACGGTTATGGTAGGTAGCAAACACGTGTATGTCGTATGTGTCATGTGTGGCAAGGTTTTTAACTACTATGAACCCGGGTGGTCACCCATCCGGAAGCTAGTTGCTGTGGCCAATATTTACTTCTAGTCGCATTCCTCAACTGGCAGCAGCCAACGCGCCACGCCAAACCACCAAACATAATAATATACCTATCATGATTCATGGTGTTCCTATGCATTTAATATTTATAGATTACCCATGGTTATTATATCAGAATCAACATTAAACAATAGATTCTTGGAATGCGAACAATTATTATTAAAACAATTCAAGAGGGAACTATCCCACATTTATTTTGATGCCATAACAGGAAACCACACATACCTCCTTGATGTATTATAGGTACTATAGGTATATATACACCAACACATCGAACGCAACATGCCTAGACATATACGTAAACGTGTTATGATTAAACTTCAAAGAAATAATTCAATTGACACTCAAACAATATTATTATCTCTAGCTACGCTATTTAGTCATAATACTCACAATAATCTATACCTACGAGTTTATATAAGCACCTACCGTAGTATCGCCTAATCCACTACATTTAATGTAGAGTTCACGCAGTAACAGTACAACACAGTTTTAAAAACACGATTCATATAATGTACCATACATTTATTATTTATTGGCTATTACTTGTGATCACGATAACGGCTACTTTCGATAAAAAATGTCACATCAAACTGTTCAAAGATTCTTCTAGTAAAAACAACAATAACATCAACAAACATGGACCCAAAGAACCTTGTGGTGGTCACAGCATCAATTCAAATAGTCGTCAGATGAAAAATTATCCAAAAGTAATTACTAATTATTAGTTACCTAATTGTACATTCTTATATTCACAAAATGTCATGCCCTGTAATAATGTACCATAATATTATACATCAAATCACTTATTATATACTTTATAAAAACTATCGAATAGATAGGCTACTGACTTCCAGCACCGGATGAGTCATTATACCTATAGGATAAAGCCCCATTTATCTTCGGTGGAATAGATGCCCTTTTTTTCGTATGCTATATTCCTCTGAATAACCACTGAATAACGAAATAGAAAAAAATATTATGTTATAAGTATTAACTAAAGTTAGGTTAAGTTAGGCTAAGTTATTGAATGGAATAGACTATATAAATTTATGTAATTTGTTTTCAACCATTTTTTTTATTTTTTGAGTTCGTCCACCGCTATACATATTTATATATGTTTCGCTAGTCGTTATACAGTTTTAAAATTTTCTAGTTACCATCATACAAATTTGAGCCAAGTATAAAAAGGTTTTTAAAATATACGAGAGGAAATACTCTGTGACTATACTCAAACAGATTTCCTCAGCGACTGTATAGCATCAAAGATAATCTTTCATTAGAGAAGGCTATAAGAAGGCTCCCCACTACATCATTATATTATCATATTTATAAAACAATCCTTCGTGGTTTTTGTGTGCGACAGCTAGGTTAATATGATATATTATCCTCTTCTCAAAATTGTTGCCGGAATTGGCATCGCAAGGCGCAAGACAGTGGTCTTACTTCCAAGTTCCAACCACGATTAAACCTTAGGTAGGTATAAGCCTCTTATGCTGACCATAGTATGATACCGCTATTATCACCACTAGTGAAAATTCCAACCTATATGGTAATCAATTTACTTGAGGATCAAACAAATAAAATTGAGCACGCTTCATGGTACGTTTTAAATCTTGTGTGGTTGCATTACATAGCGATTTAGTTAAATACTGTAGTTACTGAACCCGCTCAAAATATATTGTTACCACTGCGGTAATGGGGGGAGCCGGGGAGGGTTGCGTAAGGGGACGAGAAGCTCCCCTACTATTCGTTTTACTTGGACAGGGGGACAGAACAAACTTATGCCCGAAAAAATCTTTTTTTAAATGTGTAGGTATTTTAATTGTGAATGATATAACCTAGAGAATTTTACAATTTGTATTATAAAAAACATTAACTCGTAATCTTATCAATGATTTAGAGTGCCTAGTACCTATTATTTATAACATGATTACTTTGATATTCTTATTACAATAATTTGTTTAGATTATATAACGCTTGCTATTATCCTAATGCACAGATTTGTACAATAAACTATTGTATTTTAAAATATCTGTGGACTAGTATTGACAATGCGTCTGAACCAAGAATCAAAATACTATAACTGATAAATTATCAGTGATAATTTTTTTTTTTTATTTCTTACTGAAATGTGTAAGTGTCGTTACATTGCTATCAAAACGGAAATTACCTATAATAATATATAAAAAAAATGTCTTTTTGAGAGATTAGATGTATGAAAAGTAATTGGGAAAATTTCTAAAAAATGTGTGACTATAAATTCACAGTTTCTCATATGTTACATTGTGAATTCAATAAAGTTAGGTAATTTATAGTATAGGTAAGTTGAAATGTAGTATTCAATATTTAAAGGGATAGGGGGGAAAAGCCTCCAACGGGTCTATGTTGAATAATGTTGTACTAGGAACACAGTTTTTAGATCGTTGAATTGAACTTCCCCACTTCATTTTTCCCAATTTGAGCACTGAAGGTACCTACAAACGTTTCCACAAAAAATGAAATAGGTACTCATGACAATCCACATTTCACTAATTTCTTGTATGTCCATTGTCCACCATTAATCTAGGTAACCTGCCATCGCCTTTTTTTCCCACCTAGGTCGTTATCAATTATTGGTTTTATCAAATTAAAAGCAAATGTACATCTGTAAGGCTCCTGAAGTACCTACCTATTAATATATGGTCTAACCTATTGATGAAAACACTTTTCATAATAATGGTACTGTAGGTACTCGGTATATTTACTAATAATTTATGTACTTATTTTATACATTTATTTTTTCGTAACCCCCTCCATGGAGAAATCCTGACCACGGGCCTTAAACATTGACTTATAAAGAACCTATAATTCAGTATTTCAGTCTGTGACCCAAACAGGTCATTTATAGTGGTGAGTGATGATAGCGTTGGACAATATAAAAATGGATTTCTATTCAATTTAAAAATATTTCCATGTTCTATATAGTTTATAATATGCGAGTTTTAGAAAAACTACGTAAGAGATCTATAGAAATATGGAGATTACAAAACTTAAATGATTTTGATTGTAAAACAAATGTCCAAAAAAACGAAAGAAGATAGTTAATCTACTCAGCTGTCTCAGCTCAAAAATATTGAACTTACATTTTCTGATTGTATGAAATTACCACACTTTACCATAGTAAATGACAAACATGAAGCAACTAACAAATGATAATAGTCCACATTTCATTTAAATACTTTTAATTGTCTTTTATTATTACCTCTGTTACCTATGTCCTACTGCCCTGTACTAAAATTGATTGTCTTGATGTTGTAGATACCATTAGACATTATAATGGAATTAAACCAGGTTAAAAGTGTCTCGGAATTATTTTGGAAGTTTATGCCACACATTGATATTCATGAAGTATTGAAGTATGAAACTAATGATGGTCAAAGTAAGATGTACTATTAATTGTGTTGATACAGTAGAAATACATTATAATATCAGATATGACTAAAAATATTAATGGATGGATAAAAAAAAGTACATTTTACAAAACCGTTTAGAGTGTTTAGACAGTATTTTATTATTGAACATTTTTATATACCCATTATTCTAATATTTGTTATCTTAATTTCATTTTATATTCCAAAGATTCAACGATTATTCCAAAAGCTGCAACTTGCACCACAGAAAATCGAACAGTAAGCCTGAGAGATGATGATAACCCAAATTTATACTTTTCACCACCCTGTACACGAGTGAAGCGATGTGGTGGTTGTTGTGGTAGCAGTTTGGTTTCCTGCCAACCAACCGAAGTAGAGATGCTCAATTTTGAAGAAAGTTAAAATGTTCTTAGCATTAAATGAATATAATATCATATTTGTTTTGTATTAATTTTATATATCTTAAATTTGTTAACCACAGGTCACCGTTTTAGAATATAACAAAACATTCACTTTCAAAGAAAAGAAAATTATTACTGTAGAGCAACATGTGAAATGTAAATGTGATTGTATTATTAAAGAGAAAGTATGTTTTTTAATAATAAATAAAAATATATAAGAAACAACAAGTGAAAATATTCAATACCTTTATTTCCATAGGACTGCAAGTCATCGCAAATGTATGATGCTAGAGAATGTCAATGTGTTTGTAATGATTCAGGTGAAGAATGCGACGAAGAAAAAAAGATGTGGGATTCAGACACTTGTTCATGTCGATGTTTCAAATTGGATGAATGTACAACAGGTGAACAATTCGATTACAATACATGCAGGTGAGATATTTAACAATCACTAAATAACTATACATTTGAATATTTCATAGTATATCAGTGTAGATATCAATAATTGGGCTACTTACAATTTACAAATATTATTAATGAATTTAATCTATTTTTATCAATATATAGAAAGTACTATCTCCCAAAATAAAATATTTTGTATAATTTGCACCAAAAATACTAATATAATTTGTATTTTACAGATGTGAACCAATATAGACGAAGACACTATTGGAATTTCTTCTTACAATTTATACACCTGCCTATATAACCATGAACTTTATGAAGACTTTACTCATAGAAGTTATCTAAATTAATATACAAGAATAAATTATCATTACTTAAATATATACTTAATCCAGCGGCTCTTAACCTGTGGTCCGCGGCCCCCTGGGGGTCCGCAACAGTCATGTCGGGGGTCCGCGGCAGCCTTACCACCTAACATAAGTTAATACGTAACATGAGTACATTATTACAAAAAAAGGTATTTGACAAAAAATTGGTAGAGGGCGTCCGGGATTTCTAAAAATATTTCATCGGGGGTCCATGTTCTACAAAAGGTTAAGAACCTCTGATTTAATCAATAATTCTGTAAAATAAATTTATCTCATAATATTTATTACATTGTAATATTGCTAAAAAATAAATAGTTTTCATAAGTTGTAAACAACTGTTAAAATAGCATGATATAGTTACAATTATTATATGCCACTTGGATGAGTAAGTACAAAACAGACTTAAATAAATTTAATTTGATTTTAAAAAGGCTCCTAGATTCATTATTAAAATTTGCAATAAAAATAATTTGTGTCTAGAAATCAGCAAGGGTAGTAAGGTAAGTACAATATAGTATATGACTATATATAAAATTACAAATGGGCCCATCTGGATTGACCTCAAAATAAAAACTGACCTGTGTTAACCTCTAAACAATGTCTACTGGTTGGTATGTTATCAAAAAAAAATGTACACATTAAAATCATAAACCTTATACCTACTTAATATAAGGCTCTCCAGGATGTTTAAATTCACAGTGGTAAAATTCTTAGAGCTGCGCAGGTGTGTCTTATAAGGCTGTAGGCACACCTGAGGCTAGATATTTTTTTAGTAGGTACCAGGTACTTGGATAAATAGAGTCAATAACTCAATTTTTCTGGAAAATCAGATATTTTTGTATCAATTTGAACATAAAAATTGCCGTGCTGGTGCTGTATCTGCTTAGTATGTCTTTTTTTATTTTTAAGGGAGTGGATGGTCAGAAATATAAAAGCTACACCTGGAACAGAAGGCTGGGCAAGCTTATGGTAGTATTACATTATTCTGTGGTAGTATTTTGTATAAATACATTACATTAATAAAATAAGTATAAGCTCTTATCTTTGTATCAAATTTAAGATTCAATATAAAATTTTGTCATCGAACATGAACATTAAGAATTGGATGCTGATATTAGACCATTAAAGGCTTGTACAGTTAAATTAATAAATTCAGAGTGAATCTTTATGCCCTTAAGTAAAAATGCAAAATCAATACATTTTATATGAATAAAGCTGAAGCGTGTTGTTGTACACTATGTTTTTATTTAACTATTTAAAATTGTATTGTTCTCAATAATACAATTGTTGGTAGTTCGTAATAAGTTTTGTCCAAAAACTTAACACCTAAATATATTATTCCTAACATCTTATTTTAAGTGAGTATTAACAAGTGCAAACATTAAACAGAAACATAAAATTACCTGTTTTTAACAATAAGTTAATTGAGCAAAGGATCTTTAACTTTCTACAAAAAAAAACAACAATATCCTAATTATTAGGCTCTAAAATAAATTATTTTTAAAAATTAATTTATTAAAATATATAATTTAGGTACCTGTTATGTATACTATAGCAGTTTGATATATATTGTATATATGAGCCATTTGGGAAGACAAAAAGACACTAAATATTGTCTAAAAATGATAAAAATATTATAAATATCAATTATAATCAGGGTAGGTATGACAAACATGGTACCAAAATCAGCAGCTGTTAACATTGATAAATATTTAGGATTGTGATTGTGTATGGTACCTTCAAGTTTTAATTTTTATGTACACCCATTACCTGCTCACCTACTATACATTATAAGATTTAATCAAATATAAAATAACATCAAGACTCTTTCAATCTTCATTTTTATCATTGATTTCAAAGATATTACTTATTAGAGTCAAAATGTTTACATTTGAATATCCATTCTTGTAGTTATCAACGTAAAAATTAAATAGATCTATCTTATAATCTACTGTAACTTCAATGATCATATTATCAAGATGCGGGATTATATCTACCACGTACAATTTGTCTCTTGTTTATAAAATACTCTCGAAATTGAGGCAAAATTTTCAGGGTTTATTAACTAAAAAAGAAGACTTATTAAAATTCTTACTTTTAAAAAAGTCATCCTATCCAACATGTAATTATTGTACCAACTACAGTTAGTAATGATAATAAGTATTAGTGATCACGTTTAATTCATTATAAGAATTTAGTATGGTACGTGGGAATATAAACCTAAGCATGACTATTACACAATGTTATATGGATTAATCATAAATACCATGACAAGGTGTAATATTAGTATCATTAAAATAAAATGCAGCATATTTAATGGTTATAACTTACAAATTTTGTTTTTAAAAAAATGGATGCAGGTATGACACTTTGTTCATGATATTTAGTATAAACCCAACTCAAATTATAAAGCAACAAAGTTACAAACTTGAATAACATTCATGTATTAATTTGTATAGATGATATATAGCAAATATGTGTCATGCTGATGTTCTCAATTATCAATTGTAAAGAAAAACACAAGTTTAACATTTAAATTAAAAAGATTTGGTTTTATTGATCTACGCAAAATTCTTTTTCTTCAAAATCTCTAACAAAGTGTCCAATTCTTGTGTGTCATCTCCGAAATGTTTGACAACCACGCATGAACATCCTACCACTTTCCTGGCTTGACCGTTGTTGTCGTACTTACACAGACCGCTCCATTCCCCTAAAGTTTTGTTGCTGTCTACTTCAATCAGAGGGGTACTGTTCTCGGCACACAATCCAGTCACTAATTTCTTGTACATGGCTTCCTCGCAGTTGTTGGCCAAGACGCATAGTACTCCTGTGCAAAAAATCAAAAACGTGAAAATTACAATAAAATAGGTCCACCAAATACTTTAACATTTACCAAGTTTCTTCTCCAGAGCCTTGGTACCCTCATGTATTCCGTGTAAAAGGCTGCCGTTAACCTGAGCATTTTTTAACACTTCTTTCAAAAGGTTGTACATTTCTCCGTGTTCACCAACCTCTACGGCATCTTCAACGTCAGACATTTTGAACTAGTGTATTGATATAGCAATAAATTTAATAAAAATTAGCAAACACTTGCTAAATTGGTTGAATTAAAAATGAGAATTTCTTCAAAAGAAGCGTAAAGTGAACACGTTTTCGAGAAGGAGAGAAAAACTAATTGATATTGTTGAGGTTAAGTTGTTTGCATTCTGTTTATTTCGGCAATCAGTGCATGCAACTAACTTTTGAACACACGGTAATTTCATCGAACCATAGATTTTATTATCTATTGCCACGATTTAAGAAATTGTAACAGCTGTTGTATAAAAGATAATGATATCACACTAGAATAAATACTAAAAAATAATAATATTACATTATATTATTATCAATTATCATAGAACAATATTTAAATATTATTGTGATAATATGATGTATACGTGAATGGTAATTATAATTTATATCAATTCTCTACATTATTATTGGGTGCAGATCATAGACGTACGAAAGGTATTTAAATAATTTCGCGTGATAACAATTATAAATATAATATTAGTTATTACTTATTGGGTGACTAATATTATCATTAATGTTATTCTAAAACTGTGTGTACGTATTTTTTTTAGCAACACTAACACGGTAGACTCAAATACGCAATTGCGAACTTCGTGTCAACAAAAACAAATAAAAGAACATTATACAAACATTAAATGAACATTTGTGTACATTTTTATTTCAATTGTGTGTTATGACAAATTAATACGTGTCCGTATTGTTCCACAAATTATAAACTATGGAATCTGTTACTACAAGGGTGAACGATGAGAGACGAAAAAGGGTAAATTATTATCCAATAATCCAATATATTGTATAACTACTTTAGGCTTTAATTACTATTAACAGTTACTTTCAAATATTGTAATATTTGTTATTTGCTAATTACTTTTAGCTAATTGGACTATATATTATTTTCATTCAATTTTCAACCTTTCCATTTATTTTATATTGCTTCATACCTATTGATTCTAGCAGAGGCGGTTTGAATGTATTGTACTTAGTGGTGCAAGGCATTATAAAGACACCCCCCCCCCCTCCCTAAATAACAAATAAATATATAGGTATACTTTAAATTGTTTCATATAGATACCTAATTTTTCACCAACTTCAGTCATAGATTACATATACTAGTAATTTTAATCTATGCTTCAGTTTAGTTGTTTACCTACACTTTAAATATTATCTGTACACAATGATTGTATAGGAATTTTTTTACTTACCTTTTTATTAATAAAATAGTAAAACTAAAACTTATACATACATTGTATTTAGTAATGAATCAAATAAAAATAAAATGTATGTACCTACTACTCTTTTATTTATATTGAAACTTTGATTACTTAAAAATATTAATATATATATTTATTTATTTTTATTGCAGGTTTTTATTTATAAGTTTGATGAATGAAAGTTAATTATAAATTATTTTTATTTATAATTTACTATGAGTAACTCTGAAAACCCCAACCATCCACCCACCCACCCAAAATATATTGGTGGTGCAGTGCACTAAAAACAGTATACTCAAACCGACTCTGGATTTAAGTAATTTCAAGATTAAACTCAATATTATTTAGTGGGTTCAGATGTTCAAAAGAACAATAACAATTCAGTATTAAAATAAAAATAAATGTTTTTTGTATATTTAACGTAATCCAAATTTATGATGGAAGTCTGTATTTTCTAATGTATGTAAATTTAGTATGAAATTCGTGAAGATAATCTGGAAATTAAATAGGCTAAACACAAGTGAAAAAAACGCACCAATACGTTTGGTTCTTATCATTAAGGTACATGACTCATTAACCCAGTGTGGGATAAAGACTAAAGAGAGATAATTTTAAACCAGTTTAGCTTAAGACACTTCTGGGATATATATTTCATTTCTTTTACACAAATTAGATTAAAGTCTGAATTTATTAGGTTATGTTATTTAGGTATTGATTAAAATGTATAATTTTAGTCTACTTAATATTAGTACATACTAAATATGTTCAAACACTACAATGGTAGAAATATAATATATTAATTTGCTCACTTTATACTTTAAACTTAATATTATAATAGATACTATTTAACTTGGTTAATTCAAAGTCTGTGTGTCATTGACAAAACCAATGTTTAAGTGTCTATGCCCTATGGCAGGGGTGGCCAACTTTGATAGACCTGCGATCGACCTCCGAGTTTTTCTAGGTGGTCGCGATCGACCAAAAAAAAAAACAAGGTTGTCAATAAACAAAAAATATATTATATGAACAGGCGTGTTACACTTTCTAAATCTAATTTTTATATTCGTGGGATATACAAAGATACACAAATTGTTCAAAAATTTAAGAAAATGCGAAAGGGTGTGCGATCGACTTAAATTCATCTCGCGATCGACTGGTTGGCCACCCCTGTCCTATGGTACTTATTCTCATTCCCCTACAATACTTTATAAGTCATAATCTAATATAGTAAATAATAACTGATTGTCTTTTGCATCAAGGTCTTCATATTAATATTGTTTATACACCATGTACGCATGTTGAATTTAAAAAAAAAAAATGTTCATTTATGTACATCTATGTGCTTATTATACTTGATGCCATTTTACAAATTAACAAAAATAATAATTACCCACAGAATACCTATAAAATATATTTAATTGGTTTAGGTACTACTACATTATAGCTTAGGAAGATATAAAATAATATAAATATTATATATAATGAAACAGTTTTTATCTATATAAAGTGTTTATATAATGTTAACTGAAATGATGTTATATCTGTTATAACTAATTTATAACTATAGTAATCTAAATTTATTATCAATGTTCATTATTACATTCATTGCTTAAAACCATAAATTTAGATAATATAGATGTTATAAAATGTATTCTATTCGGCATCATTAAAAAATAAAACTAACAATACTTATAATTTTTATCATATTAATATTAAATTAATTTAAATTTAAAACAATAATCATATTTTGCAGGTGTATGTTGGTGATTTACCCAAAGACTTCTTACGCCTAGACTTGGTTTCATTAGATGATTCTACTAATAGATTGCAACAAGAAGCTGCAGACCAGCAAGCTGCTATGGCTCTACAACAATCATTATCTTGTGTGCAAGGAGACCGTGATAGAAATAGATTAAATATTACAATAGTACAAGCACGGCTTGTCAAAAACTATGGATTAGCCCGAATGGATCCATATGTACGGCTTAGAATTGGACATTGTGTATATGAAACTCAAACAGATCCTAATGGTGGTAAAACCCCTAAGTGGCATAAAACTGTTCAAACGTAATTCAAATTAGTACTAATTTATTTTGAATGTATTAAAAAAGATTACAAATTTTTAGACTTCCACAAGAAGATGTCAATCAAATTCATGTAGAAATATTTGATGAATGTTCTTTCAAAATGGATGAACTTATTGCTTGGACAACAATACCAATTCCTAATCAAATTTTTAAAGGGGCCACAATTGAACAGTGGTACAATCTAACTGGTAAACAAGGACCAAATAATGAAGGAACTATAAATATAATTATGAGTTTTGGAGTAAGTACTAATTTTTTTTTACGAGAATTAATTTCTGTAGTTACTTAATATTATATTAACTATATATCCTTGTTGACTTTAAGACTCCACCTAGTTTGGGCTTAACAAGTTCAGTTATGATGCTACCTCAAATGCCAAAATTCAGCAACTCAAGTGCCGCTTTAACTCCCATTTACATTCAACCTTCAGCACCACAAGTGCCAACTCTTAATGCAGAAGACTTGAAACAAGTAAATTAATTATATAATTAAAATAAATTAAATATTAAATTTTATTTTTCTTTCATAGATTCAAGACATGTTCCCAAATATGGATAAAGAAACAGTTAAAACTGTTTTTGAAGCAAACAATGGTAACAAAGATCTTACCGTTAATTCTTTACTTCAATTGGTCGACTAAATGTTTGTTAAACAGTTAAACTTTTACATAAATACATAATATTATATTAGTGCCATGTCAGCATTTTGGCAACATAATTAAATAATGCCCGATAATTATCTACTGTGGGTTCTAGCCCTAATCACTTCTCACTTGCTTTATTTAATAAATCAAATGTAAATCAGTTGACACTTATTGAATTATATTACAAAAATAATATTGTATCTAGTCCGTATTAGTAGTAAACAAGTAATTAAAAGTTATTTGGTCAAATTGTCCACAATTCATTAATAATATGTGAACTGAAATCCCGAAAACATAATAACAAAATTATTATTAATCTTTTGTAGTTGATAAATATATTGATTCAGGATTGTTTTGCAGTTATTAATAAATAATATTAATATTTTGTCATTTTATTTTGTTCTGTTATTGCTATTTTAATGTTTATGATGATATTATGTACATGTTTATCTTTATTTTAATAACACATAATTTGTTTAATCAATTTATTAAAACTTACGCATTCCTAATTTGTAAATCAAAATATTTATGTATTTAAGAAGATAAAATAGATATATGATAATTTGATTGTTCTGTTGCTTTCTAACATATTATATACTATACATTTTTATTAAGAGGACGCTATTTAATTATAAACGCATATTTGTGAAGTTGTACAAACAATTTACAATTTTTAAATACTCATAACTTTCTTTAAAATTAAAATATAATAAAAAGCCCAAGAGGAGCCCTTCATAATAGTCTTACCTTTGATTTTAATAAGAGGTTATTAAGAGCACTTATTTTTAAGCTAACTGAGCTAAATGTGATCTGCTGAACGTAAAATTTGATATGTACACTCTTGTAAGACGGAGACAATACATATGGGTGTAGCGTCCTCTTAATCATATTTACAAGATTATTTTCTTTACTTCAGGCCACGAGAAGACATAATTGGCTTGTGCATCCAAATGAATGCACTCTACCATCTCGAGGTCTAATATTTTACCACTCGGCTACCAGTATGTGAATACCGCTTGTTACGGTATAGTGGTGGGAAAGTGTAGAAATAGATAAGCTTTGGCCGACCGCTTTATGAGTTCTTTCATGGCCCAGAATATACAACTTAATTGTACATTTAAGAAATATGTTATTAATTTTTTAATTGCAAATTATCTCATTCTGTATTTTTAAATATAAATATTTTAATACATTTTAAAAAAACTGTTACTTTTTGCTCAATATTTGTATTGGTATATACAAACATTTAAATTTCATTATGAAAGTGTAAGCATTTCAACTATTTGAGATATTATTACTGAAATAATATTTTTTATTATTATCATTATATTTTACACAATCTGATAGTTTATTTATAGTGCCAGTGATGAATTATTTTAAGGAATCAGAAGTCTTGAATAAAAATAGATTAATATGAACCAAATTAATATTTCACTAACAGTAAAATAAATGTTTTTTTTACTAAATATTATAAAGACAATTTTTTTTAAAGTTAATCATTATTATTACTATGCGTAATATAATATGTACTAATAAAAATAATATACTTAGTATTTTTTTGGAAATTTTTATTTTTTATTTTACTGGAATATGTCTTAGGTATGAATCTACATTTTATTTCACCTAAAAATATATTACTTATATAAATTAAAGAAATATCTAGTACCTAGTATAATTGCCTCTGGCTCGTGGTTAAAATGTGTTAATTATTTAATTAACTATTTAATGCATTAATTTTAGGCTTCAATGAAATTGACTATACTTTTTATTAATTTATGATTGTAGCTTATAATTGATTATCATTATGGTACTGAATAATTAAAATTTAGGATAACATGTATCTACTCTTAAACTTTTTAAAAATGAAAATAAAAAATCTTATCAAATTTGTTTAAATATTATATTACAAAAAACACAACTTTATTTTGTCAACATATAGTAAGTTAAAAAAATATTAACAACATTATGTAGTTGTATAACATAAAGATATTAAATAATATAAATAAAACAATAAACATTCATATTTTATATTGTAAATAACGTCAAAAAAAAAAATGTAATATTTTATTAAATAACAAAACATTGTTAAATATTAAATTATAATTCAATAAATATATATAATAGTTAAAAATAATAATGAAAGTTACTGGCAGTTGTTATTGCTTGCAGCCACTTGTGCTGCTAAATCTGCAAACTTAGCAGTGTAATCCACACTGTTCTCACTCATAAGACACTGAAATTGGGCTTCTACCTATTAACAAAAATAATTATTTTTTATTATTTATAGCGTTCATTTGAGAAATTAACAGGTTCTACGGTAAGGTAAACAGGAGGTTTCTCATAGACGGCTGGATTTCTTTATAAAATCAAATTTACACAAAAAAATTCATTTTCAACAAATTATTAAATTTCTTTTAAGTCAAATTGATCAAGAGCAAGGTTTATGTTAACCATTCTTAATTTAACATTAAAAAATAATAAAGACCCAGTTCAATAGTTGGCTATGTATGATTGGAACTTTGTAGAATAAATGTCACTAATATGAATTGAATAAAGTACCGAACATTTTGAACACTTATAAATAGTTAAAAAATTATATTATGTCTAGAAAATGCCAATATAAAATTATTTGCAGTTATTAATTTTAAAATTACAACAAAATTGGTTTTTCAAAAATGTATGTTGCTCTCTTTTTTTTGAAATGCTATGAATTTTTTACTTTTAACAGGCTAAAAGTAATAATTATATTCTATCCATCAAATTTTACCCCTCAACCCTCAACATCAGTTGCCAACTAACGGTGATCAATCACAGAGCACCTGACAAGTACCAACTACCGAGGGGGTCCAAAAGTTCTGACAACTAAGTCTGTATGTGCGAATATGAATAAACTTAAAAGGAAGAGTAATACCAAATATAAACAATTTGATACTAGAAATTTAAAAGGCTTCAAAAAGTGATGAGTTATTAATCATGACACAAAAAAAATTAACTGTTCCTACTTCTATAGATTGCCAAATAGCTAGTTAAACAATACAATTGGCTCTACACAGTTCATGACTTTTGGGTCTCTAGATTACCCACTCTTCCGAGCTTTACCTTGATGGGAATAAACAGTGGAGTATAACTATACAGATAGTAAGAATGTGCATCATAACAATTTCTTCAGAAATCAAAAAATGAAAAAGCATTATTATCAATCATTAAAATGTTTATAGGACACAATTTGGGCCATTTCATAACAGATTATATTCATGAACTCATAACTGATTTTTAAAAATACAATTAAAAGTTTTTATTTATTTTGGATAAAAATGAGAAATTAATGAACTTAAATAAACATAATATAAACTGTACTATTTATATACTCCGGAACATTTATTTTCTGAACAACTTTGGCCAAACTAGATCATCTCTCAATGCTTACTTAATGAAGAGTTTCTTACACCCTTATTACCAAAGTGAAAAAAAAGTTGAGATAACATTAATGTTAACGTTAACTCTATTCCACAAGAGAACTTTCCGATTCTGCACATGTAGAATGAGGTCTGCCGAATAACAACAACCGACCGTTAGGGCACAAGACAAAATGTAATCGTTTTCCATCAACATGAGCGGCATCACTATTATCATACACCACCTATTGAGAATTTGATGGGGGATAGAGCAGATTTGACTCAGTTTCATAACGTGGTATGTCCTCTCGAGGAACAGAATATAATTAGTAGCAATATATAATACACATACAGTATCGGAAATCCACTTCATCACTCAATACAAAGTAAATAATTAAATAAAGTGCTTTTGTTTGACATTTTACAGGCCATAAAATAAATTATTCTTACTATTAATTACTCAATATTATGTGAACATATTTATAAAGAAGAACATTAAATAGAATAGAACTTTTAATATTAGTATTTTACTTACATCATTTGAAATAACTTTTTGATCATCATTCCTTGTTGATTCAGCCATTTGTTCTTTATCTAGATGACCTAAGAAACTACTTAATGAAAAGTCCATCTGAAATTAAAAACGGTATTTAGATGAAGAAAACCAAGTAACCTTAGTCATAATTATATAAAATAATGATGAATAATTTATTAGTCATATTTTAAACAATTAAAACTTGACATACATCTGGATTAAGCCATTGATTGCTATCATCCTTCAAAAGTCTAGAAGGACTAGTGGATGGTGTTGTTAAGCTATTAGCTGATGTTGAACCACTACAGTTTGATAAAATACCAGAAAAATTTGGAGCTGAGAGTTCATTCATGGACGGCAACGCTATGTCCATTAACCTGTTTATAGCGGATGATGTGATACTTACATCATCCGGAATATCTTCATCGGGCGGTTCCCGCACTCCTAAAAGAAAATTCAAATTATTATTATCGACCTAAATGTATTGTATATTACAATAATAAATAAATAAATAAAAAAATATTTATATAAATTACTTAATATATTATTAGGTAAATTTTAAAATAAAATGCAAAAGTTGTGAGTCTTACATAAAAATTATTACAAGTACAATATTTAACAAGTACAGCTTATAACACTATGGTCAATTTAAAATAAACTAAGCAAAACTGATGGTTCAAAATAAGCTTAATGTATCATGTATTTGAATAGTTGATTTAGTTTATAGTTGGTGAAGTGCATTGATTAATTTAAGTTGTACATGAGTAAGTTCTAACCCCCCCCTCTTCAACAAAGTTTCAATAAAAAAAGAAAAAACCCCTCCCAATTTTTTTCAATAAAAATAAATAAATATTTAGTCTTCACTAAACCTAACACTACTACATTTAACATATTTCATGGTTGATAATACTACACCTATAGCCATGGCTTTACATTTTCAACAATTCATGTAAGTAAAATGTTGTTAAATTGGGTCAGCTACATAAATAATTGTCTATAGACTTTTTTTTTTTTTTTTTTTTATTTTAGAACTTTTAGCTTAAAACTATTACAGTTCAACGATTACAACATTAAATAAAATATGAGTTATATAGATAATAACAAAGTGTCTATAGACTTATAATATAGAAAAATGTATAGATTTTTCAAAAATTTGGATCATCAAGTAGGTTAGAAAAATTAATTGTGAATTAAAATCTTCAAAATTAATAATAGACCATACCATCAGCATAGGTATTGATGGAACACAACAATCAAGTGGGTGTTTTAGCGAAGGAAGGAATTTAAAGGCCCTTTAAATTATTATGTAAAATATTATCAAAATCTAGTACATAGGCAAAAAAAAGAAAAATACTAGTAAATACACTTTCATAAATAATAATTTTTGAGTTGTAATTTTATGGACTTACCCATTCCTACCATATTTTGTCGTTGTGATAGACATGGGAATTCTAATTTAAGAAGATAAGAATGAAGAGGTATTAAACATTAATTTTATCATATTTCAGTTATAACAAGAAGTTCAAGTTAGTTGTTTGGTATCCTTCTGTAATAAAGATGTTAGAAGATAGTTCTGTAAATTGAGTAGTTGTGGGGTAGGTGATCAATTTTTAGTTTGTAAGATGCAAAATGAAGAAACATTATAATACATATTCCAAAACTGTTTATATCATAATATTTTTCATTTATACTTAATTCAAATAAATGGAACACTATTATACTAACTTTTTGGTGAAAGCTGGGCTTGATCTACTTGGTTAATATCACATTTTTCGCCGTCCATAATCTGATTCTGCTCAGAACTAATTGCTGGAACAATAGGCCTGAAGTTAGATGTTTGCACAATAGTTAAACTGGTCTTTGGCTGGAGTGGCAGAAGTTTTTGAACAATGCCCACATGTTTATTACTCGGTCGTCCTGTTCGATTACAATACCTTGGTTGCAATTTCTGCAGAATAAAGTTCAAGGGTTTAATAATTAATAACTATACAAGATAAACATTAAAATTAAGAGTAAAATCCACAATTTATAAATTTAAATTAAAAACTGAAACTGTACATAAATAATCTTACATCAAGTTGAGCTTTGAATGAACCAGTCGAATGCAAAGGTTTTGGTTGCAAAGGTCGTCTAAATACTGATGATGGGTTAACCATAACTTTACAGCCACTGACTAATGAGTATGCACCACGCTGATTTTGATCCACCTCTGTTTTAATCTAAAATTACAAACACAATCGTATTTTAAGAGTTAATATTATTTTATAAAATTAACACAATTCGTTAATATTATTTTATAAAATTAACACAATTCAATTGCTTATTAAAATTTACCTCTGTCTGTCTTGGCAAACTATGTGGTTTATTGTTCACAGAACCGCATGAACAGCCCTAAAAGTTTCACATAAAATTAGGCTTATACTCATTTAATTATAGAATAAAGATTCAATGTAAACATTTAAGAATCTAGACATACTTTAGAAGAAGTTAAATTATACTGAGCAATAGAAATGAGTTTATTGAGCGATTGGGATATTCGATTGTGACTGGTAGCTTCAACACAATCTTCAAACCAATATTCAAGTTGAATTTTGGATTCACCACCACACTAAAAAAAAAACAGATATTTTATTTACAGTGTATATCTTCTATTTAATGCTGATAAAGTAATATTACTATGAGATAAAGTTCCCCAAATTTAATAGTTTCAACATTGGCCAATGTCCATCCCTGTTTGACTCTTGCAATAAATTCATCTTTCTTCTCTTTTTCTTGATCATGTGATGAAATAACTGGATCACTTTTGGGAGGACTTGCCATTAGAATATCCAAGCCTTTTTCACCATCGTAACTCACATCTGGTATCGGACACATTGTTGACGGACATGAAGTTGAATTACTCTCTTGACTCCCAGTTGATCCAGATGCAGAATTAACTGTTTCTGTGCGTACCCGTTTGACATATGGTTTTTGAACTTTGGTTGAAGGAAACTTAAAACAAAAAATGAACAATTTTTAAAATAAATAATATACAAAGTAAAAAAATATTGCAAAATTGTAATGTTACCTTTTGAAGAATTGAATCTACAGATTCTTTAGAAATTCCATGAGTGTTTCTATGAGCTAATAAACTAACATTTGTATTTTCAATATCACTAAAATTTACACTAATAGGAGTAATATTAACACCAGTAGCCGGAGCAACTCTTAGAATTCTTTTGGATTCTTGATCAACTTCTAGTGTTTTAACTCTGTGTATTTGTTCACGCTAGTAATAAAGTGATTAAGGACATTTAATTTAGACAGAATCAACTTAAATACTGACACATATAATGAATATCAAATACTTAATGGTGAAAAGGATACAAGTTTCCGATTTTCTGTTTGCCATCTATTTTCTAAAAATGCCAAAAGCATAGATAAAGGTTTCTGTAACTCAACTGTTGCTCTAATACGAGGGTTCATGGCAAGCGATTGCACTAAAGACCATGTATCCATATCACGAGGCCTTAATTCAACACTTACTTTTCCCGGTAATTTTAAGTCTCCAATTGTATCTGAAAAATTTAAATTATATTACAACAAATGTTAACAGTAAAAAAAATTAATTATACCTTCAAGACAATTGAGCTTTCTCAAAGCTCTACAATGTGGTGTTTTAACTTTCCACAATTTTCCTTTACTCCTGACTTTAGTTGAACCATGATAAATCATTTCATACAATTTTGACCAATTTTTATCATTACAAAATCCAATCCTTCGTTTAAGTTCGCCATAATTAATTAATCCATAAAGCTCTTGCACTACTTTTTGCATTTCTACAATAATACAGTGATATGAATAGTTAGTTATTAACAAATACATTTAAAACATATAATTAATCATTTGTCATTACCTTTAGGAAATTCGATATATTTGCAAATTTTATGCCATGTCTTATAGTAAAAGTGCCTTAACTGCTCTTTACTTTTAATAGCTTGTTCACAAGAACCTTTACGCCTAGCTCTGTTCACCATAAACCATTGAATAGATTCAAAATCTTTGCCAAACTCATTTAAGCCTTCAAAAAAATAATTGGTATCCTCGGCTGACCAAAGTTCACGCCTAATTTTTGAAGACTTGAAAACTGGAGCATCATTTGAGTCTGTAATAGATATGTGAAATTAACACAAATATAAAACATATGAAAGCAAAGCTAGGATGCAGACACAATCTACAAACCTAATTTGGTGCAACTGGGTCCAGGTGAAGTAGACACCGGTGTCATACGTAATTTTTTGGACACCCTAGCACTGGTTCTCAACAGCACACCTTTTTCAGAGACGACTGTTGGAGCATCGGACTCCAGATGACAGTAATCCGGTTTGATCTTCTCGTCCATATTACTGCAGTGTAATCGACGACGAAAAATCTGAGAGGACGATGTTTTGACCCAATTATTATGGATATGAAGTAGCAAATCGAATATTAAAATAAAAAAATACACAGTGCTCGGCACTTACCCAGGGCGACAATCGTCTTGGTAGCTGCCTAACCAACACCAGAACTCATGTCCACAGCTCGATGAAGTCGTCGGACTGGCTTGGAGCTTTGGATCGCGCGGGGTCAATTAGCGCCATTGTGGAAATCCTCCGGGGACGACGCACACAATTCTGGGTAATCCCGGACGATCGGAGTCGTTATTATTTGTCTGACGCGGGCGGCACCATACCTAATTTTCGGACAGCAACGAGGACATTGAAAAAACGACACGGAAAACGGCAGAGATCGAGCGCAAAAGTCTAACGCACAGAGTCACTATTGCAATACTCAGTAGTCACTTGTACGCGCAGAAAATGATAAACAGAAAAATCGCTCTAATCAAACGGACACACAACAACAAACATGGCGAAATGTACTGTTATCATTGCAACGGTGCTTCGATATTTTGATGGTGGCGTGCGAAGGAGGGGAAGAAAATGATGACCGAAAAGCGTTTGCGAAGAGACTGCGAGTCACCTATTCCGTATTTCTTGTGTTACAGGGAAAATGGCAATACAAATGCGAGTACATTATGGTAGTCGTCCAAGGTTCTTAATTATATTATTATTACACATGGACATTGGTACGCGTCGGATCCTCGGATAACGATCGCAGTGTAATTTTAAAATATTATTGTTAAAGTGTAATATACATAAATGGATAAATGTATAGTATATAGTATACTTGTATGCCCGGGTACAGGGGCGGAATGGATGCTGTTGGTCTATAGAGTGAAAACTAATTAGGGGCCCGTGTATATTTTTTTAAGCTTCCTAAAATTAGGAAAGAGTTCAACATTACAGTAAGAGTCAAATTTAAGAAAGGGCCCTACAGTGCGGTAATCGGGGCCCCGATCATAAATACGTATATGGGGGCCAAGAGTACTACTTGGTTTATAGCACCCTGGACCAGTTCACCCCTGTCTGTGTATTCAATTATACATATTACATACCATCGGTGCGCTTCAGTGCCGCAACTAGAGATGAAAGGACTCAGGGCACTCAGTTGCGAGTTGAATTTAAGGTTCCCTATTTCAAACCTTTATGTCTAAAAAAGGGTCCCGTAAATAAAATAATATGGCCCTTTTGGGGGTGCATTGCACCTTAGCACCACCGCTAATTGGAGCGCTGAGTGCCCTGATTTATTGTTTTTGCGGACGACGGGTGAGTCAAAAACATATCAGCCACGAATTGCGGAATAAAAATCCCCTGAAAAATAAAATCCCTGACTTCAATATAATACACACAAACACATGCAAATTTTTGAGCGGTAAAATAAATATTAAAAATTTTTTGAATTCGGTAAGCCACAATATTAAGAGACCATCTAATAATTAACAGTGATGAATTAACCATTGTTTGATGATTATTTTATTATTTGTATTATTTTACATATTATTGGACGATCATTCGAAATATTTGAATATTATATTTTTTAACTGTATAAGTATACCTAAATTAATTGACTATTATTTGATAATTATTTAATTAATATTATTTGACGTATTCGAAATATTTTTTTTTTACTTTGAGTATAACTACCTCCATTAACTATTGTTTGATAATTATTTTAATTTTAATTTTATATTATTTGAAATATTTCATGTATATTAAGTACAACTTGTAAAAAAAGCTTTCTAATAATATTTTATTTATATTATAGTCAAAACATTAAAAGAAACGTAGGTATGTAATATTTAAAATTTTTAATCCTTAACTAAAACAATTGAACATTTTCTAAATTTTAAGTGTCTATTACTATTTACTACACTATAAGTATATATTTTTAATTAAATATTATTAATGTTGGTAATTAGTACTAATTACACTAGGTAATTAAAGTTTAAGAGAAATATGCTTCCAATAATTTGCATGTGTGTGAGTAATAGATATTGTAGTTTGGGAATTTTTTTTTCCTAGGGTAGGAGATTTTTTCCCAGGGTTGTTCATCTGGGGATTTTATTTACGGGAATTTTTTTCTCGGGGATTTTTATTCCGATTACCACCAGCCACACCTACATATCTTCGCATAGTCCATTGCAGCTGCATAATTAAATCAACTTTTTGAGCGGAAAGCGTTCCGTACACGGAGATACCTAAATAAAAGTTAAAACCTATTAGTAATTCTAGTTACTGATAAGTTTGTTTTGTGTTGTTGTAATTTAATCAAGTGGAATTCCGCACACGACGCTACTTGTTTGTAACTTGTCTGAAACTTGTTGTACAGCTAGTTGATAGCGACGCGACTTCCCAGTATCCTATATAGCTATATTTGAGTTTCTAGTTGCCTATTTTATAGTGTCATTCCATTGGATGGAACCTATTTGATTGTAGACTTTACTATAATTTATCACATTTAATATGCATATAATATATTCATAATGCATGAACAAATTTTTAATATTAAACTTGTGGGAGAAGTGGAAAAAAATCCAGAATTGTTTAACTACCAGCTTTCTGCCTATTCTCGTAGGGATATTACAGAAAAAGTCTGGAGTGAAGTGAGAATATCAGTCAATTTATCAAGTATGTAAATTGTTGATTAATATTTATAATTTGTATCAATAATCGATCGTCTATCAAATGAAAACCAAGAATTCAAAGAAAACGACAGCTTATATAAGGCTTTACATTGTTAGTCATACATAAGGAGTTATGGTTATCAGTTGCACCAAATCCGTGTAAGAAAAGAATTCTTAGACATATGGTAAAAATATACCATATAAATTTAGAGTCTCTTGTAGCTCCTTCGTTGTTACAAGGAATCTGCAGTGAATGTTTTTTTCAAGATGCGGATGTACCCGAAATCTCCTTTAACTTTTCTTTTCCTTATTTCTAAGGTAAATTGCCATAAATTCTTCATCACTGGAATCCAGTGGCGCAACTAGACCTCTAAAACGCAGGGTGCTAAATCTGTGAATGCATCACAGAGTTGTGGGGGGCAGAGCCACCCACAAACCCCTACAACTAAACCTACAATACTCGATACATCAAAATTTTAAAATACATATTAACACACTTCACATAAATAAAAGAAAAGAAATTAATATTTCTCTTTATTTTCTACAATATCAATAACATATTGGTACATTTTAATTTCATAATCTGTTAATAAATAACTAAGATATTATACATTTTAAATCAGCATAATTTTTCTGGGTTTCATGCAGTATAAATAATTCTGCAACTATGTAATGTGATATAGTTACAAAAAAGTTCATCGACGGCCATATGAATAGATTATTAAATCGATCAAACAAATGTCAATGATGTACCTACCCTGCTATTTGTTTTCACATAAACTGTTCATTATAATAAACATATAACAAGTTAAACACAAATCTGCGATTAGATTTAAATACATTTACTCAAAAATACATAATAATAAATAAAAGACAATATTTTAACCTGACCAGTTATGCTCAATGTTATGATATAATATTGTATTTCATAATTAATACACTCTAAATTGAATGAGTAACGTTAAATTGTATATTGCTAATATATTCATGTAACTATATCTTAATTGTATGGTTACACATAAATATATGTTAAAAAAATGAACTATTTATTTGATGCAGGACCATATAATATTATTATGCATAATCTATAGTGTATCTATGCAATACAAATATTTTAGTTTTTTACAACAGAAAATGCATTTATGTATTTGCATTCAATAGCATAATATTTACATCCATTTTGTTAACTATATGCAATAATAATAATGGCCAGATCCTACGGACTTCATCGGTTAAACAATGTTTATGCAGTATTCGCTGCTGAACACAAATAGCTTAAATACTCAAATTAATTCACATGGAATCTTCTGAGTAGGTGTCCCATACGTTTAGGCGTTGACAAATAACGTAGGTTAGGTAAGAACAAATACGAGCGGCGGATAATTGTTATCGTCTCAACTACGGAAGACCTATGCTGTAGCATTGTCTCCCATGTGCGTGAAGTTGCCCCCCCCCCCCAAATGACCAATTTTTTTGAAAGTTATGTTATCATTTTGCAAATAATACGCAAATTGGTTTTCAGAATTTGCAAATAAATTACCTACAAGGTATGAAAAATATAAGATGGGGGCAACTTCACGCTACACCCCCTTTTGAGCTACGAATTTAAATATGCTGATAACATTTTGCAAATAGCCGCTAACTTATTCATAATTTCGAGTCCAAAAATCATACAAATCATTGGTGTATACAGTGGTGTATTGGGGCGTATACGGGGGTATACGGCGTATACCCACTTCTCTAGTTTTTTTTATAGCGTATACTCTCTAAATGTACGATGGTACGGGTGTATACGGCCGTATGGCCCCGTATGGCTGTATGCCTAATGAGTAGTGGAATGTTCAGTGACAAAAAAATAAATATTTTATAGGCTATAATATTATTTGTAATTTTTAATTCTCAGATAGGACATAGTACTATAATAGATATCAGGCGATAAACAAAACAATATTTTAAGAACCAAAGACTTAACCAAAAATAAAAATACCCAATATCGGATGTCTATTTTTAACTTGTCATGTTCGTAGTAATGTATTCTGTGTAATAATAAGTGTGTGTGTGAGTGGGTATGATTATAATAATATACAATATATTACTATACCTATATTATTTTATAACCTTCGTTTCTAGACCATGACCATTGATAAGAATGTCTCTAAAAATAATTTATAATGTTTCAATTTTAGAATAATAATTATTATCGTCTAAAATCACTCTCCATTCTTATTATGACGTGTTCTTTAGTAAAAGTGATAAACCAGTGATGATATATTATAATATTATTTTCATTTTTATTTCAATTACAATTTATTAGCACTTTAGCAGAGCCAAGTTGTTATTATTAAACACTAGAAGCTGCTACTGACTACTGAGAAATATTTAATCATAATTCGTAAACGTTGTTTATAATGGACAGATTTGTAATTAGAGTACCAAACTCCAAGGTAAGTGTTTTATGTTTTTTATGCAAACATTATGACATAGGTATTTTATATCATTATTATTAAGATCTAACTAATTATAATTTATTAACTTGAAGCATTACAATAGCATTAAACAAAATTGTAACCGTGTGGGAATAATATCGACCTCCATACTTATCTCATTATATTAAAGCTTTCTTTAATCAGCAACTGAGTCAAATTTTGAAATTATTCCTATTAACCACACTGTCCACACTCTTGAAGTTTTCATAACTTAGATTTTTTTCATTCCGATTGATTGAAAATATAGAAAATAATACATTTTGTGTATTTAAAATAAGATTATGATGTTAGATTAAACATTAATTTAATTTATTTAGTTATTACTATTTAAGTGTCCAGT